CCCTCTCTCTCCCCCTCTCCCGCCACCATCTCCCTCTTTCTCTCTCTATCACCCTCCCTCATTCCCTCCACCACCCCCTCTCTCTCTCCCTCTCCCGCCACCATCTCCCTCTTTCTCTCTCTATCACCCTCCCTCATTCCCTCCACCACCCCCTCTCTCTCTCCCTCTCCCGCCACCATCTCCCTCTTTCTCTCTCTATCACCCTCCCTCATTCCCTCCACCACCCCCTCTCTCTCTCCCTCTCCCGCCACCATCTCCCTCTTTCTCTCTCTATCACCCTCCCTCATTCCCTCCACCACCCCCTCTCTCTCTCCCTCTCCCGCCACCATCTCCCTCTTTCTCTCTCTATCACCCTCCCTCATTCCCTCCACCACCCCCTCTCTCTCCCCCTCTCCCGCCACCATCTCCCTCTTTCTCTCTCTATCACCCTCCCTCATTCCCTCCACCACCCCCTCTCTCTCTCCCTCTCCCGCCACCATCTCCCTCTTTCTCTCTCTATCACCCTCCCTCATTCCCTCCACCACCCCCTCTCTCTCTCTCTTTCCCCATCTCTCTCTCTCTCTCCCCCTCTCCCCCTCTCTCTTTCTCTCTTCCTCCTCCCGCTCTCTCTCTCTCTCCTCTCCTCTCTCTCTCTCTCTCTCTCCTCCTCTCCCCCTCTCTCTCTCTCTCTCTCTCTCTCTCTCTCTCCATCTCTTCATTTCCTCTCTTTCCATGTCCTCAGCTTGTATGGGAGTTTTGTGATGGATAGTATAGCTAGCTGTGGATTCGGTTTGAAAGTCAACTCACAGGAGGACAAAGACGACCCTTTCGTCGAACACGTTGCCAGATTCTTCAAAGTGTCTTTCACTTCTCCCGCTTTTATGGCTGTTTGTAAGACTAAAATATCATTCTTATTATTGTTATCTATCAAAAGTTTCATACAATTGATACTTCAAAATAACTGTTTTGTTATCTAACATATCGAGCTCAGAAAAATTCAACAACAACAAAGAATATTCCAGCCAGTTTTACGAAACACATTGCAAGTAAACTGTGTTTTTCGTGAAGCGTGCATACACACTGCATGATCTATAGTTGACTGAACCATTCTATATCTAAAAGATCTCGTGCCCCTTATAATCCGTAGCTGTATGTTGATAGATTAGAATTCCTTGAATATTCATATAGAAGGTCTAACTTACCTTAGGTTGGTTGACTATTATCGTTGTGAAATTTTATAAATTATTGAACTTTAAGTTTATTCTTAGCAGGCTTTCATAACGCAAAGATATTTTCGACATATGATCTTATATATACCCTTCATAATTTTCTTCCCTCTCCTTCAATATCGTAACAAATTGTCCGTTGTTCTTTACGTCCCCTTATATCTATTTTGAAACATAGATATTTATGTACCAAATGTGGACGGTCGTAATGCTACAATTATATATCAACTAAAATAAAAATTGAAACATTTTTTGTTACTGTCCAAAGTTCAAGTTTAAAGTTTGATGTCCGCATTCAGGCCATCCACATCCGAGTTTGCACATTTTAATACAATTCATTGGCTAATGATTAAAGCGATTCTAATTTAAGAATTGTACAAACTTATTTGGATTTACCTTGATTCCAAATTACAGCTTTCATGCCGTTTCTAAAGCACATCTTCGAATATCTCAACATCACCCTGTTCCCCAGGGACGTCATCGAGTTCTTTTCTGACGTCACAGAAAAGGCGGTAGCTCTGAGGGAAAATAACACATCGGAGAAGGTTAGATGGCTGATGACTCGCGTTCTAAAATGAAAAAAAAAATCGGGGGGGGGGGGGGGGAATAGTTTCCTTTGCATTTCTGTAACAAAGCTTTTCAATGTTAGTGTTAATCAGGGGCGACACCATAGTATTTTAAAGTGTGTGTGTGTGTGTGTGTTTTTTGTTTGTTTTTGGGGTGACAGGAATCCTGACTGAACACCATTGAACTGAAGAAGAAAAAAAAAATTCATTTGAAAACTATGAATGTGAAGAATAAGAGACTATGACACCTTCCTCAGAAATTACAGAATTGTAAAATTTATATGAATAAACACATTTACCCAAAAGCAAGGAAATGAAACGTAAAACGTGACGATATTTTTCTTTGAATTACAATTACTCACTTTCTATTTTCACCTTTCTCCCATGTCTGCATATCGAATTAAACCCACGAGTTATATTTGAATTATTATGCCTCCCATTTCAATTCATATATATGATCACAGAGAGCTGATTTCCTGCAGCTTCTCATCGACGCCAAGAATGGTAGAACTGAAACGGCGAATGAAAACGATGACGACGATATCCACAACAAGTACTTCAAAAACGCTGGGACAGAAGACGACGTCCCGACTAAAGCTCAGAAATACATGACGAGAGAGGAACTGCTTGGTCAGGTAAACTCCATGCGCAAACATCCTTTGTAAAATACACGCTGGCCACTAAAAACACACTTTTAAATCGGCCCTCGAATAAGCAAACAGTCGCGTGAAAGCAGGCGCGGATCCAGGATTTCTTGGGGGGGGGGGGGGGCCCATTTTTTTTTTTTTTTGCTCCCGAAAATTCGCTCAGTAGGGGGGGGGGGTGTAATGAGGACATTTTTTGTTCTTCTTTTTTTTGGCCCTCGAAAATTTGAAAAATCGCACCCCCCCCCCTTGAGCGCCGGGGGGGGGGGGGGGGGGGCATCTCCCCCAAAAGGTAAAATTTCCCATTTTTTACACATTTTTTTCCTAGGGGGGGGGGGGGCTAGGACCTCCCCCCCCCCCCCCCCCCCCCCCCTGGATCCGTCACTGCGTGAAAGGGCTCTTTCAGTTAATGCCTCAAAAACTACACTTTATTATTTGATGACTGACTAACTGTTAATGACAAAAAATTATCTGCAAACTGACTTAAATTTTATTTTTAAGAATATCATAACAATGGTCGACCACCAATATTTTTCTTCATTTTAGGCGATTATATTCCTTGCCGCGGGCTATGAAACCACTTCAGCCCTATTGACTCTGACATCCTACCTACTCGCTACAAACCCTGACCACCAAGACAAACTCATTGCCGAGGTCGATGACATCGCACCAAAACGTGATGACGTCAGCTACTCTACGATCTCCAAGATGCCCTACTTGGATCAGGTCGTGTGCGAGGCACTTAGGATCTACCACCGGCAACATTGTAAGTGCAGTTCTTCTGAAAAAAATTGGTTGCTTGTTTTGCTTTTTTTTAAAAATAGAATATTAAATCTGATGACCGGCTTGCGAGACACTTTTTGACTTTTGTATATAAATTTTGTCGGCAATGATACATTGCTCTCAAATACATTTTTGTGGTGATAATTGAACAAGTTTTCTCCATTTATCCACTACTTTTCCTTGTCCTTTTTTACTTTATTTCTTTCTTTTTCCGTACCAAACACAAAACACAATATTTCAATTAATGCTGTCTTGTCTTTCTCTCAAACCACGAAGGACTGATCGTGAATGTGGAGAGACGTGTACCTACAAGGGTATTAAGATCGAGAAGGGTGCTCACATTTGGATCCCGCCTTACACCCTTCATCATGATCCACATCACTGGCCTAATCCTACCAAGTTTGATCCAGACAGGTAGGAACATACGCCCCCTAAGCCCCCCCCCCCCCTCGGGAAAACCACGTTTGCTGTAGAACTATTGCAAATTATATTGACTTTTTTTCAGACCGAAAGGAGGAATGAAAGCCGGCGTTACACTGCACTCCTCTCCCTTAATGTCATTTGAGTTACTATACATCTTTATTTGCTTTCATAATTTTAATGTCTCTTTTGTGTAAAACTGTTTCTTCATTTCCGGTTACCTTTTGGTCATGTAATCATCTTTACACTTAAAGGTTACTGCTAAAGATGCTGACAGGCAGGCCTAAGTATGTAATTGAATTCTCGTGCAAAATGTATAGTTTCAGTAATTGTGTTCAGAGTGCTTTTGGCTTGGCATCAATAAGTAAAATAATTTCTTCCGAATCCCACTCGGATTTTCTAAGAATAATCACTTGAGGTGTAATCTATAATGCTCAGATTCCCTTGTACACACTTTTAATTCCATGTTGAAAGGATGAACTCAATGTATCATGTTAGGGGCATTTCTCTTTGCTTACCTTTGATCTATCTTATTCTTTTAAAGGCCCACTGCACTACTGGTAGCTACTTGCGCCCTCTATATAACAAACAATGCCTAATCGGTGACCATTGGTCCCCCATGATCCTCTTTTTCTTATGTTAACTGAGAGCTGAGTTGATGAGATAACTACCTGTCCAGTGACCTTGCAGAGCGGTCTAATCCCTCCTGTAAACTACGGCAGATAAGCTTTAATCAAAAAGGGAGGATCGTGAGTGTGGTTATCCATTTTGTTAGGATTCCCTGACGCACTTATTTTATTCCATATTGACTGAATAAATTCTTTTGAATTATTTGGGGGCCTTTATTTCGTCTTACTTTTGATCTTTCTTATTTCTTAGATTTTCAAAGGAGAGTCGCGAGGGACGTAATCCCTTTACTTGGATTCCGTTTGGTGCCGGACCTCGTATCTGTATCGGTATGAGGTTTGCACTTATGGAAACTAAGATGGCCCTGGTCCGGTCTTTACAAGTAGTTCGTTTTGAGGTCTCGCCACTAACCAAGGTAGATATCGCAAATTTCTGTTATTTTGCTTGCAAATCAGTTCTTCCTAAGATATACTTCAAATATATAAGTCCTGGAATGTGGTTGGAGATTTGGATTTCCAACGGTGAAAAGATTCTGATATCAGTGCAAGATTCTTTAATTTTACTATCCCTTCGACGACGTTCTTGGAACTCCATCTTTTCCATAGACGTGTCGTGGTCGAGTGGATATGTCAGTGGACTGTCGATCACAAGGTCCGCGGTTCGAGTCCCTAATGTCCCTAATGTCCCTAATATATTTATTATTATGCGCTATATAGAGGTGTTGTGGTCGAGTGGATACGTCGCCGGACTGTCGATCACAAGGTCCGCAGTTCGAGTCCCGCCGCTGCACTAATGTCCTTTGGCAAGACATTGATCTACATTTGCCACACTCCACCCAGGTGAAGTAAATGGGTACCTGGTAGGAATTTATTCCTTGAAACGCAGCGCGCGTAACAGCTGCACTGCTAAAGCCAGGGTAATTATGCTGCATTATTGTAGAGCGCTTAGAGACTTCTGACAAAGTAAGTGTTAGGCGCTATATAAGCACTGTAATTATTATTATAAAAATTACTTTATTATTATTATTATATCCTTTGGCAAGACATTGATCTACATTTGCCACACTCAACCCAGGTGATGTAAATGGGTACCTGGCAGGAATTAATTTCTTGAAATGCTAGAGCGCCGTAATGGCAGCCGTGCTATTAAAAGCCAGGGTAATAATCGGGAGCGCCAGGAGTGTCAAGGCTGACAGACATGAGCGCTATACAAGAACCCACTATTACTATTATTATCATTATTGTACGTTCTGAACAAAATTGATGTTTTATAGATTAACAATTTCTGCGACCAAAATATCAAATGAAGGGAAAATTGAAGAAACACAAAAGTTCTTTGAAGCGATATCAATCTTCATCCATTCATTAACCTTAAATGGATGACACTAGACAAGCGGTTTGAGTTAAGTCGCGTTATGATGATATATAAATGCGTTCATAACTTAGCACCATCTTACCTTCAGGTAGGCTTAATCAATCCTAATGATGTACATGAGCATCATACAAGGCAAATAGACAGTGGATGTTTACGTGTGCCTTGATTTCACACTGATTGTTATAAGTGTAGCCCAATTGTTTCTTCCATATTTGAATGGAATAAGCTAGATAATTCGTTGAGAACGGCTTCCTCTGTCAATTCATTTAAGAGATTGTTTAAACAAAGTTGTAATTTGTGAATGGCTCAGCCGAACATACACTACGTGCATGTTCTGTAATATTAACATGACTTATTCACATAATTGCGACTTAATCAATATTTGCCTATTGACATTATTGTTTACTAGGTTAATGATATATGTTTATTTTGCAAATGAGTATTATTTGTTGTAACTGTTTTGTATAAACGTTATAAACGATGTAAATATGTTCATGTTTATTCCGGGCCCCACGGAAGACCACTACTTGTTGGTGCATGGGCTACCCTGTCAAAAGATTAGAAATAAATAAAAACCTGAAATTGAAATGAAACATATCAAGTGTATTCGAAGAAAACCTTTTGTCTATAACGAGGGACATAAAAAAAAAAACTCCCTATAACCCATTGCCTTAGGGACCGGGGTGTTCCCTGTTTTTAGCCTATATTGGGACTAGAGAATTCAGTATGCTCAAAAGTATTCAGAACAGTATGATTTATTCTACTAATCACGGTGTACATTTGATTTCCGCCCTTTCTTCAGATCCCGCCAGATATCGGCCAGTCACAAATCCTATCGTCTACCGCCAGCTATATGCTAAAAGTTGTTCGACGTCAATAATGCACTCAATGCCACTAGCTACTTCTAGAGTAGACAGTTGTACGGCAGGAGATTTGAAGAGGCTGGGTGGAACAAATTAAATTAGTGAAAAAAGGGAAAGCCCGTAGTCTTTCTAATTTGCCGACGGTTGTGGAAAGCGATCATCAGATTTTCACTTTTTACCAATCGAGCTTCCAACATGTTTTCCAATAAACCGGGAAAAGAAATTCGATATTTTTTACGATTTGAAATTTTGAGCCTTGTAAATATTATGTACTGATTGCTCTGGACGTGTCACACACCCCTCTAGCGACCCTTAAATGATATACATGATTCGTTTTTCAAATTCTACTGTCAATTTTCAAATGCAAGATAACTGTTTAAAAGTGCCTTCTTTTAGTTCCACGCTGAAATCAGAGTGTTGCTAAGAAGGAAGGGGGGGGGGGGGGCGGTAGACGTTGTAAAGACCATCTTTCAAAAAGAATTTGTGAGGAGCAATTTGTCGCCTTGGTTTGCAAATTTAAAAAGGTGAGGTCCCATTTATTGGAAATGTTAGGGCTTACCTTGTTAAGTGTTATGTTTCCCCCTGGAAATGCCGACATCCATGTTACAGTAGTGTGACAACGCCCCGAGTAGTAATTACATATAAATACAGTGATTTGAATAGTTGTTGATAGATAGAGACGCTGAAAGATTAGACAATTAAAACAATAACAGTTTAATAGTTCACCTGTCGTGATGAATGTTATTATTTAAAAAATAGAGAAAATAATCTTAAACAGAGAGCGAGAGAGGCCCTTCCATATTTCACTTTTGTTTTTGTTGTTGTCATTTAATTCAAGGCTTTCAAACAAATTGATAGGAGGTACTTACTAGTTTTTGTTGTTATTTGTCTCGTAATTCATGTTTATTTGTACCATTTATTTTGGGAAATCAGTAAAATATGTCAAATAAGTGTGAATTATGAAATATCAAATTGAAACTGAAATATCTGACATCAAAAAACGCAAGAAAAACAAACAAACAGGCATATAAACATACAAAAAGTATTTTCCTTACTACTAGAGCTGATTAGCTCTTTGTTGACCATTATCAATCATCCATGTATAATTCAGGTATCCTCTCTTGATATATAAAAACATTTAACGAAAGTGAACTCATTAACTCCCTCCTGTGAGAAAAAGACAGATAGAGAGAGAGAGAGAGAGAGAGAGAGAGACGGTGAGCGAGGGAGAGACAGTGATGGTAAGAAAAAGAAATATAAAGTGAGATGGGACGAATGAGAATGAGAGAGAGAGAGAGAGAGATAGAGACAAAATAAAGGAACCACATAAAACTTAAATTTACACATATTACAGATTAAATTTCCAATGAGTTGGCTCGGCAATGACTGTATAAAACTAATACTGCGGTCGAGAGAAAGAGAGATTTCTTAAATCAAAAAACAAAGACTATGTGACTTTAAAGTTTAAAGGCTCGACCACTAGATCCACGTCAATGGCTCTTCCCCTTGACCCCATACATAAAAATGAAGTGATTCTTAATGTCTTTAGGAGAGAGTATATTTGCGAGAGGGAACTAAATTCAAACGAAATAAACCATTAGGGGCAGTACAAATGTCAAGAAATACATTAGAGTTTTTATCTTTCAAGACGGCTATTTGAAAGGTTCTGATTTGCTAAAAATCCAGAGTGTTCGGGGTCGGGACTCCGCCCCCTGGACTCCATCCGTAAAGATTAGTGGTTCCCATGACAACCCTCTGTTGTATAAAATTGTCCTTGGGAGAGTGTGTGTGTTTCATGTAGTTTCAACTTCTACCCACATTCATGTATAGTAGAGAAGCTTTCGTCCACTCCTGTTGACTTTTAATTCTTCACACGGATTCTTGCTGTTTGCTACCTCGAGACCGACTGGAGTGAAGATACGTGATAATGAATAGACAGAGTCCACATTCAGTAAAGGATTATCTATTTCTAACAATATGGATTCTTTCACCTTTCTTAACCAGAAGTTTGTTTCAAACTCAATATTCGGGGCATCGTCCAATCCAATGTTGTGTGTCTAGTATTGAGAGCGTGTTCTGCTATTTGCTGAATGAGATATAGAATGCTCAATCTGAAGTTGTTGTTTTTTTGCAAATAGAAAATGCCATCTCATTTAGCAGTAACTGAATCAATCTGGATAAAAAGGATTAATCCTTCACTGAACAGGTATTCTGGCCAAGAGAGTATCAAAACGGAGAGTGCCAACCCACTACACAAGGCTAGGAAACACATTGTAGTTACCTGCCGAGATTCGAGGGCATGGCCTTTAGCAAAACATACCTTATTTCCTATTTTCTTCTTCTTTACTGCTTGTTTACACCGTTAATTGGCAAGGGTATAATCGTGGCATATTCCATCCTTTATACGAAATTACGTCCAAGGAATGAACTATAAGTGAGAGGGAGAGGGTATGAGATGGGAAAGGAAAGAAAAGGTAAATGTGACGGGAGTAGGGAAGGGGTCCATACCTGCCGCCCCGGGTTAAAGGGGCAAACATTTTTATTTTAAAAGGGCAAACTTCTTATAAATCTAAAGAAGGAATTTTTGATAGCTTTCAAAACAAGCACGATTGTACTTCTAAAAGTAGCACAGTTCGTTCTTATGAAATTTGGGATAGTGTACCCCTCCCCCGGCTACACGGCCTTTCACACAAAGGGGCATTTCTCAAACATAGAAAGGGGCACTCATCAGTGTTGAAAATGGGCGCATAAAAATGTGCAATATTACAAAGGGGAAAGAGGCACCATCAAAAGGAAAGTGGGCGCCTGTTTGGAAGGGAAAGGGGCGTGTGTCAAAGAAAAAGAGGCATTTATCAGAGGTAAAAAGGGGGCACTTGTGAGAAGGGCAAAGGGGGCATTTATTACAAAGGAAAAGGGGTTCTGGTTAAAGTAACAGGGCACATTTCAGATCAGAATAGGGGCAATTATAAGAGGTGAAAAGGGGTATGTATAAGCAAGGGGAATGAGTATTTATTAGAAAGAGAAAGACGCATCTTTCTGAAGTAAACAAAAAAGGCGCACGTCTCCCACCTAGTGTGATCTTAAGACAAATAGTGTAATATTAGTCTATAGTGTTTTTGACAGGTATATTACAAGGTCAAATGTTTTGTACAAATACAAAAAAGTGTCGATTATTTGCTAACTTGCAATCTTACAAACATGGGCGGCACCCGTTTTTTATTGCCATCACACCTACGTATAACCTGCAACTGCAGAAAGAAAGTCAGAATTTTACATTTAGATTCGGTTCCTTGAGAAAGAACTACAATGCTCCCTGCATGGTACGGGATTGCTTATACCTCACGGGAGAAAATTGAATGTATATTTTGGAATCATCGTTCCTGAAACAGGATTAAATGGACAAATTTGTGTCATCATTTCTGATTAAGGCGAATTTGTTCAGTATTTCGAGCCATGTCTTCCAATTCCTGAGTATATTTTACATTCGGACGGACAATTTTCTCTGTAGCTCATCATATTGATCTACTTGCAGTGCACTTCATTATTTTGTTATCCTTGTGCAACCTTTGTCTCAGTGGGAGCTGCGGGGTGATCACAGGAAAGGGACATACAACTCAGGGAAAAAGCTGTCAGCTTTATACAGGTCTACAATATGTTATTCGCTTAGGTTGTTGAACTGTTCACACGTATACACTTCGCTGGAATTAAACCGACGAAACATAATTAGTCTAGTCGAAAGTACACCTACATGAGCCTTTATAAGATCGTCCAAGATTTCTCGGTCTGACTGCAATGGCGCGATTGAGGAAAACTCCTGGCAAGGGACATCAAAATGAGTCTGTCCAGGATCTTACCGATAGTACTGCTGTTCGTCTAACCCGTCAGGTCACCCTTATAGATAGTGTATCTCTCACAGTTGGTATGATCATAGGATCTGGTATTTTCATCTCTCCAACGAGTGTCCTGGAAAACTCTGGAGGGATAGGCTGGGCTCTCCTCGTCTGGGTTCTGTGTGGCATCTTATCAATGCTTGGAGCGCTATGTTATGCGGAGCTTGGTACGACCTTCCCAGTATCTGGAGGAGACTTCTCATACCTCCTGGAAGCGTATGGCCCGGTCCTGGCCTTCCTAAGGCTTTGGACTAGTGTGGTGTCCATCAAGACCGCATCGTATGCTCTTTTGTCTTTGACGTGTGTGACTTATATTCTCCTGCCGTTCTACCCCAACTGTGATATCCCACCCGTTAAGTTGCGCTTGGTTGCAGCCTGTATACTTTGTAAGTACGATTGAAGAGCCTGCCTCCTCATCAGGCTCATCAGAACCCCTTTAAATTGGCAAAAAGGTTGTCGATCAGCCTAACCGTCGAGCCGCCAGGTTTAGCCCCAAAACCCATAAAACATACTCCAAGTCATGTCGATTTCACGCAAACTACCCCATATAGTTTGTTCTACATTGCCATATTTGAGATGTATAATTTAGTGTCTATAAATTATTTATGTACTAATTAATTGCTTTCTCTAAAAGTAGCTAAATGATCTCGAGGATTACATAACCATTCGTATTGACCGCCGTCCCCTGTTTGACAAGCCACAAAAGATGAAAATGGTAGGAACCTTTTTTTAATTTTTTTATTTCAACAGATTGAACATAATTTTATTTCAGCAATGAAATCATGAAGCATGGATGGCAATTTTACAACAAGTATCTACTTTGGTAATTCTTACGAAATGCAGGTGCCATCTTTTTCGTGAACAGCCTGAGTGTCCCTCTAAGTCGCAGTCTGGAACTCTCATTCACGGTAGCTAAGCTCTTTGGTTTAGCTGTCATCATCGTCTCTGGGTTTGTCCAGCTAGCTAATGGTAAGGACAAAAGAAGTAAGTTTTTATACAAGAATTGGTATTTGTTATTGTACCGCTAAAAATGTTTAAAAAAAGAAAGAATTTGAACAAAGCACGATAGCAAAGACTTCCCAAAAATCGACCTAAAACAATTCCGGTAGTCTTGTCCATCAACCCTTGAAATGAGCGAACATGCCAATGACATATTACGTGATTTCTATGAGATGTATATAGGATATTTACATTTCAATTGAGATGATTTCTCGAAAACCTTTGCGATCGTTTGGCAAACTAAATTCTTAATTTTTGTCTCTATTCACAGGTATCAGTCTTTTCCAAACGGTATTTAATTGGAAAGCCTAAGAGATTTGATTTCTATTGATTCTTAAATTTGTTTAATTATTCATTTATTTATTTACACATTTATATTCATTTATTTATTTACTTCCTTTATTCATATCAGTCTTCTTAAAACTGTTTGAACCTTTCAATATCGAGTAATGATCTTCTAAGGGGTTTCTGTCTGTAGAATTTAAAAAAAATACATATTCAACACGATAAAATAGAGACAATAGAAGAAACAAAAGAACAAGATTATTATTGAGAAAGAGATAAAGGGAGAGAGAGAGAAAAAAAAGAGAGAGAGAGAGAGAGAGAGAGATAGAAGGAGGTGATGAATTTAGAAAGTGTGTTCTTGCGATCATTCATGGCAATTGATTCTCATTCGCACAATCGATGGAAATTGGGTTTTATGCATGATTTTATGCATAATAACTCAAGTCTATAGTAAAAGAAAGTGTTGTGATAATAATAATTTTTTCATGATGTTTCTTTGAAACAAAAATTGTAATGTAATAGTGTAACCGGAATTTTAAATTGCCTTTTTCTCCTCTACTGCTCCCAAATGTTTTATTTATTTATTTATTTAATTTTATTTTGGCCATATAGGTGAGACATCCAACTTTGCAAACGCCTTCGAAACTTCTAAATTTAGAATGAGAACGTTTCCCCTCGCTATGTATTCAGGACTCTTCGCCTATTCGGGATGGTAAGATCCTTTAAAAGAATGCCATATAAAGATAAATTCGAATTTTGATAACAATATCAGGGGGGGGGGGGGGGGGGGGTGTCAAATCTGACTGACATGAGCGCTATACAAGAACCAACTATCATTATTATTTATTATTCGTTTCTATCAAAATGTTGTTACCTGTAATTTGTGAAATCTGCAATATTTCATACACAATGCAAAAGTTATTATTTTTTTCAGATTTGCGCTCGGATCTAAATTTTCAAAAAGAAAGTGGAAACAGGATTGTTTCGCGTATGTCAAATCGAATTATGTAACAATGCAAAAAATGGGGGGGGGGGGGGGGGGAGGGGGGATGGCGAAATAACCCCCAGAAATGTCATTTGTTTTGCCTCTATTTATTTTCTTGACCTCCTAAACAACTTTGAGCGTCTAAATAATTAAATTGGCATTCAGTTGAGATTCTTGCTTCTTTCATTGCAATATTCTACTTAACTGTTGCATAAATCACTTGGACCTCAAACGTATTTTCTCAATTCTAGTCCTGAAATTAACTCCTTATCATTGATTGGGTACTCTTTAAACATTGTGCAGGTATGTTCAGACAACTTGTTTGATGACATGTCGAGAGTACCCATGGTAACATTACTTGAAAGGGATTGTATGCCTTGCTTAGTCATGGCTTGTGGTGCTATGTACTTACAAAGGTTATGTTGACTTTTCATTTTAGACACAATGTCATCTGTAATCCTGTATTTATCCTATTTTTTCAGGCAGTATCTGACTCAAGTGACAGAAGAAATAATCAACCCTTCGAGGTGAGAATTTACACATTTGTGCTGATGTTGAATGGTTTTATGCAAATAGACGTACGTATACAGTTCAAATTTATCTGCTGTATTAGCTGTTCGTGAATTTTCTGAATGAATTGAAGGTGGCCATTGTTGATCCTTTTTTAAGAACGGGTAGACATTCCCATCGAAATGTATCGTTTTCTCACGGGCAGAGTCTTTCAGTATCACGAAGAGATTGCAATCATATCAATCTTATCTTAATCAGATTTTGATAGTGTTCTGAATGTGAGAAATATTGTAAGTTAAGGGCACTTTCAAAGTCTTAGCTTTCCTGTGAAGAAGAAAAATAATTCAAAAGAAAGCGTAGAGCACGATCCCCTTCCATAATACCTGTTGACATTGTAGCATACTTATAAACTATTTACGTCTAACTTTTTTGTCCTTCTTTCTCAGAACAATTCCTTTGTCAATTGGGATCTCCATGATAATAGTAACAGTGGTCTACTTGCTAACTAACATTGCTTACTTCACTGTGCTCTCTGAGAGAGAGATGCTTACATCAAGTGCGGTTGCTTTGGTAAGAGACTAGCGTCACCTGCAGAAATTGCGTCAATTCCATTACGCCATTCAATTAGAATAAAAGTGACACATAAGATACACATAAGAAAAGAAATAGTTCACAAGAAAGACAAACAGACGAATGAAGGAGGAGAAGGAGAAAAAGAATACGATAGAGAAGGGAAAGAAGAAGAAGGAGAAGGAGAAGATAAAAAGAAGAATGACAACTTTTTATATTTTTTGTTCTACCATACTTTGTATGTTTGTATAGGTTTTCTTTGTTTCCATACATCATACTTCTTAAATAATAATCAAACACTTTAAAAAAAAGTTCATTCATTTTAAAGTATGCCACACAGAAATCTCTTCTGCTTAATCCTATGTACAATATTCATATATGCTCCTTTCGGAATTAATATATGAATTGATGTCAACTTGAATGTTTAATTTCATGACTGACCAATAAAAACCATTTCAATCGAATTCTTGATCAGGACTTTGGTCAGCGTGTACTAGGTAGTTGGTGGTGGACTATGAGTGTGGCTGTTGCTATGTCAACCATTGGATCCGTACATGGGGGCGTGTTTGGCTTCGCAAGGTATGACTTTCAATAAGAAAGAAGATTGATTTCGTTTCATTTTCTCAACTTTAGGCTTTGTCAACTATTTAGACTACATAATATCTATGTTTATCACATCGTTTGTGCTTTGATTCTTGATTATGTCTATTGTTTAATATAATATTGTTTAATATTTTTTTTGTTATTTCATTAAAATCCCACCCTTTGTATAGTGTTTTTATTATTCGTATAGTACAATTTGGTTTCGAAAAACACCAATCATTATACGTTTTTGGTGTTATATTGATATTTGGTTTCTACAAGTTCACCAAATACGAACTGGACAATTCGTTATCACCCACTGCACATGATTAACAAACAACAAGTTGTTTCATGTGTTATTAGTCCTCTTTGTATGGTTTTATTCGGCAATTGCATAACTAGAGGAACTTGTCACATTTTAATTCGAAACGTTTTATAGAGGTTGCCAAGAGTAACTTTTTACTTGTCCGGAAAGCACGCAAATTCTTTTAAACCCATTTCGAAAGTACCATTGTCAATTGCTTTATATTTTGTTATACTCTGCATGTATAGGTCTCTACTGGTTGCATCACGTGAGGGCCACTTGCCTGCCATAGCATCAATGATACACATCGATCGGAAAACTCCTCTACCCGCTGCTGCATTACTCGTACAGTATAATAGTTTCGGTATATCTGCATATACAACGTGTATGATACCTTGTGCTGATAGGATTTGAGTGGTTTTTTTACCAAGCTTTTTTTTAAATATTAAACACAAGTCTTAGTAATAACCATATACCTGTAGTCTGTACTTTGTGTATATACAATGTACATGTACAAGGTGTGACCTGGCTTTTTGTCGGAAACCCACCAGCAGCTAAGTTATACACTTTTTCATTTGGAAGATTGGAAATAATAATGATAATAATTATTATTAATAATAATGATAATAATAAAAATGTTAATAATACACATTAGTTTAATAATCATAATAATGTAATCAATATATTTAGCGCAGCTACTATATAATATACTCTACTACGCTGTGATGAAGTAAAAAGCTTGTATCGTTACTACTTTACAGGCACACACAAACAAATATTTAAAATCTTCTAAAAACAAGTGCTTCCCTATCAAAACTTTGAAGACAGCAACAGATGAGGCTTTCCTTATGTCTAGACAGTGGAGCCTTAGAGCGGCTAAACTGAAAGCGCAATCTCCAAGAGTTACTCTGGTTTTTGTGTGAGGTAGCTTTAGAAGCTAAAATAAGATGTATTTTAAAGCTGACATAAGGTAAACAAAATTTGAGCTGAATTGAATTTGAACTTTTTTAATTGAATTTGATTGAATTTCAGGCTCCTATCTGCCTCTTGATGTTGATCAGTGATGACGTAGGAACCCTTGTGAATTATCTCAGTTTCACACGATGGCTCTTCATCGGTATCACGTGTACTATCATACCTTACTATAGATGGAAACATCCAGAATTACCTCGCCCTTTTAAAGTAAGTCTAATCATCACTGAGTTTATATTTAATCAGTAAGACGTATATAACTTAGCAAGGACACAGCGGGCCTATTGATTTAGGCTAATGCTAAAATAATTCGAATATGATTACATTGTAAGCAGAAGGAGATATTCCCAACACACACACGCACGCGCACACGCCCTGTTTGATGCGCCCACATCAAACATACACACACGCTTTCAGATAACAATGGAAATGCCCGTCATGAAATTGAACACATGACCCTTTTCTACTTTAACTTTTAGTTTATACTAAATCGGCATTTATACCGAAATGTTAAGGTCATTACATTGAAAATGTTCTTTTTTTAATGTGGACCATGAATATCGATAACAACACTCATCATTTACATTACAATATTGTAAATTGATACAACATATTCCAGTGTCTGTATATAACAATGTGCTAAGAGAGAATTGTGGACTAATATTCTGAAACAACTATTATAAGTCGGGAATAATTTTTTTTAATACAAAATGTGAATACTTTAATGCTTACATCTAAATCTAAGTTATTTTTAACGGATATAAATGAACATGTAAATGGTTCTCTTCCTATAATAGGTTCCTCTGGTTGTCCCCATTGTTTTCGTGTTGTGTTCATTTTTCGTGGTTGGGATGTCTTTATACAGCAGTCCTGTAGATTGTGGTATTGGTTTAGCAATCATGCTATCTGGGATACCTGTCTATTACATTTGTGTTCGGTGGCAGAAAAAACCGGACTGGGTCAATGATAGATTGGGTGAGTAATTCGTAGTTTCTAAAGTGTCGAATCCTTTTTTGTATTTTGTCAGTATTTTTTTTCTTTTGTTAGGTTGATATCGTAAAATTGACTCAGAACTTTAAATTGCACGCTAGGCTTTAGGCTGCATTTTTCCTGAACAAAATTATGACACTTGTCATAACACATATCATAACAATCCGGCGATTCTCGCCAATTCAAAAAATGTCATCCTCCTTTATCCTCATGAACATAATTCCCTGAAGTCTTCACAGTAATATTGAAGGTTACAGCTTGTTTAACTTTAAAACCTGCCCTGTTTTGTTTTAATGACAAATAAGAATACAGGCTGTGATGATCATTAAACCCAAATATACGTGTAAATACATAACGAAAAAGTTCACATTTGTCAACTTCTTTGGATATTGATTAACCTCACTTATAAATTTGTTTTTCTTTCTCTAGATCGTGCGACCGTATTTTTACAGCAGCTCCTCTTCGTCATTCCCCCAGAGAAAGAGGCCGAGCCCAAAAAAGCTAGTTCAACGCGAAGATGACCAGTGATTATCATCAACTTAAAGCTAGATTTCAGACTAATACTAGATTACTTTACTAATATTTCGTTTTTCTTTCTAATATACGTCGCGCCCTTACCATTTTCCTTTAGCCTTGGCGCTATTGTTACAGAAAATATATAAATTTGAATGGTGTGTGTTTCACGCACGTATGCGAACATAGTAATATAAACAAACTTCCTATTATTTGTGTATGTAGTTAATTTGAGATGTATTCACAGCATGCAAGGGATTGATTTAGTCATATAAATAAGGGTTCTAGTACACCTACCCCCTGGACAACCACCCTCTAGTACAACTGCCCCCGGACAACTACCCCTCAGACAACTACCCCAGCCAACTACTCCCTGGAACAACTACCCCTCAGACAACTACCCCAGCCAACTACTCCCTGGAACAACTACCCCTAGGGCAACTACCCCAAGACAACTACCCCCTAGGACAACTACCCCTCAGACAACTACCCCCTACGACAATCATCCTCTAGGACAATTATCCTAGGGGCTAGTTGTCCGAGAGGTAGTTGTCCTAGGGGGTAGTTGACCTAGGGGGTAGTTTTCTGGGGGTAGTTGTCCTAGAGGGGTAGTCGTCCTAGAGGGTGGTTATCCTAGGGGTGGTTATCCGGGGTCGATGTCCAGGGGTGTCCGGATACGTATAAATAAGATACGCATGTTTAAAGATAAAGTTGAGTTCTGGTCATGCGATTGCATTGTGAAAGAAAAGGTGTGGAATGGATCAGAAAAGGTTGATCATGTAGAATGTTAGTATTGGTGTATAGTGCAAGGTTCTGGAGTCATCAAAATCATAATAAATTTAGCCCAGTCTTGGTAAAGTAACAAGCAATGTACACAGAAAGATACATATGGGACTACAAAAATGGTGTAGGAGCTGCTTACCTTGATTTTTTTTATCTGTCTATGCTCATTACTCAGCCATTGTACATTTTCTACCAAAAATGTTTGGCAAATGACATTTATTTGTAATCTTAAACATTTACTGCAAGTTTTGTTTGATTCTGTGAGGATTCATTTTCTTCTTTTTTTATCAGAACTCAAGTTTATCTTTAAATTTAATTTATGATTATCATTATAATCATTACCTTTGTGGACGTTTGTTATATTCTATCATCAGCCTATTGCGATCAAATTAAAAACTGAACGTAAATATATATCATTAGACGGGAATAGACAAATTCGCAGAAGCTACATTAGTCTTACTGTTTAGTGTGTTCATGGACCTATTACGGATGGACATTCCACGTGATTCTTTCTTTGATCCAATGATAGTCGCCGCCTTCTGATTATGTGCATCTTAATTAATGAGAACATTCAGCTGTTTTAACAATAACGACTGCGTAAGCATTTTCGGTCATTGACAAAGGAGCAGTTTCCCTCTTTTGGGTTTTGTTTGGATGGTGTGCTCTGTAAGAGTGTGTCTTAAATAAAAGCATCCCCAATGGGGAGCAGCAAAGTTGAAAAGCAGACGATTTTGGTGATATGAAATGTATTATTTCTGATTCGCAAACTTTCGCACACATCTATAACCTTATAAAACAACTAGAAGGCCATGATCTGTATCAGCCCTGTGCGTTGTAACTCTGGGATATTATGAGGAAATAGGGGGAAACGGGATTCTAAATCACAACCAAAAAATCCAAAAATAACCTCTATCTGGTAATATCAACATGTTTTTCAAAATAAAATACATGTACAGTACACGGAACAACAATTTCCGATTATAAGCCAGAACTGCACATCTATTTTCCATGATTTAAGCGAGGTATTATCTTCTGCGCATGTAGATTAACATGTGTAAAATCACTATCTTGATTCTGTCCCGGCTTTTTGGCGGTGACCATCATGAGATCAAAGTAAAGAAACATGTAGGGAATGTTATTGAGACGACATTGACGGAGACAATCACGATGAATTCGTTAAGAAAACGAGGAATGTCCATCCGTAATAGGTCCATGGTGTGTTTGAGTTTCGTTTCTTTCTTTGTTGGTTTATTAAGTTAATTCAATTCTCGCTACCCCAAATAGCGATTCTGCCGAGATCCGGGGAAAATCCTGAAAACGCGCATTGCATTATGGGATAGCTTTTCGACATTACAGCTTCCTGTGCAGGCGTTCGTGATCACAACCCTCTCTTTCACGGTAGAGTTTAACGGCCTTTTGTGCTAAAGTCACTAATTCTGCCCGAAGCTTTTCATTGCATATTATAATCTGTACAAATTACACTGATTGGCATCGATTTTAGCGTGCGTGAAAACTCTGCACAGCGAACACAGGCGCTAGCGCCAGCGGGATGGGACTCTATACCGGAAGTTGTAGTGACGACCCGAGAGAGTGAAAATTACCTCGTCTCGCGAATTTCGAGATTTTCGTACCTATTTAGGGTAGCGAGAATTAAAACAACTACAAGCAGGGGTGGATTCGGGATTTCTTCAGGGGTAGCGGCACGATTAAAAAGTATGACATAATCAGGAGAGGCAATTTTTGTGTGTACCTAATGCAGTTCAATTAGGTTTAAAGGGCCTGATTCTCCCCTGAAACCCAACCGTCTTAAATCCGCCATTGGAGTGGGTGCCAAAATCATGGCCAAAACTCCCGTTTAATTATTTATCACTGTTATTGTTTTATTCTTCACACTACCATTAAAGGTAGTGTATCCCATTTGTAGCCACCATCAAATTCTGTAGAACTTTGCAGGAATTATGAATATGTCGCGTATGTCCTATCTGTGAAATTTAAACGCTAGCAGTGTCTTAGTATTCAAATTATGCAAGGAAACCCATTCATTTTCTAGACTTTGATGTCAGACACAATTGAGTGACTGACTAGCCTCTTGTTTCTTTGGTAATAACATACACTAAATGAGCTGTAAAGGGTACATGAGCATTTGCCTACATCAATAACCCACTACTTGTAATGGCCAAAATTAAACTGAATGAATCTTTGCGCTGCACAAAACGTATACCATTCGGTACAAGGGTCAGACTATCAGAAAATCAGACTATTTAATAAAACTAGCGCGCTCGCTAAAATCGTCACACCCCCTCTAGCGACCCTTATAATTGATTCTGATCCTGACTTAAAAGTATGTGATTCGTTTTCAATTTCTACTTCCAATTTTCAATACAAGATAACTGTTAAAAAATGCCTCCTCCTAATTCCGCACTGAAATCAGGGTCTTGCTTAAAGGGGAAAGAAGGGGGGGGGGGGTAGAAGTTGTAAATTTGTACCATTATTTTTCCCCTTGAAATCCCGATATATATGTTACACTAGTTCATAGTGTGACAGTACAACGTCCTGGACGGTAATTTCATATAAATACAGTTTTTGGATAGCTGTCGATAGACAGTTCTCTCTGAAAGCTTACAGACAATTAAATAGGAAAGTTTGGTAGTTCACCTGTCGTGTTAAAAACAAAAAATTAAGAGATAAATATTTTTAAACAAAGAGAGAGAGAGAGGCCCCTCCATATTCCACTTTTGTTGTTGTTTTCTTTTAATTTAACATATTCAAACAAATTGATAGAAGGTATTCACTTTCTGTTTTGTACCATTTGTTTTTTTGAAATCATTGCATGATGTTAAATAATTATATGTGAAATATGGAATATTAAGCTGAAACTGAAATATCTGACATCGTATCAAGAAGACAAGAAAAACAAAGAAATAAACCAAACACGCAAGCAAACAAAAATACATGTAAAAGGTAATAGAGCTGATATGCTCTCGTTCGTGTATAATTATTATGGTCCTTCAACTATCGTTGTTCACCATATACTACAATTGTATTAAACATTACATATTAATCATCCATGTATAATTCAGGTATCCTCTCTTGTTATTCAACTCCCTCTGTGTGTGCGTGTGGATGTGGATCATGTGTGTGCGCGCGCGTGTGTATGTGTGTGGGGGTGCGCGTGGGTGTACAGCAGTGTGAGTGTGTGTTTGTGTGTCCTAACATACTGTACATTGAATGGCGTGTGGCAATATTTCCATGTCTTTGTTCAGCAGACACTTTTGACAGTTGTTACAAGATTCAAGCACATTAATATGTTAATTGTTCATTCTCTAGTCTCTATCACGGTGAAATTTTTGAAAAATCATTAAAAATATAAAAATAAATCAAACTCCATGCAAAATATGGACACAATTTGAAACCTTTGCATACTGCTGAGTTAAGTGATACGAAACAAGCTAAAGGATGCATTCATCTCATTTATGTATTTCATTACCAAAACTCACTTTGACCTTTAAGATATATTATTGGATCAAAGCCAGAAGGGCATTATCTATGTGTTAAAGGACAAGAATTAATGCCCTTCTGGCTCCAAACAGACGGTATTCAAATTAGGGATAAATACTCCGTGCACAGAATCTTAGCTACCAAGCACGCACTTGTAAGGCAGAGTAATCCCTTAAAATTCAAATTTTCAAGATGACGTCATTTCGGCCTTGGCCATCAGAAACCTTCCGATTTAAGCAGGGCTCCCACTTAGCCGAGTTGGAGACTCGAGTTGTGGCGAGCTGGCGCGATCTTATGGCAAGCCGTTTTTATTATTAATTGATATCAATAAATCAATTCTTGTTATCAAGAAATAATTTTATGTTGTAAAGTAATGGTAATTCTTGATATCAAGAATTCGATTTCGTGATATCAGGAATTCGATTTCGTGATATCAAGAATTGAATTCTTGATATCAAACATATGTTTTAATGATGAAACTGCTTGCCATAATTATGATCGCGCCAGCTCGCCACAACTCGAGTCTCAAGCGCAACTCGGCTAAGTGGGAGCCCGGCTTAAGTCTCAACTCTGTCCTTATGATTTCTAACATAAATTGTTTATATGATTAATTTCTGTGATGAATATAAGCCAATAGAACTTCATTTGCATAAGCAAGATAACATGTATAATGGCCTTAGCACACCTTGACGATGTAGCCAGCGTATGCCAACGTATCAAAATTTCTCTAAAACGCTGGCATACGCTAACAATCGATGTTTGTTTTTTCAATGTTGGGCGTATACATAGCGTATTCTTAACGAGTTAGACGTATACATAACGTATGTTGACTTATCGTGCACGAAATCGGCTAGCTTTTTGAATCAATATGAAGGGAATTATTGCATTATGATTTCCTGTTAATTAGTTAATTCCTGCTTTAACTATATGCCATAAATAAAGGCTGAACTTTTTTTAGGGGGGGGGGGGGGTTGAGTGGGGGTGATAAATAGATAGGTATCCCAGAATTATTTTTGGATAATTCCCCACCATGTTACAACTTTCTCAAAACTTAATAATTTCTTCACCTTCATCAGCTTGATCAGGTAGATCATACGAGCGTAAGATGAGAACGCCTACTTCAGAAATTGTTTCCGTTCTATCACATTAATCATGTTAAATCTGTTAATTCTTATCTGCGATTTTTTGTTATGTGGTATTTCAATATACCACTTCAACATAACTGGAAACAGAAAGACCGTGTAATGATGATATTGATTTTCAGCACAATGTCTGTTTAAAGAGTTTCAGGTTTCTATTGCCGACTAATAGGCTAATTTATTTAATGTCGGTGTTAACCTCCATTTGATATCAAATATTCCCCTTTGTGTTCTTCAACACATAACTGTTATAATATCTCATATGGTTTCGCGTGGGACTTTATTACTTGTAAATGTTTAAATGTTTGTACCGAAAATGCAATACGACTTTTGGTTTCGAATGAAAATATTCATAATAATTGTTATTGTATCCCGAACCTATATATTAGTCTTGATTACCAATTTAGAACATGATAATCACGATTTTTTTTTAGGGAAAACAAATCCGAGCGCCTTTTCGCAGCTCAGAATTAGGCTGACCCTCTGCAGCATAGAATACAAATTTGTTGTTTATTCTTCTATGAGCTTGTGTTAGCATATATTCAAGAGCGATACATAATCTTTCGACAAAGGTGTACCTTTTCTTTTTCAGAGGTGATATATTGACGTCATGGAAAACGGAAAATTTGTGTACCCCTTGCTCATCACTTGTCTCCTCGTCAGCTCGTCCTTTCAATCTTTACATCGACACGATAGGAGTTCAGCGATGACATCCTTAACACTGGACATGGACAACTCTTTCCATGGATGCGATCAGAACCTTGAACTTAAAGAAGCTTCTTGCAGCAAAAAAGACCTGGACACGGTTCCCCAGAATCTTTCTGAAGATACCGAGGTGCTTGACTTGTCTGAGAACAATATCACCAAACTCTTGAACTCCTCGTTTGAAGTATACCCTCTAATCAACTCCTTGGACATTTCTTTCAACGATGTAAGAGCGATAGAATCCGCCGCTTTTTACCCCCTCAAGGGCTTAATGTACCTGTTTCTAGCCTTTAACGAAAATCTTGTGCTTCCAGCAACAGGCGTCTTTATGATGTCTACACAGCTTTCCTTTCTCGATTTAACGTCAACATACTTGAAGTCGCTCCCCATTGACACTTTTAAATGGATTCCACATCTAGATACTGCTTTTCTGTTCTACAACCGGCTCTCCTCCATCAATGTAAGTTCTTGTGACATGGCCGACAATGTAATCATGATTGGTAATCGACTAAAACACCTTACGACGAGAGATTTCATATTTGTGTGCCACACTGATATTCTAGATATTAGAGGAAACCGTATCCAATCAGTAGACCCTGATGTGATCGCATCACTACATGTTCACTCCTTGGTGCTAGGTGGCTACCCTTTGAGTTACGAGGTGTTAGCGAACATCGTCCTCGGAATTTCAAAATCAGACATCGAACAGCTAACAATCGAGGAAGGTTCTGTTGGTGCGTTTCCTAAAGGTTTCTTTGATCCTCTGCGCGATTCTTCTCTCTCTGTTCTGGATTTCAACAGCAACAAACTGAATAGCCTCCATCCTTTAGTCTTCTCAAATTTAACAAAAGTCAGACAATTCAGTTTCAGTAATAACAAACTCCCCATAGACGAAATTCAACCAGACCTTTTCGATGGTATGAATGCATTAAAGATACTGGCAATCAACGACAACCGAGTAAGACAAATAAACCCTAACAATCAGACTTGGACAGTGGACTTATTGGAGTTTGACTTATCCGGTAATCTGTGTACAGAAATATCTGCATCTGTATTTCACGGATTAGGAAATTTAACTTTCTTAGACATGAGCTCGAACAAACACCTTTCTGTCTTTGAGCTGACGGCCTTTTCGGGACTTGACCATATTCAAACCATTGATTTGACCGGAAGTCGTGTAACAGTTCTGGAATTGAACACCCCGATATTAAGATCACTTTCCCTAAACTCTCTCCGTTCATTCTTGCTTCCTTTGCGGCCAGGAAAATCTTTTCAAAATTTACAATCCCTTGTTAATTGAGACATGAAAGACTCTCAGATTCACCTGGGGAACATATGGAATGCATATAGCAACGTATCTCTTTTCGATGGATTGTTGGCTCTTAATCATTTGAATTTGAGTAGTAACCATTTCCTGAATTTTGTATATTCAGGGATATTCCGGCATCTCTCTGTTTTACAAGAACTTAATCTAGACTACTGCGATATTACATATATACATCCTCGTGTCTTCTTGGGGCTGGAATCGCTTCAGAAGTTGAGTTTGAAAGGAAACAACATCCAGCATATTCATGATGATATATTGTCGGGGTTAGGTCGAATAAAAAGTATCAACTTAGAAGGAAACGGTATCAAGTACTTGGAGGAGCTAATGTTCTCAAATAACTGGAAGCTCACTAATCTTTCCTTGGCCAACAACAGATTAACGCGCCTTAATAAAAGCACTTTCAAGCCGATCTTTTCCTCCATTTCATCACTTGATTTATCAATGAACCCAATTAATTGCAACTGTGATCTAAAGTGGCTTATTGATTGGTTAAATGAACCTATACGCCTGATAGACAAGGAAAATACTATCTGTTCGTCTGCATCTCTGGACCCTCTTCGTGAGAAACCCCTGCTTGATTTTGATCCAAATGAACTCTGTATAATGAACTATGGTCTATTCTCTCTGATTCCCCTTGCCTCCATTAGCTTGATTGTAATCAGCGTGCTGGTGTATCACTACCGATGGCAGTTGAGGTACAAACTATTTCTCCTGAAACTGGCCGCAGTTGGCTATAGAGAGATGCTAGACGCTCGAGACCCCATTGACTACGAGTTTGACGTGACCATCATTTTCTACGACGATGACGAAGAATGGATTCGAGAACAGCTCCGACCGGCTCTCGGAGAACGGCTTCCACAGTTTCAGAGGAACGTCTTCGGTGACGAAGACCTTGTATTGGGTATGCATTACTTAGATTCCGTCGATTACGTGGTGAGCCATAGTTATAAGACCATCATAGTGCTTAGCAGAGCTGCTGTGCACGACCACTGGTTCATACTCAAGTTCCGTACAGCCATGGACCACGTGAGTGACACTCTGACTGAATTCGTAGTCGTGGTTTTCCTCGAAGACATCCCAGATGATGAAATGCCATTCTTGGCGAGGTTGTACCTCAGTGATGGCAGACCCTATATTCACTGGACTGAGAACGTGAGAGGACAAGAATATTTCTGGGATGAATTGACCAAAAATCTGACCATTAATCTGAGAACGAATGACTTGATCCCAAACGAGTAGCAGTCATGTAGGAATCTAGAGAAGCGTGTGATGGTTATCAGTAATGCAAGTGGTAGTAGCAGCAGTAATATTTAAAGTTGTAATAGTAGTAGTAGTAGTAGTAGCAGGAGCAATGACATCAGTAGTAGTAGTAGTAGTAGTAGTAGTAGTAGTAGTAGTAGTAGTAGTAGTAGTAATGATGGCAGTAGTAACATAATCGCGCTGCTCATACTGTTACTATTATACTATTATTCTCATATAATTGTCTTTTTAATGTTCTCTTTCACTATCAGCAGTATCATTATTATTTTTATTATCGTTATCATTTTTATTGTTATCCTCATCATCACCATCACCACTATCCTCATTTATGTTGTTCTCGTTTCTGTTAAAGTATCCATTGATATTAAAATCGGTTAGAATATCGGTTAGATAATAGGCAATCATAGACTTAAACGTGTATCCACGTAGTATAATGGCTTTATGACATGGTTAAATATAGATTTATATAGGCCTAGTACCTGTATCGGCAGTTTCTTTCTATTTTTCAATATAAGGATTACAATCACAATGACTGTGATTTAATTACTTCATAATATTTGCTGAATAAGAGAATTAGCATTTAAAGGTTTCTACTATACTGATTCCTATTACTCTAAGGCTGAGCGCATACCACACGAACTGACTGCGATCCGATTTCGGAAGAATTTACAACAGCATTTGAACATTCCAACATGTACAATCTCAATGATCGAGAATCTGATTATTTATGTAATTAATAAAATCTAACTTGTAGGGGATTTCAAGCTTTCTTGACGGAGGAAAAGCTAAATCAGCTCAGAATCTTAGTGACGTCATACCAGTATAGCGATTGTCCACGATTTAAAGCCGATCCGGAATTAATTGTGTCTAGAAGGCTTATAGGCACTACAATTTTGTTGTTAGTATTCTTATGATCATTATTTACAATCTAAATCTGAAAACATTCTTTGTTTACATTTTCATAACTCATATAATTGCCATTTCTTCAGGAATCAGATCGCAGTCGGATTGTGTATTGTGCGCCGGTAAGTTTAAGTGTAATTGTAAGTTTTTGTGAAGAAGTGAATCTCTTCAAGCAAAAACCCATGTCCATGAAACCTCTTTAACGACGACCTTTTTGAAGACTCTGGTTTGGAACACTACACGATGAGTTATATTGATAATTCGAGGTAAAAGTAGGGGTTTTTCTCATTGTCTCAGTAGCTGTTTTACAAAAGTATATTTTCAATCTCTCGATGACAGTGAGATTTCCTCAAGAATACCTATCTCTGAAAATATAGATATTCTCGCCATCGAACATGTCGAATATGACTGTGGACTAGCTTAGTGCTTTATTTATACATGTATGTACATTCCTGTAAATTATGCTAGTCACAACAAAATGTGCTTGTTTTCAATAGCATTTGTAATACTTTCACATTTTTGTATGATAGTTCACCTTTTCAGTGTAAAAACGCTGTGTCAAAGGAATTTAATATCGTATTACAGCAAAATTAATGTGTACATGTGTTTCTCACAGTTGAGACGAAAGGGTCGCAACTATATAATAATAAATAATATTTAATTTCATATAGCGCTTAATACAAATGTCTCTAAGCGCTTTACAAATATACTATTACCCCGATCATTGGATTCAGTGCTTGCCCGCGCACAATGTGTGCACAATCTCCACTCCCTGGGGAGCATTCCAGCCAGGCGTTACATGACGCTCAAAAACTGACCAACAATGACGGTCGCATCCTACCGGGTACCCATTTAACACCTGGGTGGAGAGTAGCAAGTCCAGGTTAATATCTTGCCAAAGGATATTAGTGCCGTGTCGGGATTCGAACCCTCGACCTTCGCATCTCCAAGTCAAGCTATGGATGTACGGAGCGAGAAAGGAGGAGGATGGGGGTGTCCCCGTCCAATTTGAGCATTTTTTAAATATGATAATCAGCGTTGTATTGTACTTTCGAAGTAACTGACCTGGGCTCTGTTTCATACAACCTATAACATATTGCTCTCAGCCATTCAAATGCCACCATTTCAGTAGCTCATAACAGTTATTCTAGCTTGTTATTAATTGAATATAAGTTTTATGAAACAGGGCACGCGATCCCTTTCCTTGTCTATTAATATAAGCACATGGAGAAACTTGAGAATCTGAAAATATGAGATAGATAGTTATAGTAGTAGTCGCTCTATGCAGAGCGAATTTATTTAATTTGCCACGTAATATACACTATGAATACGACATACAAAGATAGCGGACAAAATATACAGTTCCTCAGGTAGACAAAGGAACATCCCTTCACTGCTATTATGTAAAAAGGTGAATATGCATGTGACACCTGTTCTACACATTTTTACATAATAGCAGTGAAGGGATGTTCATTTATGTACCTGAGGAACTGTATATTTTGTCCGCTTTCATTGTCAGTCATGTTCATAGTGATAAACAATGGCAAGATAATCACAATAATAAACATAATGATATAACAGAAAACTAGCATTGACATATCTTTGACATTGTTTTTTGTTAGTTTTGTAATGCAAACTTATTTAGTTACAAGAGCTGAAAAACGAACCTACTCGGAAGCAATGCTTGTTAGGTGTAGGTTCGCACAATAATCATTTAAATTGTATAAATTCATAACTGAATTTTGAAAGATGACAGACTCAAAGAAAAAAGACGGACACAATAAACGAAACAAAACCAAATAAGAACAGAAGCTGGATGACAAGATGAGGATGGTAGATGAAGAAAATAAGGGTGAGAGAGTGACAAACAGGGAAAGAGGGAACACGGCAGATGGAGAAGAATTAAAAAAAGAAAAGAGAGAGAGAGAGAGGGGAGAGGGAGAGAGAGAAAGGGGTAGAAAGAGACACAGATAGAGAGAGAGAGAGAGAGAGAGAGAGAGATAGTGTCAGGAGAGGGAGAGAGAGAGAGAGGGGCGAATGGTGGCGAGAATGAGGGAGGAAGAGAGAGAGAGAGAGAGAGAGAGAGTCAGGAGAGGGAGAGAGAGAGGGGGTGGTGGAGGGAATGAGGGAGGGTGATAGAGAGAGAAAGAGGGAGATGGTGGCGGGAGAGGGAGAGAGAGAGGGGGTGGTGGAGGGAATGAGGGAGGGTGATAGAGAGAGAAAGAGGGAGATGGTGGCGGGAGAGGGGGAGAGAGAGGGGGTGGTGGAGGGAATGAGGGAGGGTGATAGAGAGAGAAAGAGGGAGATGGTGGCGGGAGAGGGAGAGAGAGAGGGGGTGGTGGAGGGAATGAGGGAGGGTGATAGAGAGAGAAAGAGGGAGATGGTGGCGGGAGAGGGGGAGAGAGAGAGGGGGTGGTGGAGGGAATGAGGGAGGGTGATAGAGAGAGAAAGAGGGAGATGGTGGCGGGAGAGGGAGAGAGAGAGGGGGTGGTGGAGGGAATGAGGGAGGGTGATAGAGAGAGAAAGAGGGAGATGGTGGCGGGAGAGGGAGAGAGAGAGGGGGTGGTGGAGGGAATGAGGGAGGGTGATAGAGAGAGAAAGAGGGAGATGGTGGCGGGAGAGGGAGAGAGAGAGGGGGTGGTGGAGGGAATGAGGGAGGGTGATAGAGAGAGAAAGAGGGAGATGGTGGCGGGAGAGGGAGTGAGAGAGAGGGGGTGGTGGAGGGAATGAGGGAGGGTGATAGAGAGAGAGAGGGGGTGGTGGAGGGAATGAGGGAGGGTGATAGAGAGAGAAAGAGGGAGATGGTGGCGGGAGAGGGAGAGAGAGAGGGGGTGGTGGAGGGAATGAGGGAGGGTGATAGAGAGAGAAAGAGGGAGATGGTGGCGGGAGAGGGAGAGAGAGAGGGGGTGGTGGAGGGAATGAGGGAGGGTGATAGAGAGAGAAAGAGGGAGATTGTGGCGGGAGAGGGGGGTAGAGAGAGAAAGAGATACAGTGGAGGGAAAGAGGTAGAGAGGAGGAGCGAGAGCGAGAGGGAGCTAGAGAAGGAGAGAGAGAGAGAGAGAGCGCGAAAGAGAGAGAGAGAGAGGGGTGGTGGAGAGAGAGGGAGAGAGAGAAAGAGATAAAAGAGGAAGGGAGAAAGGAGAGGGAGAGAGAACGTGTGTGTGTATGTCTGTATGTGGTTGTGCGTGTGTGCGTATGTGTGTGTGTGTGTGTGTGTGTGTGTTGTGTGTTTGTGAGTGCGCGATCGCGCGCGCTTGCGTAAATTAGTGTGGGCGTGTGCTAGTATGTGATGGCTATCTCCTCGGTACGGATTTACGCCCCTGCCTCTTAGTCGGTTGCGGGATACAAGTCTTATTCATGGTATTTAAGCTCCTTGCAATTGGTTTAGCTGTCATCATCGTCTCTGATTGGGGAAGAAAAGTGGAACGTGTCAAAGTAAAAGGGGCAGCTATCAGAGATAAAAGGGGGCACTCATGAGAAGTGAAAAGTGGCATTTATTACTTAGGAAAAGGGGCGCCTTTCAGATTAGAGTAGGGGTAACTATAAAAGGAGACAAGGTGCATGGGAAAGGGGCACTTATTAGAAAGAAATAGGAGGCACTGATCTGAAGTAAAAAGGGGCATGGCTCCTACCTAAAAAAAGACACTTTTCGGGTACTTTAAAAAGTGCAGAGGTGGGCACTTTGCCCAGGCAACCCCCTCCTCTTGAAGCGCTTCCTTTGCCCCAGTGTGATATCAAGACAAGCAATAAAATATAAGTTTAATGTGTTTGTGATAGGTTTTAACAAGGTCAAATATTTGTTACAAATAGAAGAACCATGTCGTGTTTGCTGTCTCCAGAACACAATGTCTCTTGTGGGCGGAACCCTTTTTTTTTTATTGCCATCACAATATGAACGTATAACCTGCAAACTGCAGAGAAAAACCAGATTCGTACATTTTAATTCTGTTTCGTGAGAAAGAACCTCACGCTGATTGGTACCGGATCGCCTTTACCTCACGGGTGAAAACTGAATGCCTATTGTGGAATCATCAACAGGATTGAAGGACTTTTTCTACCATCATTTGTAATTAAATCGAATTTGTTCATTATTTCTTGGTACGTCTTCAAGTTCCCTAGTATATTTAACATAGAATGAACAACTTTCTCTGTATCTCATCATACTGATCTATATTCAGTGCACTTCATTGGTTATCCTCGTGCAAACTTTGTCTTGATGAGAGCTGAAAGTTGATCCTAGGAAAGGCTCATACGACTCGGAACAAACACTTTCAGTTTACAAGTCTACAATTGGTTTATTCGCTAAGGTTTTTGAACCGTTGACATGTATACACTTCGCTAGGATTAAACCGACAGAGCATATCGTCACGTCGAAAGTACACGTACATAAACCATCATAATTTAAGATCGTTCAAGATTTTTCGGTCTGACTGCAATGGCGCGATTGAGGAAAGCCCCTGGCAAGGGACATCAAAATGAGTCTGTCCAGGATCTTACCGATAGTACTGCTGTTCGTCTAACCCGTCAAGTCACCCTTATAGATAGTGTATCTCTCACAGTTGGTATGATCATAGGATCTGGTATTTTCATCTCTCCAACGAGTGTCCTGGCAAACTCTGGAGGGATAGGCTGGGCTCTCTTCGTCTGGGTTCTTTGTGGCATTCTATCAATGCTTGGAGCACTATGTTATGCGGAGCTTGGGACGACCTTCCCAGTATCTGGGGGAGACTTCTCATACCTACTGGAAGCGTATGGTCCGATCCTGGCCTTTCTAAGACTTTGGACTAGTGTGGTTTCCATCAGGACGGCATCCTCTGCTGTTTTGTCTTTGACGTGTGTAACTTATATTCTCCTGCCGTTCTACCCCAACTGTGACATCCCACCCGTGGTGTTACGCCTGGTTGCAGTCTGTGTACTTTGTAAGTACGGTCCTTGAGCCTACATATACCTCCCCATTATGCTCAGAACCTCTATAAATCGGCAAAAAGGTCGTCGAACAGCCTAACCGTAGCCGCCTGGTTTAGCCCCAAAGCCTAATCAACAGACCCCCCATAAGTCGTATCGATTTTACCCAACTTAGCTACCCCATATTTAATTCTATAGTCTTGAACGTTGCAATTTTTTAGATGTATACCTCGGTGTCAATATATTATTGATGTACTAATGTATTGCATTCTCGCAAGTAGCCACATTATCTTCAGGAATACATAAATATTCTTATTGACCACCTTCCCTGTTTGACAAGGCACAGGAGAAGAAAATTGGAGGCACCCTTCATTGAAAATATTTCAGCAATGAAATCAGATAGCGTGGATACCTAGCTATCTTACAACAGGAATCTATTTTGGTCATTCCTTTGAAATTCTACAGATGCCATCTTTTTCGTGAACAGCCTGAGTGTCCCTCTAAGTCGCAGGATACAAGTCTTATTCACGGTAGCTAAGCTCCTTGTAATTGGTTTAGCTGTCATCATTGTTTCTGATTAGGGAAGAAAAGTGGAACGTGTCAAAGTAAAAAGGGCACCTATCTGAGAAGGAAAAGTGGCATGTATTACTTAGAAAAAGGGGCGCCTTTCAGATTAGAATAGGGGTAACTATAAAAGGAGAAAAGGTGCACACATGGGAAAGGGGCACTTATTAGAAAGAAAAAGGAGGCACTGATCTGAAGTAAAAAGGGGCATTTTTCCTACCTAAAAAAAGACACTTTTCGGGTACTTTAAAAAGTGCAGAGGTGGGATCCTGTTTTGTGAGAAACAGTGGCGTAGACAGGTTCGTACACCTGGGGGGATGACTGGGCTGCCAACGCTAGTGAGGGCGCGAAGCGCCCGAGCGAGGGAGCGAAGCGACCGAGCGGGGGGAGGGTGTGGGAGGTTTTTTTCCCCCCCTCCCACGGTAGGGAGCTTTTGCAATTTTGAACTTGAAATCGTGCAATCTGATGCATACTTAATGAGGTAAAATAACACACACAAGCGTGCACGCACACACACACATACTCACACACACACACACCACATACTCACACACACACACACACACACACATACTACGCCTTGAATGGACAGACATACATCGACAAGATCTACACACCGTGGCATACGAATACGGACTGACACATAGTATTGCATATTGAACCACACTACGTATTTATTTATCTCTGTGAATTTTGCTGTTACACCTCTTTCATGTCTGTACCTTTCTTATTGCACTTTGTATAAATGTATCATGTATGTATTTCATCTTTTGCACAAGCTGCGCCTTGAGCATTTGACTGTCAAGTGGATTGGGCGCCTTATAAATCATATGTATTATTATTATTATTATTCAGAAAAAACCCAATGTCAACTGTGTACACGCAGGTATAGTCTTTGTTGTCTTGATAGGGGTATGTGGTTATGAATGAAAACAGCCTCTGTGGCCATTTGTGAATAGAACACATAAACAACAAACAAATAACGATTAAACTTTGAACAATATGTCTGTTCATTATAAAGCATAATGAATACGTACATACTATGCTTTTTTTTACCTCAAAGAAACAGGCATAGTATCCATAGATGGATATTGGCTGGCGGCTCATTAACATACAGATACAAAAAACATAAACAGTATCACTATGATCCATGGAGTAACAATACTGCTTTGTAAGTTTGTGAAGAAATCGGAACCATAACGGCATTAGGGCATTATTTACTTCTATTTGATCTCAGTCTTATAATAGTAATAATAATAATAATAATAATAATAATAATAATAATAATAATAATAATATAATAATAATAATAATAGTAATAATAATAATAATAATAATAATAATAATAATAATACAAATAAAAAAATAATACTAATACAAATAATAATGCTAATACTAATAGGTTCCTTTTATCTCGCATTTCAAGACAGGGTAATTCACACTGCGCTTTACATGAAACAAACTTCTTTAAACATTTCAAACTTATGTCTTCATGCATCAATCAACATACTTTAAATGAATACAAAACAAAGTGCATCTTAAATAAAACAAAAATAAATAAATAGTTAACAATACAGAAAAGATGTAGCTGCTGCAAGCTTAACAACAAACTAATGTATACCAGTCAGTCCTGATATCAGTATTAGTGTAACAATAGTCATATAGTGGGAGCATGAAGTTGAACAATTCATGATTATACATAATTATATATGTTTGTTTGAATAATACTTGTTATAAAGATAGTAGTATGGTACTCTCTGTCACGAATTATTATGTATACTGTTGTATCACATTCATTTTCTATTCTGTTTTAGAATTGGCTTTCACCGTTTGAATGCGGCTAACAATAAACACAATTACAATATTGATGAGGATTATTATCCCCATCATCATAATTATTATTATTATTGATATTATAATTGTTATCATTATTATTATTACTATTATTATCATCATTATGACTTATTAAGTATGCAAATATCATTCCCAAAAACCTGGGGGGGGGGGGAATGATTGTACATGCCATCCCCCTCATCCCCCCCCCCCCCCCCCCCCCCCGTTGTCTACGGATTGCTGAAACCTCATGTGTGAAAACGGAATGCCTATTGTGGAATCATCGTTCATGAAACAGGATTGAATGCCATGGACGAGCTTCTTTGTACCATCATTGTGATTAAATTGAATTTGTTCAGTATTTCTTGGTACGTCTTCAAGTTCCCTAGTATATTTTACATTTGGATGAACAAATATCTCTGCATCTCATCATACTGATCTATATTTAGTGCACTTAATTGGTTATCCATATGCAAACTTTGTTTCAAAGGAAGCTAAAAGTTCATCCTAGGACAGGGACTTCCGACTCGGAAAAAACACTTTCAGTTTACAAGTCTACAATTGGTCTATTCGCTTAGGTTTTTGAACCGTTGACAAGTATACACTTCGCTAGAATTAAACAGACAGAGTATATCGTCACGTCGAAAGTAAACGTACATGAGCCATCATAATTTAAGATCGTTCAAAATTTCTCGGTCTGATTGCAATGGCGCGATTGAGGGAAGCCCCTGGCAATGGACTTCAAAATGAGTCTGTCCAGGATCTTACTGATAGCACAGCTGTTAGTCTAACCCGTCAGGTCACACTGATAGATAGTGTATCTCTCACAGTTGGTACTATCATAGGATCTGGTATTTTCATCTCTCCAACGAGTGTCCTAGAGAACTCTGGAGGGATAGGCTGGGCTCTCCTCGTCTGGGTTCTGTGTGGCATCTTATCAATGCTTGGAGCACTATGTTATGCGGAGCTTGGGACGACCTTCCCAGTTTCTGGAGGAGACTTCTCATACCTCCTGGAGGCGTATGGTCCGATCCTGGCCTTTCTAAGACTTTGGACTAGTGTGGTTTCCATCAGGACAGCATCCTTTGCTGTTTTGTCTTTGACGTGTGTAACTTACATTCTCCTGCCGTTCTACCCCAACTGTGACATTCCACCCGTGGTGTTTCGCCTGGTTGCAGCCTGTGTACTTTGTAAGTACGGTCCTATAGAGCCTTTCTCCCAATTTAGCTCAGAACCCCTTTAAGTTGGCAAAAAGGTTGACCCCCAAGTGGTATCGATTTCAGCCATCTTAGCTACCCCATATTTGTTTCCAAGTCTTGAACATTGCCACTTTTTAGGTGCATAACTTGGTGTCAATATATTAATGTACTGTGTTGCTTTCTTGCAAGTAGCCAAATTATCTTCAGGGAAACATACACATTATTATTGACCACCTTCCCCTGTTTGACAAGGCACGGGAGATGAAAATGGGAGGCATCCTTCCTTTGATATATTTCAGCAATGAAATCACATAGCGTGGATACCTAGCAATCTTAGCACAGGTATCTATTATGGTCATTTTTATGAAATTCTACAGGTGCCATCTTTTTCGTGAACAGCCTGAGTGTCCCTCTAAGTCGCAGGATACAAGTCTTATTCACGGTAGCTAAGCTCCTTGGTTTAGCTGTCATCATCGTCTCTGGGCTTGTCCAGCTAGCTAATGGTAAGAAATTTTTAATTTTTTTATTTACAAGAATTGGTATTTGTTATTGTACCGCTGAACATACCGAAGAGAAAAAATTTAAACAAAGTTCGATATCAAAGAATTTCCAAAATTAAACTAAAATATATTTATTCGCCTTGTCCATCAACTTTTGAAATATGCGAACATATCGATGACATATTTAGGGGATTTCTATGGGATATACAATTGGGTATTTACATTTCCATATAGATTATTTCTCGAAAACCTTTGCGATAGTGTTGCAAACTTAATTATTGTTTTTTGTCTCAATTCACAGGCATTATTCTCTTCCCAGCGGTTTGTAATCGTAAAAGTTAAAGTATTTGATTTTCATAGATAATTATGACATTTATTTATTTATTTATTTATTTATTTATTTATTTATATATTTATTTATTTAGAGATAGAGAGAGAGAGAGAGAGAGAGAGGTGAATTCCACAATGACTTAAGTCGTTACTAAAATTCCCTGTGTCAATAATTATGTTTCATGATATTCCTTTGAAACAAAACTTACCTAATATAATAGCGTAAAGTGAAATTCAAATTGCTAGTTCTTCTCTACTGCTCCCAAAATCTGGACATGCATTATTATTTTTTGTTTTTTGTTTGTTTTCAAAGGTGAGACATCCAACTTTGCAAATTCCTTCGACACTTCTAAATTTAGTTTTAGAACGTTTCCCCTCGCCATATATTCAGGTCTCTTCGCCTTTTCGGGATGGTAAGATCCTATGTAACAATATCAGGTTTTTCGTTTTTATTAAAATTTTGTTACCTGTGAATTTAAAAAAAAAAATTGCTCGGTTCAATACTAAATTTGTCAAATATTTGGAAAAATTGTATATTATAAATTTAACTTTTTAATCAAATAATTTGTGGGTGTTTGCCTCAATTCATTTTCAATTCGATTCAATTCAATTCAGTTTATTAATTTTTCTCAAGCATAAAAACAATATTATAATATATACTAGAATGGCAAATATACATAGTAAGAGAAAAAACGGAAACTACAAAAAAGTTTATAAAAACTTGTATGGAGTAATTCCCAGTATTAAAAGGAAAAAATACGGGGTATAAACAATTGCAATAACAAAATACAAAATTATGCAGATTAATCAGTAACACACTACACCAACAAACACCAGCAATTATACAGGGAGGGTGGGGGGGGGGGGGTAATGGTAAATGTAAATTTAATAGAGAAAAAGATTAATTTGAATAATCATCAATATATACCCTTTTCAACTTCGCTTTAAATGAAGTTATATTTGTTGAACTCTTTATTTCCTCTGGGAGATTATTCCACAAACGTGGACCTCTTAGAAACTTTGGATGGCTAAATAGGCTCAATCGGCATTTAGTTGAATTATTGCATTCTTTAGCAATATTCAGCCTAACTGTGCCATACATCACTTGTATATCAGACTTATGTTTTTCTAAATTCTGGGTCTCAATATTAACCCCTTCGTTACTTGGGTATTTCCAAACTTTGTTTTATAATAGGTACTTGAACGGTGAACCCAACGAGAGTACCCATTGTAATATGATTAGAAAGGGATTTTATGCCTTACTTTTTCATGGCTTGTGATTTTATGTACTTGGCAAAGGTTATATTGACTTCAAATTTCTAAACACATCTTAAATCAAGTATTTGATTTTTTTTTTCAGGCAGTACTTGACTCAAGTGACAGAAGAAATAGTCAAGCCTTCCAGGTAAGGATTATTGTGCTGATTCTGAATGGTTTATGCAAATTGACGTACGTAACAGTTCAAATTTATTTGCTGTAGTTGTAATTGTCTGAATCAATTGAAAGTGGATCATTATTGATCTTTAGTTAACAACGGGAGATACTCCCATCATAATATACTATTGTTTACGGGCAGAGCCTTTCAATATCGCAAAGAAAATAGAAGTATGTCCATCTTATCTCAATCAGATTTTGATTGTATTCTGAATGTGGGAATTATTATAAGTTTAGGGCACTTTCAAAGTCTTAGTTAGCCTTTCAAGAAGAAAAATATTTCAGGAAAAAGTGTAGAGCACAATCTCCGTTACACTTATTATTATGTAGCATATTGACTAGCTATATATTTTTTACATTTTTTCTTCTCAGAACAATTCCTGTGTCAATTGGGATCTCCATGACAATAATAACAGTGGTGTACCTGCTAACAAACATTGCTTACTTCACTGTGCTCTCAGAGAGTGAGATGCTTACATCAAGTGCGGTTGCATTGGTAAGGGACTAATCTTGCGCCACCTGCACAAATTGCGTCAGTTCTATTGCACCATTCAATTAGCTCAGAAAAAGAAGAAGAAGAATACGAGGAAGAAGAAGACAAAGAAGAAGGAGTATAGTTGCCCAAGAAGACGAAAAAGAAGACAAAGGAGAAGGAGGAGAAGTCGATCAAGAAGACTAAAAAGAAGACACTAAAATATAGAAGAAGACGAAAAAGAAAGACAAGCTTTCCATTTTAAGTATGTTGGCATATTATATTCTCAATATCCCAATACTTCACACTTCGTAAATACTAATCAAACCGATTTCTTTTAACCAATTTATTTAAGTATGCCACACATAAATCTCTCTTGATGGATACTTAATTAAAGCTGTTGTTAGCTGTTGTATAAAATGACTAATCACGATACCCTCTGCATGAACAGTGTTCATGTATGCTCCTTTACGGATTAAGATTTAAATTCATGTCGTCTTGAATATATCTGATTTCATGACTGACTTGATAAAAACCTTTTGAATCAAATTCTTTGATCAGGACTTTGGTCAGCGTGTATTAGGTAGTTGGTGGTGGACTATGAGTGTGGCTGTTGCTTTGTCAACCATTGGATCCGTAAATGGGGGCGTGTTTGGCTTCGCAAGGTAAGGCTGAATAAGAAAGAAGATTGATTTCAATTCTTTATGTAGAATTTAGGCTTTGTCAACTATTTAGAATTCGTATATCTATATTTAGCAAGTCATTTATGCTTTGATTCGTTAGTATGTCATTGTTTACATATGATGTTATCATTTCATTTGAATCGTATTCTTTGTTTTAGTGTCTTGTAATATTCTTATCGTACAATCTGGTCTCGAAGCATCTGAGCTACTTGTTTTCTATTGTTATTTGCTTTTTAGTATAGGTCACCAATTATGAACTGCAAATATGGTTATCACCCGCTGCACATGATTATCAAACAACAGATAGCGCCATCTATCATATGTCCCGTTTGTAAAGCAATTGCATAAATGGAGGAACTTGAAAAGTATCTGGGTTATCGAGGTTGCCAAGAGCAAATTTGTACTTGTCCGGAAAGCATGCAAACGAATTTGAACATATTATTTAGAAAGTAACATTGTCAATTTGCTTTATATTTTGTTGTAATCTGCATGTAGGTTCTTACTGGTTGCATCACGTGAGGGTCACATGCCTGCCATAGCATCAATGATACACATCGATCGGAAAACTCCCCTACCAGCTGCCATGTTACTGGTACGGTATTTTAGTTTTTGGTATTCTGTGGTCACGAGCTCATATAGGAATCAAATACGATTAAAAAAAAATAATGCTCTGATTTATTTTGGTTTGATATAGTATAAGTATAAGATTTTGTGTCCATATCATGAAATTCAATTTCCACTGTTTGGTACAGATAATACAATATAAACATACACATAATGGGAAAGAATATATACATAACATACAAAATGAATGAATTATAATTGATTTATCCATCATCAAAAGCACTGTGATCTCAATTACTCATCTGCATCAAATGTGTTATTGTGCTGAAAATGATTCAAGCTATTTTTAAAACCGTGGACAAAAATCTTGGTAATAATCATAAATATGTACAAGGTATGACCTGGCTTTTTGTCGGAAACCCATCAGCATCTAAGTTACGAAATGTTTTATTTGGTTCCTATACGTGATGAAAATTGGAAAGAAAGTAGACGAATCTTTGAAGCTGAATTGAATTTGAATTTGAATTGAATTGAATTTGAATTGTCTTTCAGGCTCCTATTTGCCTCTTGATGTTGATCAGTGATGACGTAGGAACCCTTATCAACTATCTCAGTTTCACACGATGGCTCTTCATCGGTATCACCTGTGCTATCATACCTTACTATAGATGGAAACATCCAGAATTACCTCGCCCTTTTAAGGTTAGTCTAACCATCACTGATTTTATATTTAATATATAAACTTTATATAATTTAGCACGGACACAGCGGGCTAAAAAAAATGCTGTCAAATTAGCCTAAATATGGCACTTGATTTGCTTGAGTCACTACAAGGGATCGTTTAACAATGTTAAATCTGAGATACACGACCGTGTTATCAGTGCCTTTAATATGGTGTAATATTGAAGCCCTAAAAAAAATTGGATTCAAAATGATCAAGAAGTGCCTCAAAAAATTAAATTGACTGGTTTTACCGTACTCGTTTTCCCCAATAGAATGTAGTGTTATGAAAATCGTTTGGTAAACGGTTTTCAAAATGTGTAATTCCAATCATAAATATCTTGATAATCAGACAGGCGATCGGCTTGTAAAAGTCATTGAGTTTCTGACTGACCTAAAGGTTTAAAATTATCATTGCAGCATGAGCTAAGTCCAGGATTTTGTTTCAAAATCTGAGACAAAGTTACCGGATCCCTTTAACGTTCATGTTTTAGTTTCTTTTGTAACTATTACGTTACTATTACGATGATTTTCTGTAATTAAATTAAGCTGAGACTGAAATTTAGCGAATCTGAGATATCCCCAAAACCAAAGACGTTTAAATATAAAACACGCACACACGTGCACACACACACACACACACACACACCAACACGCATGCGCACACACACAAACGTACACAAATTTGCATCACACAGTCGCGCAGTAAAAATGCCCGTCATGAAATTGACGCATGACCCTCTCTACAGTATGTTTATCCTATTATATATGTGTACTTGATATCAATCGGCATTTATACAAAAATGTTAAAGAATATTTACAATGAAAATTGTTCAATTATCTGGACAATGAAAATCGATGGCAACACTCATTTAACTGAAAATATTGTTAACGAATACAAAAATAACAGTGTCTGTATATATTTATTAAGTGCTAAATGGAAACTGTCGAATGATATTCTGAACCAACTATCTATCAGATGGGGATGTAAATACTCTTATTCATGAAATATGATCATTTTAACGTTTATATCTCAATCTTAGTGTTTACTAAAGGATAATAATAAATGTAGGTCTACATGTATATGATTCTCTTCCTTTAATAGGTTCCTCTGGCTGTACCGATTGTGTTCGTGTTGTGTGCGTTGTTCGTGGTTGGGATGTCACTGTACAGCAGTCCTGTAGATTGTGGTATTGGTTTAGCAATCATGCTAGCTGGGATACCTGTCTATTATCTTTGTGTTCGGTGGCAGAACAAACCAGACTGGGTTAATGATAGATTGCGTAAGTAATTCGTAGTTTCTAAAAGTGTCGAATCCTTTTATTATTTTGATGGGTTTATATCACAAAATTGACTCAGAAATTAAATTGCACGCTAGGCATTTCACCTGAAAAGAAAATTATGACAAATGTCATTACCCTTCACAAAACGATCCAGCGATTTCTGCCAATTCATAATCTGTCATCCTCCTTTGCGTTATAGCCTACATGGTGTATTGGTGCTCTCCCAGAATATTATATTAAAGGTTGCAGCCAGTTCAACTTTAACATCTGCTCTGTTTTCTTATAATCAAAAAAGAATACCATGCAGGCTACTATGACTGAACTCGAATATACCAGTAAATTCCTGACAAAATGAGTTCACGTTTGTCAACTTCTTAGATTTTTAAACAATGTTACGATTAGCCTCTTTTCTATGGAGACATGCAGTTATTTCTATGGATTATTCGCTATACAAAACGTTTAATTAATAATCATTATTATTATTTGTATGATGTATTCTTTCTCTAGATCGTGCGACCATATTTTTACAGCAGCTCCTCTTCGTCATACCCCCAGAGGACGAGGATGAGTCCCCCAAACTCGTTCAACTCGAAGATGACCAGTGATTACCAAGAACTTAAAGCTAGATTTCAGATTGATTACTTTGTGAATATTTCGTTTTTCCTTCTTATTTCTCGTTGTGCCTGGTCCATTGCTCATTCTCTTTCGGAGCTATTGTAACGGCTTTTTTATTTAGTAAATGATGCTTGTATCATACACGTATTCAAGCACTGATTTATGAACAAATTTCCTTTTTTTTTAATTCAGTTAATTTGGGATTCATTCACAACTTGCACGTGATCAATTTAGTCATATAAATAATACAGATAAGCATGTATATAAGCAATTTATGATTATCATTAAAATCATCAACTTTGTGGTCCAATGTTATAATCTATATTAGCGTTTTTTGTGTACTTAAAGGGATAGTTGAGTTCTGTTTTCAGACCGCAAATGCCTTCAAAGTGCATGGTTATTGCTCTGATTCTTATCTATGGTATTTATAGTGCCTTTTAATTTTCTGCCCTTATGGTCAACACCATTGAGGAGGGGAGGGGGAGGACGAGTGCCAAAATTATGGCCAAAAAGGAATTTTAATTCTGTTTAGGCTGTTACTGTTTTATTCGTCACACTTTCATTAAAATGAAAAAACAAAATAAACAATCACAGAAAGAGAGCTAGGAGTACTAATGTTATGAGAGAAACAGATACAAGTCGAAAAATGCAAATACTGCTGACAATATAGGAAACATGAAGTCAATTAAGATTAGTTACAGAGGTTTGTTTGTTCCTACTGTATGTTCGCTCTAATAATGATCAAAGTACACCTTTGTTATGGGCGGTAACAGGTCAATCCCATCACCTTTAAAACAATGCAGTATAGATACGTCTTATTCTGCTTTACGAAAAAGAACTAAAGGCGTAATCGGAAATGGGGCGAAATTATTTTCCAAGTATTTTCAATTTGTATTCTGAACTCGGTATTTATTTGTGAGAGGCTTGGATTGAGTCGCCAGGCATCTTTATGTCTGAGCACAGGCGCGTATACGCAGGGGGGGGGGGGGGGGGGGGGGGGGGGGGGGTGATAATAATAATACAAATTTAAAAAAATTGTGGTAATGGATGACCCCAAAAAGCTGACCTAACCCCCCCCCCCCCCCCCCCCCCCTCCCCCAACGAAACGAAATATCGATCGTCCAAATTTTCAAATTTTGGGACAAAAAAAAGAAAAAGAAAAAAGAAAATGTGCTCTTACCCCCCCCCCCCCCCGTTTCAAATTTTAAACCCCCCCCCCCCTCGAAAAAATCCTGCGTACGCGCCTGTCTGAGCATATATGTTAATCTTGTTGAAGTTGCACATATACATCACTGGACCCTGAATAGTAACCTACTTCTACATCACATCTCGTATGTCTAGTTAATCTGCTTGTATCGTCATTCAGTTTATACCCCGTGCAACCTATGTTCACCTTTGTAACCACGTTATCAAGAAGGAAAACAAGCATTCATTATTTATTTTGTCTTAAAAAGGGCTAGTTAAATAGTCTTCAAACTGTTAACAAACAGTACACCTGAGAACAAGAAAAGCAAGGAGAAGCTCCTTAGAAACATCGACAGACCCCATTAAGATTGTTCGATCTTTCTGCAATGGTTCGATTAAGGAAGACCCCTGACGGAGGGCATGAGAATCAGTCTATCCAGGACGGTGACACAGCTGTCCGTCTAACTCGTGAGGTCACCCTGATAGACAGTATAGCGCTCATCGTCGGTCAGATCATAGGATCGGGTATCTTCGTCTCTCCTACGAGTGTGCTGGAGAATTCTGGAGGGGTGGGATGGGCGTTGATGGTCTGGGTCCTCTGTGGTATCCTCTCCATGTTAGGAGCGCTGTGTTACGCGGAGCTTGGTACGACCTTCCCGGTATCAGGTGGAGATTTCTCCTATCTCCTAAAAGCTTATGGTCCGATCCTGGCCTTTCTAAGGCTCTGGACGAGTGTGGTTTCCATCAGAACAGCATCCTTTGCTATCTTGTCTTTGACCTGCGTGACTTATATTCTCCTGCCTTTTTACCCGGACTGTGACGTTCCACCACTGTATTGCGTCTTGTTGCAGCATGTGTACTTTGTAAGTATAGCTGGAGACATTAATTAATGGTTGCCTATCGAATAATCGAATAAACCGATGACAAAATTAAATTCTTTTGAAATTCTTTGTAAATCTGCCGTCATCTCATTTGTAATGTGCTCTTTACAAAAGAATGATTACAATTAAAAATGTGTCCAAATTCGTATTTGTTTTCTCCTTAAAAATCATCGGTCTTATCTTTACCTATATACAAATTTTCTTTGATGTTTCATCCTGACTGAAATCTAGGTACCGTCTTTTTCGCGAACAGCCTGAGTGTCCCACTTAGTCGCAAGATACAAGTCGTATTCACGGTAGCTAAGCTCCTTGGTTTAGCTATCATCATTGTCTCTGGGATAGTCCAGCTAGCTAATGGTAAGTCTCTTAGCTGACATGTCTTATGGCAATCCGTGTTAAAACATCGGAATTCATGACGACTAAATTTGTCGTTGCTGTTCATTAACATCGGCCATGTTTTACCAATATTGTCAGGTTCAGTATTCAGGGCCCGATACAAAGGAGAGGGAGAAGGGGGGGGGGGGGGAGGGGGAGGGGAGGGGGTGGGTGATCGAGTTCCAAAGTCTCCTATAATCTCAAGAGTCTCGGATCTCTTGATATGATAACGTTTAATGCAGGGGCGTAAATCCGTACCGAGGAGTGGGGGGGATGATCGTCGATAGCCATCACATAGTTCTAGCACGAGCACACGCCCACACTAATTTACGCAAGCGCGCGCGATCGCGCACGCACAAACACACAACGCACACACACACGCGCACACACACAAACGAACAAACAACAAACAATATTAGAGAAAGAAGACGATTCGTTGTACCGTTTTTGAAAATAATCCTCGTCTGAATTCAGTTCCCCCCTTCCCTCCCGCGCGAAGCGCGGAAGCTTTTACGTTTCATTAAATCATAAGGGAAAGAAGGCGATTCGTTGTACCGTTCTCGACTTTTAATCCTCATCTGAATTCAGTTTTTCCCTTCCCCCCTCCTGCGCGAAGCGCGGAAGCTTTTACGTTTGTTAAAATCATTGGAGAAAGAAGACGATTCGTTGTACCGTTCTCGACTTTTAATCCTCGTCTGAATTCAGTTCCCGCCGCCTCCCCTCCCGCACGAAGCGCCTAAGCTTTTACGTTTCATAAAATCATTAGAGAAAGAAGACGATTCGTTGTACCGTTCTCGACTCTTAATCCTCGTATGAATTCAGTTCCCCCCTTCCCTCCCGCGCGAAGCGCGGAAGCTTTTACGTTTCATTAAATCATTAGGGAAAGAAGACGATTCGTTGTACCGTTTTCGACTTTTAATCCTCATCTGAATTCAGTTTTTCCCTTCCCCCCTCCTGCGCGAAGCGCGGAAGCTTTTATGTTTCATAAAATCATTGGAGAAAGAAGACGATTCGTTGTACCGTTCTCGACTTTTTATCCTCGTCTGAATTCAGTCCCCCCCCCTCCTCCTCCCGCGCGAAGCGCGGAAGCTTTTACGTTTCATTAAATCATTAGGGAAAGAAGACGATTCGTTGTACCGTCTTCGACTTTTAATCCTCATCTGAATTCAGTTTTTCCCTTCCCCCCTCCTGCGCGAAGCGCGGAAGCTTTTACGTTTCATAAAATCATTGGAGAAAGAAGACGATTCTTGTACCGTTCTCGACTTTTGATCCTCGTCTGAATTCAGTCCCCCCCCCTCCTCCTGCACGAAGCGCGGAAGCTTTTACGTTTCATTAAATCATTAGAGAAAGAAGACGATTCGTTGTTCCGTTCTCGAATCTTAATCCTCGTCTGAATTCAGTTCCCGCCTCCCCTCCCGCGCGAAGCGCCTAAGCTTTTACGTTTCATGAAATCATTAGAGAAAGAAGACGATTCGTTGTACCGTTCTCGACTCTTAATCCTCGTATGAATTCAGTTCCCCCCTTCCCTCCCGCGCGAAGCGCGGAAGCTTTTACGTTTCATTAAATCATTAGAGAAAGAAGACGATTCGTTGTACCATTCTCGACTCTTTATTTCTTTAAAAAGGGGGTGGGTTTTTTTCTCTCTCTCTTTGGACTCCTGAAAAATGTAAAAAGGAGGTTATAAAATATCTTGAATATCATAGAAAAATTGATCAAATCCCGGGATCAAATTTCTGAAATTCCTGCTAGCTTTGAAAGCTCATTCAGGATTATTTCATTTTGAAAAGTAAAAGCATTGGCCCCCAGTCCCCCTCGATCGACTAGAGCTCACGTGAAATGGGGGGGGGGGGGGGGTACATTTAGCAGTGTTCCGGATTTTTTTTTTTTTTTTTGGGGGGGGGGGGTCTCCAAGGTAGGAAAAGCCAGCGAAAAGCCGGCGAAATGGGGATTCAGAAATGTTGGCAGTCCAGAGATAGGGTGGGGTGCTTTTAAAGGGCGGGAACGAGCGTACGCGTACCCTAAATAATACTAAGTGGGGGGAGCCGGGCATCTACTGTACATGATTGCACTTTTTAAGCGCTCGCGCGCTGGTGCACTTTACGTCTGAGCTATAATAATACCTTGCAAAATAACGAAAAATTATTCTAAAGTTTATGAAGTGCTTGTTCGCGCACGTCACGCAACTACTCTTAATGATCGTGACATACTATATCCGTGTAGGCTATACAGTTATACTTACATTAAAAAAATTACTCATTTTTCATGTATTATGCTAAAATTGAAACAATCACATTTTGTTTTCTTCTTCTTCTTCTTCTTCCTTTTTTTTTCTCTCTTTTTTTTTGCAATATCAGGGGGGATGATTGTACAGGCCATCCCCCCTACTTCAAGCCAGGGGGGATGCAGCCCCCCCCCCCATCCCCCCCCCCCCCCCCCCCCCCCGGGATTTACGCCCCTGGTTTAATGTATGTTCTATGTCTGCCTATTGTTCTCTGCTCCGATAGATTTTCATCTATAATGGTATTCTAAAATGATAAAAACCTGTTTAAGGTATTATTTTAAAAGTAGGTATGGATGGAAAATTAATTTCATTATGTTTGTTTTTCTTCTTTTTTTAAACAGGGGAGACCGCCAACTTCACGAATGCATTCGACACTTCTAAATTCAATTTCCGCACATTCCCCTCGCCATATATTCAGGTCTCTTCGCATATTCAGGATGGTAAGATCACTCAAACACGTACAGTGATATTTTGGAACAATGATTCTTCGTATTTCTTCCTTATCCAAAACGCTAAGAGCTTTGACTGACGTTTCAGCCATATATAATCAAAGGATATTTTAAAAATGTATTTCTCACTCTTTTGTCCAGGCCGACGTTGAACTTTCGAAATAATGATAGCTTAGGACACAAATTATTATTCAAGCCTTTCGACGGGAATAATAATATTGTTCTCTATAATCTATCATAGCAGAATAGATCAATTCTCTTCTGGCTTTGTGATCTTTATGGGGGTTTCAACTAATTGAATTTAAATCTATCACTTATCCCTCAAATTGATGAATTCATACGATCGTTTAGCAATAAGCAAATAAATTACCATGGCGAAAATTATTTCAAACGTCTTTGCTTTTTCTGGACTCCTGAAACATTATTTTCATCATTTGGCGTTTTGTATTAACTGTATGTATTTTTAAACATTGGATTCGTTTAGTACTTGTAGAAACGTTTATGTATTTATCTTTCCTTTCCATAGGCAGTATCTGACTCAAGTGACGGAAGAAATAGTCAATCCCTCCAAGTAAATATTGTTTCTTTGATACGAGTGCATACAACAATTAAGACCGTGATGACCTCTATACAGTATTTCCAATTAGTCGTCACTATGGTCCGGGTTTATCCATCAGTATCTAAACAGATTTGTACAGTTACATGATATTTTTTTTTTTTATTGTTGCCCATAGTTTTATATATTACAAGCCCTCCTAAAATCTATGTCAGATGTTGTCGATGAATAGTATTGCTATAGTCAAGTCTGAGTTTGTTTTAAGCTGTTTTCCTCATTGAGTCTAGTTTAAACACGATCAAACATGAAAAGGGAATGAAACAACCATAACAGCAACAAATGGTTAGCTTGTGGTCATAGTGTAAACTGCTATTGTACTCATGTGATGTGTTGTTGTTTTATTACCCTTGTCATACCTTTACAAAGTTATTTCAAGTACAAGTCTTTTTCGAAGTTTACACAATCCAACGGGTGAACTAGATGACGCTCGCCATGTGTTATCCGTTTCTTGCTTGAGCTTTCATCGTAACGAGGAGGCCAAAGCGATATTTTTAAAATGAATTAGATATAAGAGAAAATTGCAAAGAATTTGAAACCTCCATTGTTTATACTCTGATGGCCTTAAAGGTAAAGACCAGTTATGGTCATGCGATTGCATTGTGAAAGAAACGTTGTGGAATCGATCAGAAAAGGTTGATCATCTGGCATCTAGCATCTGCAAGGTTCTGGAATCATCAAAATGATAAGAAATTTGGCCCATTCTTCGTAAAGTTACAAGCACTATACACAGAAAGATGTATATGGGACTACCCTATATCTCTCACAGACCATGAGAGAAACAAATTTACCAAATATATGAATTAGTAGGCGGTTTCCCGGCAAATTTGTTATCATCATGTATTAGTCAAAACATATTCTTTCACATGATTGGTAATGAGAGCTTCCATTTCATTTTTTGACATTATGGGGCGTTTCCAATACTGGTCTTTACCTTTAACACTGCAGCACTTTGGACTAGCAATGTTCCGGAGATAAAAAAATATATTTACATAATGAGGGCACTGTCAGTAGAATGATAAAGTTGGCAGTATGAAAAAAAAGACAAAATAGAGAGAGAGAGAGAGAGAGAGAGAGAGAGAGAGAGAGAGAGAGAGAGAGAGAGGAGAGAGAGAGAGAGAGAGAGAGAGAGAGAGAGAGAGGAGAGAGAGAGAGAGAGAGAGGAAACCAAACGTTACCCCTTTCCGTGCACCCACTACAAAATTGTTTTGCGATCAATAGATATAATTACACCAATTATAAATTTATTAACTGTTAGCGTTCTTGTACTTTCAGAACGGTTCATTTGTCAGTCATCGTCTCTATGATAAACATAACAGTAGTGTACCTGCTAACCAACGTTGACTAATTATATTTTACATTTTTTCTTCTTCTCAGAACAATTCCTATATCAATTGGGATCTCGATGACAATAATAACAGTGGTGTACTTGCTAACAAACGTTGCGTATTTCGCTGTGCTCTCAGAGAGTGAGATGCTTGCATCAAGTGCGGTTGCATTGGTAAGATATTGATTTGTTTTGCTTGTCTCAAATAATAATGTTTAACATATGAGAAATAAATGACTAAATGAGTGAGTTTCATTATGAATTTAAAGAAAAACGTATTTTCTATAACAGCGCACCACCACCACTACTACTACTACTACTACTACTACTACTACTACTACTACTACTACTACTACCACCACCACCACCACCACCACCACCACCAGGCCTCGAATTACATCAAATTTGGGTCAAGGCCACTTTTTTGAGAGGGCACAAATCCACTGAAAGGGGCACAAATCTATCCTAAGGGGCACTAAGGCCAACGTGGAAAGTGCGCGTAAAATCACCTCACGCCGTTGTTTTCAAGGGGGGGGGGGATATGTGCACCCAGGGGCGGATCCAGGATTTCTTCCTTGGGGGGGGGGGGGGCCCACCTTTTTTTTTTTTTTTTGGTCTCGAAATTTAAAATTTTGACATTTTGTTCCCTTTGGGGTGGGTAAAGCTTTGACATTTAATTTAATTATTAGAGAAACAAGACGATTCGTTGTACCGTTCACGAAAATAATCCTCGCCTGCATGAATACAGTTTTCCCCTTCCCGCGCAAAGCGCGGAAGCTTTTATGTTTCATTAAATCATTAGAAAAAGAAGACGATTCGTTGTACCGTTCTCGACTCTTAATCCTTGTCTGAATTTCAAAAATGTTTTTTGTCTGCTCCTTTTTCTTCATACGTCCTTTTCCTTTTCTCTCCTCTCTTTTTTTTTTTTTATGGGGGGCGCCCCCACTGCCCCCCCCCCCCGGCTACGTGCCTGCGGTCAGATGAACATCTTTTGATACCTTGTTTGCCACCGGAAACTCATGGGTTGAAGGCAAATTACGGTCAGATAAGCATTCAGGGGCCCGCCTCAGGGCCCCTGGTGGAGTCGAGGGTGCGGAACCCCCTGAATTTCAGGGGTTTAAGCATTTGATTACGGTCAGATGAACATATTTTTATACCTTAATTGTGACACTGGCAGGATACTGATTGGCGTGAGGTCCAGCGGGCGGAGCCCCCAGAAGCCCATGGGTTTAAAGCATTACATTACCGTCAGATTAGCATCCAGTGGGGTCCAGGGGGCAGAGCCCCCGGAAGCTCAGGGGTTTAAGCATTTGATTACGGTCAGATGAACATGTTTTTATACTTTTGTGACACTGTTTGTGACACTGGCAGGACACTGATTGGCGTGAGGTCCAGCGGGCAGAGCCCCCAGAAGATCAAGGGTTTTAGGCACTAAATTGCAGTCAGATGAGTATCAAGAGGCCTGCCAAAGGGCCCTTGGTTGGGTCCCGGGGGCAGAGCCCACGGAAGCTCAGGGGTTTTAGTCGTTTAATTACGATCAGATGAGCAATTTTTGATACCTTATTATTTTGTTGAGAAACTGGTAGTTATCTATTTTTTCTTTCTTGCTCTCTTTCTTTCTATTTCTCTTTAAAATGCTTTTAAAAAAAAAACTGGGGGGGGGGGGGAGTTTCCCCCTTTGACGTTTCATTGAATTATTAGAGAAAGAAGATGATTCGTTGTACTGTTCTTAAATCTTTATCCTTTTCTGAATTCCAAGGGAAGCGCGGAAGCTTAGACGTTTTTAATAAATTATTAGGGAAAGAAGACGATTCGTCTCGATCTCGACTACCGGTATTATCCTTTTCTGAACTCAATTCACACCCCTCCCGCGCGATGGGAGGAAGCTATGACGTTTTAATTAAAACGTATGGGAAAGAAGACGATTCTTTGTACCATTATCTCGACTCTTAATCCTTCTCTGATTTAATTCCAGACCCTCCTCCCGAGAAAAATCCAAGTTTTTCACTGATTAAAAACTGTAAAAACGCACCAAAAAGGGTCACAACGCGAAGTAAAGATGTTGAACCAACGATGGGTAAACAAAACTTCCCAATATTGATTGGTTCAAATAAAAAGGATGGATTGAAAAACTAAGCCTGAGTCATTTGGATGAAGACATTCTTTCATATCTCCGTATCGGCAATTAAGTCCCGCCAATTAATTTAAGAGTTCCATAGTGGAAATTAAGTCTCGCCAATAATTATTGTTTTAGATCTCCGTAGGGGCAACAAAGTCTTGCCGATTATCATTGTTTTAGATCTCCGTATCGGCAATTAAGTCCCGCCAATTAATTTAGGAGTTCCATAGTGGAAATTAAGTCTCGCCAATAATTATTGTTTTAGATCTCTGTAGGGGCAACAAAGTCTTGCCGATTATCATTCTTTTAGATCTCCGTAGGGGCAACAAAGCCTTGCTGATAATTATTGTTTTTAGAGCTCCGTAGGGGCAACAAAACCTTCCGGTAATTATTGTTTTTAGAGCTCCGGAGGGGCAACAAAACCTTGCCGACTATTATTGTTTTTAGTGCTCCGTAGGGGCTACAAAACCTTCCGGTAATTATTGTTTTTAGAGCTCCGGAAGGGCAACAAAACCTTGCCGACTATTATTGTTTTTAGAGCTCCGTAGGGGCAACAAAACCTTCCGGTAATTATTGTTTTTAGAGCTCCAGAGGGGCAACAAGACCTTGCCGATTTTTATTGTTTTTAGAGGTCCGTAGGGGCAACAAAACCTTCCGGTAATTATTGTTTTTAGAGCTCCAGAGGGGCAACAAAACCTTGCCGATTTTTATTGTTTTTAGAGTTCCGGAGGGGCAACAAAACCTTGCCGACTATTATTGTTTTTAGAGCTCCGGAGGGGCAACAAAACCTTCCGGTAATTGTTGTTTTTAGAGCTCCGGAGGGGCAACAAAACCTTGCCGATTATTATTGTTTTTAGAGCTCCGTAGGGGCAACAAAACCTTCCGGTAATTATTGTTTTTAGAGCTCCAGAGGGGCAACAAAACCTTGCCGATTTTTATTGTTTTTAGAGGTCCGTAGGGGCAACTAAACCTTGCCGATAATTATTGTTTTTAGAGCTCCGGAGGGGCAACAAAACCTTGCCGACTATTATTGTTTTTAGAGCTCCGGAGGGGCAACAAAACCTTGCCGATTTTTATTGTTTTTAGAGCTCCGTAGGGGCAACTAAACCTTGCCGATAATTATTGTTTTTAGAGCTCCGGAGGGGCAACAAAACCTTCCGATAATTATTGTTTTTAGAGCCTCGGAGGGGCAACAAAACCTTGCAGATAAATATTGTTTTTAGAGGTCCGGAGGGGCAACAAAACCTTGCCGACTATTATTGTTTTTAGAGCTCCGGAGGGGCAACAAAACCTTCCGGTTATTATTGTTTTTAGAGCTTCGGAGGGGCAACAAAACCTTGCCGACTATTATTGTTTTTAGAGCTCCGGAGGGGCAACAAAACCTTGCCGATTTTTATTGTTTTTAGAGCTCCGTAGGGGCAACTAAACCTTGCCGATAATTATTGTTTTTAGAGCTCCGGAGGGGCAACAAAACCTTCCGATAATTATTGTTTTTAGAGCCTCGGAGGGGCAACAAAACCTTGCAGATAAATATTGTTTTTAGAGGTCCGGAGGGGCAACAAAACCTTGCCGACTATTATTGTTTTTAGAGCTCCGGAGGGGCAACAAAACCTTCCGGTAATTGTTGTTTTTAGAGCTCCGGAGGGGCAACAAAACCTTGCCGATTATTATTGTTTTTAGAGCTCCGTAGGGGCAACAAAACCTTCCGGTAATTATTGTTTTTAGAGCTCCAGAGGGGCAACAAAACCTTGCCGATTTTTATTGTTTTTAGAGTTCCGGAGGGGCAACAAAACCTTGCCGACTATTATTGTTTTTAGAGCTCCGGAGGGGCAACAAAACCTTCCGGTAATTGTTGTTTTTAGAGCTCCGGAGGGGCAACAAAACCTTGCCGATTATTATTGTTTTTAGAGCTCCGTAGGGGCAACAAAACCTTCCGGTAATTATTGTTTTTAGAGCTCCAGAGGGGCAACAAAACCTTGCCGATTTTTATTGTTTTTAGAGGTCCGTAGGGGCAACTAAACCTTGCCGATAATTATTGTTTTTAGAGCTCCGGAGGGGCAACAAAACCTTGCCGACTATTATTGTTTTTAGAGCTCCGGAGGGGCAACAAAACCTTGCCGACTATTATTGTTTTTAGAGCTCCGTAGGGGCAACAAAACCTTCCGGTAATTATTGTTTTTAGAGCTCCAGAGGGGCAACAAAACCTTGCCGATTTTTATTGTTTTTAGAGATCCGTAGGGGCAACTAAACCTTGCCGATAAATATTGTTTTTAGAGCTCCGTATGGGCAACAAAACCTTTTTGAACATTACAAGTCGGGTTGGCTTACGATGAATATAATGTCGGCAAAACTTTTGTGGATTAAAATATTGTGGCCGTAAACGGTTTGATTTTGAAAAGGGCATTCCGGCCAGTGAGAGGGGCATGGCGGCAAATTGCCGATTGCCGGTGGGTAATTCGAGCCCTGCACCACCACCACCACCACCACCACCACCACCACCACCTTATACCGCCGCCACCACCACCACCACCACCACTACCACAGTACCACTACTACTACTACTACTACTACTACTACTACTACTACCACTACTACCACTACTACCACTACTACTACTACTACTACTACTACTACTACTACTACTACTACTACTACTACTACTACTACTACTACTACTATTACTACTTCAACTACAACTACCACTACTACCCGGCACTACTACTAATACTACTACTAATTCTACTTCTACTACAATTACTACTTCCATTAAAATATTGGTGCTGTTATCGTTATAATTTGTCTATAGGACTACGGTCAGCGTGTTTTAGGCAGCTGGTGGTGGACTATGAGTGTGGCTGTAGCTCTATCAACCATTGGATCGGTCAACGGAGGAATATTTGGGTTTTCAAGGTATAAGTCTGCCTTTTTCGTTTACTGTATGTTTATTAAAAACAAAAAAAATAGTATTTTTAAAGAATGTTATTGATTATGCCGATGTATACACCTAAACATGAAAGATCCGGCTTCAGCTGCTAGTCATGTAAAACGAAATGCACCAAAAAAAAATTTGATTGGAATAAAAAACATTGTTTATTTGATTTTGGATTGATAATTTTAAATGATGGTTTGATAATGACGATGGCACATTATCTTTTAAATAGATTTTGAGAAATTAAAAAAATTGAATTTGTATTTAAATCATTTTTTGTTTCCTTCTCTTTAATCGCCAGCCCTGGAGTTATGATACTTTCTGAATTCCCCACATTTTGTGATATTTTCCTCATATCATTTAACACAATATCAATATCCTTCTGACTCTGATTGTAATTATACTTGCGTATGACTTTATATTGCATACAGGCTTATTATGTTCTCAAACGTTTCGTAATTCAGTACTGGACAAGCTAGAAGAAAATATCGTTTCTAATTGTTTAATTATTTAGTGCATACTAGGTCGAATGATCCTCCGACAAGCCTTTAAGGCTTTGACGGTTGTGAGAATGGGTCAATGGTATTTGCTTCTTTTATGATCTGCATGTATAGGTTCCTACTGGTGGCATCACGTGAGGGTCACATGCCTGCCATAGCATCAATGATACACACCGATCGGAGAACTCCTCTACCAGCTGTTACAATACTGGTATGGCATGACCAGTTACTCGTCACTCATTGGAATAAAAAATAATATTACCTGAATTCTTAGTATTTTTGTCTTCGTCAAGACCTTTAGCCCAATAGAAGTCCGCTGATGACAACACATCTGATTTCCCCGTGAAAGATATAAAGAACGAATTTTCACAAATATTATACAACTTTCGAAAGCCATAACTCCACGATATCAAATAAATATTGTGCAAGATCATTTGTCAATAATCTTGTCAATATGGTTCTCTAAATGTAAATGAATTCCTAGTTTGCAATTGTAGAGGATTTATGATATTCAGGTGACGTTCTTTCACAAAAATGTGTATTTTGCTCAAAAAATGAGAACTACATGGACATTTATTTGTTGGATCTCTGTGTCATGGAATATTTTTTGACAGAATTTGAATTGAATTTGATTGAATTTCAGGCTCCTTTGTGCCTCTTGATGTTACTCAGTGATGACGTGACAGCCCTTATCAACTATCTTAGTTTCACACGATGGCTTTTCATCGGTATCACGTGCACAATAATTCCTTATTATAGATGGAAATATCCAGAGCTCCCTCGTCCTTTTAAAGTAAGTCTGTTTTTGTTTTGTTTTGTTTTGTTTTTTTTTGTTTTTTTTTGGGGGGGGGGAGCGGGGATAGGGTTCTAAAGCCTGTATAAGGTTGCAATTTAATATATGCCCTATAAGGGGGGGGGGAGGGGCTCTAAAATCCGAGTTACAATGTACTTTAAATTACATAGAGTTCTCTCTCTAAAAAGAAATCGAATGATCACTGACTTAACTCCTCTGGAGAGTGAAAATGTAGTGAAAATAGAGTAAACATTCGCTCTTTTCCTCTCAGAGCGCACTCTAACATCAGTCGATATTCAGTCCTAAACAAGTGATCACTGACGTGACTCGTGGGGGAGTGAGAATAGAGTGAACTTTCACTCTTTTATTTTTAGAAAGTATACGTCTCTATGAATATGACGGACAAAGAAAGCGGACAAAATATACAGTTCCTAGGGTTATCAAAGGAACATCCCTTCACTGCTATTATGTAAAAATGTGTAGAACAGGTGTCACATGCATATTCACCTGTTCTACACATTTTTACATAATAACAGTGAAGGGATGTTCCTTTGTCTACCTGAGGAACTGTATATTTTGTCGCTTTCTTTGTCCGTCATGTTCATAGTGCATAGAGGTGTTGTGGTCCAGTGAATTAGTCTCCGGACTCTGAACCACAAGATGCGGGGTTCGAATCCCTGTCACAACACTAGTTCGTGTGTATTCATAAATCGGGGTACTCGTGGTAAGTTATCCGGGGTGCCATGAAATTCCGGAATTAGTTGTCCAGATGCATTGGTAGTCTGAGGAAAGTTGTCCGGATAAAAATGTTTCATGATCGCAATCATTCTTTGCATATGCTTTTTCTCATTACATGCAGGTTCCGCTGGTTGTCCCCATTATTTTCTCGTTTTGTGCGTTGTTCGTGGTTGGGATGTCACTGTACAGCAGTCCTGTAGATTGTGGTATTGGTTTAGCAATCATGCTATCTGGGATACCTGTCTATTACCTTTGTGTTTGGTGGCAGAACAAACCGGACTGGGTCAATGATAGATTAGGTAAGTAATACACCATTACATCTGAACCTATGGTTAATAACATCATCCGCTTTCGCTCAGTTTGTTTTATATTGAATTATGTCCTAACATTTCTGGCAATCACCGCAGTGTTATTAAGCCAGCTATAGCCGTTTAGAACATCTAAATTCCAATTTTAAAATAACGGATTATTACAGAAGGCCTTTACTCCGTCCATAAATGTTCAACTACGGAACGCCTTTTTGTTTAACGTGTTCTATGATTTTTTTTTTTTTTTTGGGGGGGGGGGGGTGGGGGGTATAGTTTTAATTTGATTTGGTTTAAATTGTTCTCTATATCATCTTTTCATTCTTGTCAAACATACACATTTAAGCATAAGTATGAAATCATGAAGCTGTGGTACATGTGTTTGCGATCCTCAGTTATAACGATGTGTATTGCAAAGAAGGGAGAGAAAAAATAAGGAAGACAAAAAGTACTGGGTATAGGGTTTCACAAAACCGCCATTAGAACAAGTTCACTGATTACTTATTGATACAGGTGTATTAAATCCAACCTTGAAATACCACGCATCTCAATAAGATAAGATAAGATAAGATTTTATTCGTCTTTCTTTCAAATGACATACAGAGCATAACATTGAATCATAACACATTTACAATGCAAAATAACAAATTATGGCAATGATAAAAACAAAGTTAACTAAAAGAAAGACGAGGAGACCCTGGTAAAAGCAGAGCTTGTAATTATTAGGGTCCCCTCTGAGCCGGATAAAACATGATGAATAGATATTTGTGACTACCTAAGAATACAATAGGGAAAAGGGGGTATAACAAAACAAGAAGTGTACACACACAACAACAACAACAACAAAACGAGAGACGAGACTAGACAAGACGGGAGAAAAGAGAAAATATGAGAAATAATAGAAGACTACAGCACATCGACAATAGGTACAGCACACAACGGGCACAAGACAACAGGGGGAGGGAATAAGAGGTTGACAATCTGAAAATATTCAGTTAGACACATATTAATATCAATTTTTTTTTTTACATTTATAGTAATACATAATATATCTTGGCACCATAATAACTACAAAAATGAACTACTCTATGAGTCACAGTATTTATTGAGAAGATAAACCTTAAGTTTACACTTAAATGAAGAGAACTTGTCAGTCAACTTGTCTTTATGAGGGTCTCATGAAACGACGCCCGAGTATTCGTAATACATGCACAATGATGATCGTACATGTCGATAAGACGCAAGCTCACTTCAACAAGTTAATTGAATGATTACATTTTCATGTATTTCTATTTCTACTCTTCTTCCACCAGATCGGGCAACCGTATTTTTACAGCAATTTCTTTTCGTCATGCCCCCAGAAGAGGGTGATGAGCCCCCAAAACCCGTTCAAAGCGAAGATGACAACTGTTCAACTTCATCACAATAAAAGCCTTCACAGTTCTGGAAGTCTTCTCTTTTAGGAGTAGTAGTAGGGACGCACTATTTTTGTGAGGAATGGAAATCATTCCAAAAAATTAGTTTAAATTGCTCTTTTGAGAGGAAATTTCATTTCCTCTCAGTGCATTAAACATTTTAGATAAATATAATGCAATGTCTGGTTTAAAAGTTAATATACAGAAGACACATGCGATTTTGATTGGAGGATTTAAAAACAAGAAAGATGGTGTTCTTTTGAATAGAAATCTAAATTGGGTGTTTGATGATTATTTCAGATATCTAGGTATAGACTTTTGTACGGATTTGCCCATATTGATAATTCACAATTATAATGAAAAATTTAAAGAAATCAAAAGTCAAATGACATCGTGGTCAAGGTGATACTTAACTGTTCTTGGAAGAATCACTGTCGTCAAGTCATTGTTGGTATCCAAATTAAACTACCTTTTTTTTTGTCCCTCCCTAATCCTGGTGAAAATCTTTTGAAAGATATAAATGCTCACTTTTATAGATTTATATGGGGGGAGAAACCTGATAAAATAAGTAGAAATCAAATGTCACAAAGTTACTCAGACGGAGGGGTTAAAATGATAGATATATACACACATTGCCAATCATTAAACATTTCCTGGATTAAGAGATTAGTAATTGGCTCAATGGATAGCAATATCCTCTGTCTTTTGCAATCTTTCTTGCCTGAAGTGCAAGATTTAAAATTATATATGGAAACAATTATTTTCGGGAACTGGCAGGTAAAACAAAAAACCTTTTTTGGAAAGATATGTTCGTGGCTTATAGTACGCTCTTGTCCATGCATAGTGATAACATTTCTTGCCAGCCCTTATGGAATAATGACTACATTAAAATAGGCAATAGCTCAATATATAATAACAAATTGTGTCAAAAGGGAGTTCGTTTTGTCAATGATATTCTAAACAAAAATGGTGATTTTTTCTCTCTGGAACACTTCCAAGAAAAGTATAATATTCAAATAAATTATCTTTTTTATCGTGGATTATGCGATGCAATTAGACAAGGGTTTAACAATTGTACTATTTTTAACAAGGTGCCACAACCTCTTTCCCCAGATACAATGGCATTTGTTATGAAACGTATTAAAGGATGTTCACATATTTATGCAATTTTATTAAAGAGAAGGAAAGGACTATGTAAAAGTTTTCTTAAATGGAAATGCATTTTCGACCTGAATGATAAGAGTTGGGAAACATATTGTTCTATTGGATTTAATTGTACCATTGATGTGGGCTTACGATGGTTTCAGTTTAAAGTCATGCAACGCATATTATATACAAACGATCTACTGTTTAAAATGAATTTAGTCCCAAGAAAAGAATGTACATTTTGTAATGAACAGATTGAAACAGTTTTACATCTCCTATGTGATTGTACGCATGTTAAAAATATTTGGGGTAGGTTAGAACACTGGATTAATACTAGAACCGGAAATAAATTAACATTTTCATTACAAGATAAATTATTTGGTTTAAAAGGTTCAAATAATTATGCATTGAATTGTATACTGATTGTGGTGCGACAGATGGTGTATACTTCCAAAATAAAGAAACAATTGCCCGACTTTGATAACATTAGAGTTTCGATTATAAATTACTTCAAAAACGAAAAGTATATTGCAAATTCGAATTGTAGAAATAATAAATTCACAAGAAAATGGTTTCAATTCAGGAATTTGTTTACTTAAAATTATATTTTTTCTGTATTTGTTTTTCTTTCCATGAGTGTCAGAAATGAATTATTGATTTGTTAGTTTTCTCAACAGTTCAACAACACTTGTATTTTTAAAAGCCAATTTCATTTATGTTATAAATGTAAATTACCTTGGAAATATATTTTTGTATGTGTTTCAAATGAAAATCAATAAAATCCCTGTGGAGGGAAAAATATGGAAAAAAAACATTTCATTTCATGTATATTATAGCGTGGATTTCACTTTTTAGTGAGGATTTACACGTCAAAATGTGTAGTGCTTACAACTTTGAAACATTATTTTGCCTAAATCTTATATGATATCATTGAGAGTATACCATTATTTTGTTATAATGCTTTTGTATTTTTATGTTTGTATTATAATGTAAATATCTGATTGTTAAACAGAAAATATCTGCCTTGAGCTGCATGCTTTATTTTTTTTAAATTAATAAACCAATCAATAATGATTCCAAAAAAAGGGGAAAAGATTTACTCTTCCATTGAGAGAGCGAGAAGTAACCGTATATTCTGGCTTAACTACGTTACACCCCTCCTCTTATGCAGTTTCTTCCTCTTCATTTTATATTATTCTTAAATTCAGTATCATGACTAAATTGACTATTAAAGTAGTTACCCGAAGAAAATTCACGACAACTGATAATTATGGACAAATTATATATGGATGGAAATATTTTATTTTGAAAAAACACAAGTGAATTGCTGAAAAATCATATAGATATCACGAGAAGGCGTAAAATGCTTTGTGGCTAGCTGTGTCTCGCATGTGACGTCACGATTCTTGACGCTCTACGAAGGCAGAACATCTGGATCTCAAAATTAACATTTTCAGTAGGAATTTTGTTAATGTCTCTATACTCGTTTCCATAATAGGATATTCTGACGTTTCTTATCAGTTGTTTCTTTGGATGGTATCCCTTTTGGTAAGAGGTGTAAATGTGTTATGAATTAATATATCATCACATAGACTCTGTGTCTGCATAATGTAGTAAATGTTGATACAAAATATGTTGTACAGGAAGAATTTTTTTTTCCGTATATAAGAACGAAAGACTAAACAAAAAGTAGAAGCTATTTTCAAAATGTGAAAAGAAATAGAACTTCTGTCTGTGACTCTGTTGGTTGACTTAATGTATGCATTTGTGGGTTAAAATATATTTTGTGCTTTTATCAATGCAATCTGAAAGCTTGCAGACACTAGTATCATACATTTGCTCACAATGAGCTCATATTATTATAGTACTATACGATCTGTTTGGAACCAGAATTGATATACATGTATATTAAATCGATTATGATGAAAATATGCAGATGTTGAGAATGATGAATTTTGAGGATTAGATGCAAGGCTGACATTATAATCATGGCAGTGGTGGTGATGATAATGATCATGACGACGACGACGAACTGATGATGATGATGATAATGACAAACTGATGATAATGATGATGATTGTGGTGGTGGTGGTGGTGGTGGTGGTTGTGGTGGTGATGATGCTGATGATGATGATGATGATATAATGACACACTTATGATAATGATGATGGTGGTGGTTGTGGTGAAGGAAAAGATAATGATGGTGGTGGGGATAAAGTAATGATGATGGTGATTATGATTGTGATGATACTGATGGTGATGATACAAAACGGTGGTGGTGGTTAGGATAGTGGTAGGATATTTATGATGATTTGATTATAATGTTATCATTGATCAAAAACACGATAATCATTCTGCATTGCTGTAACAATGAGTCATACAGGCTTAAATGATACTGCCCGACTAACTACTGGGACACAACTAGAGCATGATGACGTGAGGAAACTAGGTTATGGCATGTGAAAATTGGCAATTTAGCGATCAACATCATAACCTGGCCGGGTCCTGCCAAGAAGAGGATACTGGTGTCATTGGTATATAGTTTAAATGGGGAAAACGTTTGGTTTGAAAATTGCAATTGTACTTCTTTATTAATTTTGTCAACGAAGGAGGGGCATTTTTAGCGTAAGTATGAGCAATATTGTGCTTGTGAAAAGAGACTGTTTGTTCTTGTACAACTGGGGTAATTGTGCCCCCGTCAAGGACAGTGTGCCTCCACCTCCCTTGCCTTATATTTAATTGTGATGATATCACTATAAAGCTGATCTGCCTCCTAGAATAGATAATAATAATAATAATAATAATAATAATGATAATAATAATAATAATAATAATAATAATTAAAAAAAAAAAAATAATAATAATGATAATAATAGTGGGTTCTTGTATAGCGCTCATAGCGCTCCCGATTATTATACCCTGGCTTTAGCACGGCTGCTATAAGGCGCTTTAGCATTTCAAGGAATAAATTCCTACCACTACCAGGTACCCATTTTAATAGGGCTCAGTTAATTATTAAGAGGGCTGTAACATTGCACATTGTGTAAGCGATAATGGGAACTTATTGGTAAAAATGGACACATAGTCAAAAGGGGATCAAAAGATAGGAACACTTTAAATATTAGATTTGATTAAAAAAATGACACCTAACAGAGGTGCCAAAAAGGGGCGATTATCAGAACGGAAAATACACTAATTCAAAAGGGAATGGTACCTATCAGAAGTTTAAAAAGTTGCGCATGAGTTTTGAATGGAGGCATTTATCAGTGGTGATATAGCTATATAGCACTTAGAATTAGGTGGAATGTCATTTATCAAAAGTGAAAAAGGGCACCGCAGAAGTGGAATAGGGCCCTATAAATCAAAGAGGACTTATCTGAAATGAAAAGGGGCTCTTTTCATAATAACGAAGGGAAACGTTTTTGGTACTCAAAAAAGAGTTTGTAAAAAATACACTTATATGGCCTTGAAGCGAAAGATGTTGAATAAAAAAATAAAGATATTTGACATGCCTCTATTTTTTGGGAAGTAGGAATATGATTGAGCATATAGACGACTATGAACAGGTATCCCCCCCCCCCCCCAAAAAAAAAAAGAAAAAAGAAGAAAAAAAAAGAAGCGGGGTGGGGGTCCGGCCGCTGCAAGTGTACATTTAAATTAAATCCATTGGTACCATAACCCCCTCCCCCCCCCCCTCCTCCGAACAAAAAAACAAAAAGACGAAAAATCAACATCAACAACATCAAAACAACATATTAATAAGAAATGAAATAGGCCTACGACCTACCGATACCCTTGATTGATTTTTCCAGATACTTCCCTCTCGTTTCTTTTTCTCAGGCTGTATTGAATTTTATATTTTTAATTTTACATTAAAATAAATTTATAAAAGGAGCCAAGCACAATTTTTTTAATTTATAAAATAAATAAATCTACATTATTCACCAAAAAAATCAAAAAGAGTGAATCTTACACTTGTACAACTTAAGACCAAAGGAAATACAAGTAATTACAGCAGGAAATATTCTAACTGTAGTCCGTTTCGACTGCCCTCACTCACTCTGTGTTATACAACACGGAAGTGGTATTATTAGAAAAGGGATCCCTGGCTGGTGGTACATTTGTCCATAGGCAGCTGCATTGAAATCCAGGGCGAGGCGAGGTTGTTCCATCTTCGTAATTTCCTGAAATTTAGCGGTGTAAGTAAATATATTTTTCCTGTTTTACTCACTTTCGTTTTGATAATGTAAGTTCTAGTTTGTGTATCATGATCACGTCGAAATATGAAGAAACATCATTTCTTTTTAGTTTAGACTAACAAAATCTAAACTTAAGTCGAGCTCGCGCCCGAGCGAGGTCGACATGGTTGAGCATCGACTCGATTAGGCTTGCTATGGCCCATGACCATGATCATGGTTGGGCATGGATGAAATTGAATGAATGGGATTTGAAGAAGATCTGCGTGTGTTGGTGTGAGTACTTTGGTTTTTACAGACGTGTATCAATCAGACAGTTAGTAGTTACGATCCAAGATGCGTAGTCGTAGACGCGTCTCCATGATCGTGACTCGGTTTTAAACTGGGGTCGCCTGCACAGTAGCACAGGGCGCTGGTCCAAGACTGAGGATCGTCCGCATAAACAAGGATATCCTTGTAACGTTGCGGACAAATCGCGTATTAAAAAATAAGGATTGTCGCGGAAGGTTTTTTTTTTTGGCGATCTGTAGGTTTTCGGGTTCCAGATAGGCGATAATGCAAAAAAACAAATTCCACATAATAAAATACCCCCAGTTCATCGTCTACTTTTATGGGTTGTCCGTCTTCCTGAGGCTCTATACAAAGTCAACGTGAAATGCATCAAGAAAATCACAGTGTAATCCGTTTTTCGCCAATGCGCAGATCGGCAATAATAATCATCCGCGAAAATACGGACGATCCTTATTTTTGCGGATGCTTCTGTCCACGTTTATGAAGACGATCCTCGTTTATGCGGACAATCCTTATTTTCCGACCAACGCCCCTACTGCTGCACGAGCCAATTTGTACACGAAGACAAAGGGTGCGTTTATTGACCAATTTTTTGCCTAGAATCGGCGTTTTCAAACGTCTTTCAGGCAAATTTTTAAGGTGATAAACGCAAAGACTTTTAATTCAAACGTCTATGATATGGGCATATTGTAACGCCGAAAAAAGTGCGTTTTGAATGTGACATACAGCCGTTTGAATGACGTTTCTGAGACATGATAAACGCAAAGCTGTTTTGAACCCCACATATCGAATCTTCCCAGGTTAATTTCCGGTTCGGAGGCTAGCGCGCGCCATGTGTTGTGTCATGTTGTTGTACAAGCATTTGTGCGTAGTTGACCTCCGAGAAACTGTCTGTTTCCCGGGTCAAACGGCGCAAAGCAGCTGCGCAGAGAGAAGGCCTTTATTTTGAATCGTGAAGAGACGATAAACGCGACATCCCGAAAATCATGTTCATATAGTGGGGTTCGATGGGGAATTTTTTTTTATACCATTTTTTTTCTTCCCCGAATCCTTTTTTTTTTAAAGGATGGATGGTTGAGGGAAAAAAAAAAAACTATTTTTTTTATAGTGCTCACTATCACCCCTGACTGTAGCGCCAGCTCAAAAGAGTCAAAACCAGCGTGGTCCACATTCAGCATCAGCGACACGCTGCGTTCCATTTGCTTTAGATGACGCTGGCAGCACCATAATTTTACTTGATTCTGGTCAGCAGGATTAAAACGTCATGGTGATCCAACATGTAGAGTTCGAACAAATTTCCGTACTTGTATTTCAGAAATATAACCTTATTGTTTGAACTAAATTTTGACCCTGCATGTGCTAGGATTGATTTGATGAGCTGTATGTGATCAGGAAGTCAGGAACGGACCTGTCGAATGGGCCTCTACAATTCTTTTGACTTACTAGGCTTCATCGTAGGTAATTCAGGTTTGCGATTAGACATTTTTACCAAAAGATTCCAGTCCGTCTAGCCCAGATACTCTGTGGTGATAACCTTGTCAGAAGCACTAGCGCATATTCAGGGGCCTTTTTTTGGCAACTGTGAAATCTTTAGTATGTGTCAGAGGTGGGTTTAATATATATAGGCATTTATTGCATTGGTTTCCCCCCCCCCCCCCCCCCCCCCCCCCCTATGCCTTGGACTCTACACATGAATGTTTGTGTGCAGTCGAAAAGTGGTTCCCAAACCCACTTTGTAGCCAGTTATAGATATAGACTAGATGAGTATGGCTAAGTAGAGGCAGTAGGTCTTACATACACAAGTCTATTTGCAGTTTCGAGAACTGGGACGATCGAGGATCACGTTATGTTATGTATCATGTCATGCTCAGTTTTTCTTTTATAGCTTCCAGAGTACATTTTGTGCCTTAAAATAGACTGATGACCCTTATCAACCTCTTTTTATAGTATCAAAGATGTATAAGTGTTGTTTATTTATATTGTTGGTTTACCTGAGTTAAAAAATGTGTCTTTTTGACTCAAAGGTCATTTTTGTTGTTTTCATTCTGTTACATGTACAGGGTGTAGGACAAAAAAAAAAGTACCGGTAAGGTATAAATTGTTATCCATCCTACCATGAAAGGCTTGGCATGTGGATGCATCATGCTGTTTATACACAGCTTGTAGCGATACGTACTAACAGGTGGAAGAGAAAGACAAACATAGCTTGTCCTACCTAACAAGAAGGAATATACATGTACATGTATGCAATTTGCATTCTGGCTATCAAAATTCAATTATTTGTAAGAGGTAAATGAAATAATTTGAAAGGGGCATTTGTGCATTCAATTTGAGCATCGCCCCAAGGGATTCTAGTGCACTGATGTGAACGGGTTATTAGACAGTGTAAGTTGATCATATGTGAATGAGTCCAAACAGGATTCCTACCTGCTCAAGTCAAGTGTAATTGCTAAACATTTGTATTGTATGTGTACGTGTATGTACCAGTGCAGATAATGCTTTCAGGAAGTATCCTGAGGCCTTCAAGGAAGTAAGCATTTTTCAAGCCTGTATTGGTACAGTACACAGTCTGTGTGATTGGATTTAACTCTGCATAAGTAGATTAATGGTATACAGCTCAATGAGCTCATGTAACAATGCATACTTGTATTACTCTATGCACTGTGATACCTCAGTCACGGCTATAGGACCGACTTCAGACCAAATAACTGACTGAACGACACATTACCAGTACACCAAATATTAATGGCTGAGAATTTGTCTGGTTTGGGGGCGGTTTGGAGTCGCTCATGTTCAGACCCCAAATTGCTCAATGGAAAGCGCAATGCTGTTAGAATAAGAAGGGCACTAAGTCCTTTTAAAGCTATGAAATCAAAATGAATAGATCAATTTAGCCACTTGTTTAGTATTTTGTAGATAACTAACCATTCTATAGTCCATGTATTGCATATACATGTACTGTAAGTCTAATAAACTTCCAAGAAAACTGGACTGGATTCCTAGTATTGTAGTTCATTCGTGAATAACAGGTTAATGGAATAACTTGTCACACAAAAGAAACAGTGATTCTACAGGGTTTTTGGCAATTTTGAAACATGCACAGAACCTTGTAGAGACGTGTTCAAATGTACAGATGGTTTTGTGATGAAGAAGCATGACATTTACCAGAGCAGGAGTGCCTTCTAAAGGCTTCTAGAATGTCTCTGATATCACTCCTCTTCCAAGCATGAATCATGCGTGAGTCATCACATTATTGCATCTCATTACTGATGCTTTATTCATGTTCTGTGTCTTTTAGGCACTCCTGAATCGTGTTTAAACATTAAAGATAGAGTAGAGTACTTGGGGGTGTTTCACAAAGATCCCAGAGTCGAACTTAAACATTATGGAGAGCCATTTGTAGCTTTGAAATAAAATAAATTCAAAAGCAAAAATTCAAAAAGTTTAGACCTTTCATAATTCCACATCAAGAACATGAAATCTCCTTTAAAATAGAAAATATGAATGATTTGAACGAACGTGTTATGCCTTTAAAATAACTTTTACAATATATTTTCAAAGATGCTAACGGCTTTCCATAATTGTATAGTCCAACTTAGAGATAAGTTCTACTTAGGATCTTTGTGAAACACCCCCTGGCCATGAGAATTGGTAATTGTGAAAGAAAGTGTCCGGAAGCAACTTGGAAATTGGGTGTAAACAAACTCCATCCAACAAAAATCATGAAATAAAGTAGACAAAAATTTAATTCAAATGCCCCCATTAAAAAATTGAAACTCTACCACTCATGCTCCCCTGTGAATTTTACTGGGTAAAAGGCATTGTAATGTGAAAAATCCTACAATGTAGGTTTTTTTTTTCTTCCCCTAATTTTTTAAGTATTTGTAGATGACTTTCATTGCTTGCCATAGGCGCCATAATCCCGTGATATGCCTCTGTTGGTCCATTATGTATGTGTTAGCTAACAAGTGAAATTTAAGGCGCATGGCTGGAGATGCAAAGGTCGAGGGTTTGAATCCCGACGCGGCACTAATATCCTTTGGCAAAATATTAACCTGCACTTGCTACTCTCCACCCAGGTGTTAAATGGGTACCCGGTAGGATGCGACCATCATTGTTGGTCAAACAGTTTTTGAGCGTCTGGCTGGAATGCTCCCCAGGGAGTAGAGATTGTGCACACAGTGTGTGCGGGCAAGTATTAAATCCAATGACTGGGGTAATAGTATATCTATAAAACGCTTAGAGACATTGTATATCGCGCTATATAAAAGTGGAATATTATTTCTCAATTATTATTATTAATATATTTTTGTCACCCTCTGTTGATCTTAACAGTCCAAGAAGATCAAATAACAAAATGGCTGAAGAGGCAGATCAGGAACAGATCCAGGCTGTGGAGGATATCGATGAACCAGACGCCACACCAGGCTATCAGCCGCCTGCAAAGAAAACCATCTCCGAGATCAACGAACTAGACAAGGATGATGAAAGTTTAGTCAAGTACAAGCAACAGCTACTTGCTGGTGCCGCGGAAGTATTAGGTAATTGTTATACATGTACATGTACAGTTACATGGAGCCCATTACTCATAGTGACTGGGACACTGTAACTCAGCCCCCCCCCCCCCCCCCAACACACATACATATTCATGTATTTGAAATCCAACTTTGGTAGCAAGTTGCTCTAAGGTGAAAGCAAAAATAATGATGAAAATAAATAAATGAATATAAATTAGAAATGAAGTTTGATAACATTACACCCATAGCAACCATCAAATCTAAAACTGTCACTCTGAATAAAGAGCAAAATGTATTTGAGGAAGAGCTGGCTTTTATTTCACTGTATTTTCGCAACACTTACAGGCATTTGTAAAAATGTACCACAAGATTTGTGTAGGAACAATGTTTTAATGTTCATGAAACGTTTTAAACTTCTTCAAAATTAATGATATAAATCTTACATCCTGCCCTGACTCTAACTTAGCATGGGGTTATAAAAACAGAGATAAAACTATAAAACTGCAAAACTCTGAAAAACCCCTATGGCTATTTTACCTATTACTAACAGAATATCATACACACAAGTATGACAACTTTAGGTTGTTCCTTCTTGGAATATTAGAATTTATAGGTTCAATTCATATATTTAAATTCTATACAAGAGGTACTAGTATGCGTGCAGTGGAAGGCTAGAATGACTCATTCACCCACCCTTCTCATGAATCTTCCTCTTTTCATATTCCAATTAACTGCCACTTACACATCGGAATTCACATTTAATTTAACAGGTCTGTAAACTGTTAATACCGGCATGAAATGAATTGAAACTTGCTCTTCTTTATTAAGAAATATCTATTAATGTTGTTTTTATTATGCAGTGGAGGATGGGATACATTTTTCAAAGTTGTCAGTTTTTACCCATTTCAAAAAGAATTTTTTTTTTACTGCCGTAAGAATTTCATTTCAATACAAAACATAGATGAAATTAAAGTAGAACAATATTCAAGCAGTGAGGTGCCCATGCAAAATCGCTGTCTGAAACTATTCCATTTCTCAAAATTTTCCTCATGAAAATACTATAAAGAGATAATTAATTCGGCTTCTGGAGATTTTGAATTGAGTGTAACGTTATTTCAAAATATATTTTTATAATTAAACTTCTATTGTCGCACACTTGTTAAAAAACAAAGTTCTGTGGCATCATCTATTATGAGGATAATTTGTAACCCCATTTATATCCCAGTCATTACAGTTTTTATCACTGAAATTAGCTTGAAGACTTGCTGGCCAATGTCTGTTGATGTACATGCCCATATATTATTATGTTGTGATTAATAAATGTTAATCTTTCTCTATGGTTACAGATGAAGGAGGTGCAAACGTATTAGTAAGAAAGATGATTTTCCATGTGGAAGGCAGAGAAGACATAGTCCTAGATTTAACAGGTTAGTACATTTTGTGGTTAGTTTGGTCGAATCTGTTGGCACCACAAAATGATAGTTTGACTTCAAGTCACATTAAAAACCTAAAAAAATGTATTCGACTTTGGGAACATTTGACTTGTGTGACTTTGAATTATGCAAAGTTAAATGTAGTCTTTCAAGTCATTATTCAGTTCAGATTACTCCTTTTCATTGGTGTTTGAGTAGACCTCTTCTGCGTTTGCAGCTGCATTACCTCCGCAAAGTCATTTACCAGTGACTGTTTAGTGTCAAAATAATAATAATGGTGATGATAATAAACAAATAATAGTTGCAGTAGTAGTAAATGGGTACCTGGTATGAATTTATTCCTTGAAATGCTAGAGCGCCGTATGGCAGCCGTGCTTAAGCCAGGGTAATAATCGGGAGCGCCAGGAGGGTCAAATCTGACTGACATGAGCGCTATACAAGAACCCATAATTATTATTATTATTATTAATAATAATGATAATAATAATAATGATAAAGATAATAATGGTAATATAATGATAATAATAATGATAAAGATAATAATGGTAATATAATGACAATAATGATAATAATATTAATAACAATGATAATTATATTAATGATGATAATGATAATAATGATTATAATAATTATAACAACAAAAACAACAAAGACTATAGAAAAGTACTAATGATGGTGATGGTGTTGGTGGCACTAGATGGTCAGGATGAATTTAACAACTTTGCAAATCAAGAATTAAGCATGAAGTAGCATAAAACAAGAACATGGAGCAATGCAAATGAAATCACATGGGCATAAAGAAAATAAGTTTTAACAAAAATCAAATTATTAGCTGTATTTTAAAGTTACATATTTGACATCACTGATCTTTCTCCAACTTCTCTTTAAAATTGTAATAATTGCCATAGGGATTGAGGTGCATTATGTCAACCTCTTGTTTACTCTCTTCAAAGGAATACTTCAACCTGTGTATCATAGAATGTACAGCCAGTGCATAGATGATTAATGATTATTTAACTTTCCTGAACACATATCCAGCAGTCATCACGATGGGTTTAAGAGTTCCGAACAAATGAGCTTTATCTGCCAAGTGCAGATAGAATCCTTGAAATGTCTAATTGGTCATTGCTTTGATAAAGATTGCTTTTTTCTTCGTTATCTTAGGAGACTTGGCGAAATTGAAGGAGCATCCCATTACAATCAAGGAGGGGATTGAATATAGAATCGTCATTGAATTCAGGGTAAGTACCGTGCCACACAATATTAATTTATTGAATTGAAGTGATTTTAATTTATTCACCACTTCCATAAAAACATGCAAAATCAAAGAATACAATAAAATTTTTCTTACAAATATGGATAAAATAGTCAAATGGAAAATGCCCTAAAGGAAATTACAAAGTGGTTGGATCATCAAATAGTTAAAGAAACCTATCAGTGAAGTTTTAGATTATGCTTATAACTGTTTAATGATGTACCGCACACTGTTAAAATATTTGGGTATTTTGTTCCAGTAGTTTGTGTCCTTTGCATAAAAAGATATTATTTGAAAAGGAAGAATGACCATATATTTCTCAAGTTTCTGTTGAAGTCGGGATATTGTAAGCCTATCTATGAATATGATAGAGTAACAAAGAGTTTAGCAACATATTGAAAATGATTATAATATACATGTACATACAATAGCGGTACACACTATCCAGAAAATTATCCTTCAGTTGAACTTAAAAGATATATTTAAGAGATATACTGTGTGAGTCAAAAAAAAGTTTACACCTAGAAAATTGCTAATTATTTTAAAAATTATGTATGAACAGTAAATTATTATACATCTTATGAAAGAGTGTTTTATCCCAAATCAATTGGTATCATTTTTGTGTGGTTTGAGTTCATGCTTGGATGAACATGAGGCATTGTTTGGGAGAGTGCAAAAATCGACTTGCGCCAAAGTGATGCCTACAGCATGTATTATATTGGGATTAGCGGAAGCAAAGTCACACACACGCGCACAAATGTTTGTTGATATTTGATATTCGATATTTGATATGTGTGGTATGATTAATTTTATATAATTAGAAATTTTCTAGGTGTAAACTTTTTTTTGACTCACACTGTAGTGGCGGAGCCTATGGAAAAGCAGAGCTTGTTGTGGATGGGCTCCTTCGGGAACGTGACCGGCTGGTGATCCGGGAATGATAGGAGTCAAGTTTAAGATACAATTCAAACTGGGCTTGCTATAAATAACTTGATATGATGGTTGTTTTGTTCTTAGGTTCAGCGTGAGATTGTGGCTGGTCTGAGGTACTTCCAGACTACGTCCAGGAAAGGAATCAAAGGTGAGTGATTGAAGGAAAAAAACTCTACATTTCCTTTTTTCTTCACCAAGACATTAAAGGTACTATGTCCCTTTTGCAGCCAACCTCAAATTCTGTAGAACTTTGCAGGAATTATGAATATGTCATGTATGTCCTATCTGTGAAATTTAAACGTTAGCAGTGTCCTCATATTCAAATTATGCAAGGAAACCCGTTTACTTGCTAGACTTCACTGTCAGACACTATTGAGTGACTGACTGGCTTTTTTTCTTCTTTGGTAATAACATACATGAAAAGGTTGTAAGGCCGGGTACATGAGCATTTGTCTACATCAATAACCCACTTCTTGTGATGGACAAGATTAAACTGATAGAATCTTTGCGCAGCATAAAACGTTTGACTATTCGGTACAATTGTCTGAAAATCAAGACTGTTACTTTTGGGCTCTATAGCCCTAAAGTCGATTTGACAACTAATAGTCATTATTTTCCCACTTGAAGACATTTTCAAGCCCCATCTTTTTTAGGAAAGTTCTAAATTAGTATTATCTTTCAAATGCAGTTGGAATTTAACTTTTTCATTTTTTTGGCCTGCAAATGGGGCATAGTACCTTTAAGTTGAACTTATTTCTAAGTTGGACTAAACAATTATGGAAAGCCATAATCTATGACAATATTTTTTGTAAAAGTTATTTTAAAAGGCATAAAAGATGTAAACCATTCATATTTTCTATTATCAAGGAGATTTCATGTTCTTGATGTGGAATTTATACTTGACTTTTCCCTTTTTAATATATTTTATTTTAAGGCTACAAATGGCTCTCCATAATGTGTAAGTTCAACTCAGATTTAAGTTTGACTTAGGATCTTTGTGAAACACCCCGTAGGACCCAAGTGTTTTTATTTAGTTTTCATCTTTTCATTTGGTGTATAAAGATAACCAGCAGCTTAGGCTGACACAATAATTTTTCAGAGTAATAGCATATTTACATTGTCATTTTTAAATATGCAACAGATTGTTAACGATATATACAAGAAATGGTGACATGAAAAGAACTATGGCTTCTATGTTTATTTGGATGAAAAAAGTGCACCTACATGGGGTTTTATTTTTATTATTCTATCTTGATCTTGTTTGATAGCAGAGGGCGAAATAAATACGATTCTTTTGCAATTTAGAAAAGAGATAAACTGAAGAAAAAAAATGTTTGTTTGGGATTAAAATGATAGGGATTGGATAAATTAATAAGGGATCACAGCACTATTTAGGATGAGATCCATACATTTTTCAAAATTTGTATAGAAAGCCAAATATCCAACATGATTACCCTCTTGATGACTTTGGGGGGATAACAAATTAAAATTTGGAGCAAAATGTTAGGATATTTATGGATCAACCCATATAAGAAGGAAAAAATTATGATCCCATTAAGTCAATAAATCTCGATAGATAATCCTGGTCGGAGGACATACAAATAATAATAAGCAAAAATATTGCATTTTGGTGTGACGTTTCTAATATTTTCTTAAATTATTTCAGTTTCTCAGTGAATACTGGGATTATGTCATATCCTCAAAGAAATTGTACTATAATTTTGTGCCATAACAAAGCAAAAGAGGTTTCTTATTTGAAAGATGAAAGACCACTTTCACTGGATTTTTGCTATGATTCTCATGAGTCATTTTAAAATCACTCTGGTTTTATCATTATTAGTAGTAGTAGTATTTTGTTGTTGTTGCACATAATAGAATACACTGAGGCAAACGATATTCCTGGAGAAATATTCTATTTAAGTAATCTGAAGGCATTTTAAATAGTTAATCACCAATATTTTGTAGAGGTCTTGCATCGGTTTGGGGGAAAATTTATGAAGAAGTTTATTAGCAATTGACTGTGATAAATAAAAACAAAATCTGCTTTTGTTTCTTCACTCTAGTTGATAAGTCAAGTCTTATGGTTGGGAGCTATGGACCCAAGACAGAGCCGCATTTGTACCAGACGCCAAACGAAGAAGCACCTTCTGGGATGATTTCAAGAGGTCACTACACGGTCAAGAGCAAGTTCACCGATGATGACAAGACTTCCATTCTGGAATGGGATTGGGCCTTCGATATCAAGAAGGACTGGAAGTGATAAAAACAATATCAACAAATGAATGTTATGTACAAAACAAAAGTAGGGTAATAGTAGTTTCTTTAAGGAGGAGCCTAATGTGAATTTACCGCAGAGATTCTTTGAAGTAAAATAAGTCAATTTATTTGTTAACCCATCTTCTTTCATGCGTCTTTAAAAGGAGATTGAATTTTAAGTACTCATTGAAACTAAACACATGACTTAACTTTCTGTTTCTTCATGTGCTCTTCAGTTATGCTCCAAATGACAGGATAAATAGTAAGGTAATACAGATATAAACAGAACCTTCCGATACTAGATTGCCATTTTCTATTTAATCAAGAAAATTGTATTGCAAAAACCATATTTGGTGTAAAGAATTTGTTTTTGAGGTATTTTAATTACAAAAGGTAATGGGTCTTGCAGTAGGTGCATTCCATCTTCATGTACCTTCACGCCTTTTAATATTCCAAAAATTGATGAGAAGGTTCCTTCTGTATGGATTTTTCAAACTTATTTTTTCTATTACTTTTGTATGCATCATGTACTAGTAGATGTATTGAGTTTATGCAATTGGCAGATTTAGTGAGTACTGAAGAAAAATATGAACAAATTTGATATATCCATGTCTTTAATCAAATGTTAGCCGACTGTAGAACTTTTTACTTTTGTTTTTTTCATATAAAAAGAATGATGGGGCTGATGTTTGATTGTGATCTGCATGATCAGTTGTAAAATGTTTTAAAAAATTAGTCGCCAGTGTGATGGTCGCATGAATATCAGAAATGAATATAGCAAGACCTTTTTTTCAGGGATTCTCTTTGATCAGGACTGTTCTTTCATACTTCCACTTCATAAGGCGCTTGATAGAGGTAGTTGAGGTTCCATGATGATGTCATCCTTCAAAGAACATAACATGACATCTATATTTGTTATAGCATCCTGTTCACAGGATCACTGATCTCATTTTATCTGCATATTGTCACAAAGTCTTGTTTTAAGTCTCTCTCATGAAAGCATCGTAAATCTGTCTGTGTTGGAAGTAGCCTGTTTGTATATTGAAAAGCTCTCCATTTATCGCATTGTTAGTGTCATGGATGCTGAACTCTTGATTTGTACAATATATATCAAAGGTAAACTATGATTCAAAGTGTTGATGTGTCTTCCATGTTATAAACTATCTTCAATCATGTTGCAACTAAATTAAGTGTCAAATATCAAAGGTCAAACCTACTTTTAGTCTAGAGAGTCAAAATAATTTATTTTATATTCACTCAGAGTGTAATCTTGATTGATTTACAGATCTTCAATTAATTTTTCTATTTTATGTTAGCGCTGAATATGAAATGTACATTTTTGTCTTATTAACATTACATTTACAAACAAGGAATCCATGTTGGTATAAGATCACCTGATAAAGAGAATTGTGAGAAGTTTCTTGGCATATATTTTGTGAATAGTCTGCATATATATCCAGCTTACATGCTGTACTTCAAGAGCTAGCCTTGAGCTTCCATTTCTAAGACCGAGTTCTATTTCCGTTCATATGTTTATTAGCCTTTGTAAAAATGAGGTTTAAATGTTTCATAATAGTGGTCATTCATACTGCATTATACATAGAGAAGTACCATAGCACTTACAATGTAAACAACATAGGAAACCGACAAAGACTAGCTCTGTAGAAAAAGATGGGTCTTTTTTTAAATTTTTAATGTGGACAGAATTTCTATCGCTCAAATCGATCATGGTGAATTCTTCCAAATTCTAGGAGCAGTTACACTGAATCTAGAAATCACAAGGCTAATAGTGTCATATTTCAATCAATTGAATCTTCGTCCAGTCATGTTTTTGTCGCAGTGTTTTATGTTGATGATATGATCTGAGTCATTATGCAAACCAGCCTCTAGTCTACACCAAGTGTAAAACTAAATGTATTAAACTGTGTAGCCATCAATTGCCTTAATTTCTATCTTTCATTTTTAAATGAAATCAAGACAGATGTGTGATTTTTAAAATGTTTTGAACGTTCCATCCGCCGTCTATTTACAGTGTGAAGAAATTGGTAATATGTGAGTTTTGTCTCGGCAATTCTTTAGCAATTCTCTGTGCGAGGTATCATCTATTTGTTTCATGAGTTATACTTGTAGACCTGGTTTTGTTGTCTGTGTACTTGTTTCCCTTTTTACACAACTCTAAATGCAGCTTAATTATAAAAAAACATAGAATGTTATTGGATTGCATCCTAAAAGGATTAAATGGCTTTCTCAGCTAGATGAATCATGATATATGCAGTAATTTGGGAATCCATTCATGCTTTTGATAAATGAAATTGAACATGAATATTCCTTAAAATTCAAGATGCCAGAAATTTGTAATTATACTTTATAGTGTATTAAGGTTGCTGGTTGGTTGAGTGGTCCTATGTTTGTCTTGTTCCTATGTTGTTTTCTTTTGTACAAGTGTTTGAACACATTATGCATTTTGTTTTCCTACATAGGCATACATTAAACAGAAAGAAGAAAAAAAAACACCATGTAAAAATTCACAAAGTTTCAGAGGTCATCAGAATGTTTGATTTACTTCCGGAGTCAAATTAACATACAGCAGTTAGAATAGTGAGAGATTGTAGTTCTATGAGGTAGAAAGTGGGATTGAATTGCAGAATATTGATTGTATAAAAAGGCTTCTGGTTGCATTCACCCTGATATGTGTATGATTTGAGTATACTATCATTCTAACAGCAATTACATTCCTTGTCTTCTAGTAGTCTGTATTTTAATCCGATGCAGTATGCAGGCTAAAAGTAGTTTATATAACCATAGCACTAATTTGGCAATTATACCCATTATTGTTTGATAATGCTCATGAAAATATAAGTATATATATTTTTTTTCTTTTACATAATACTTTTATATTTCTGCAGGTAGCTCTCTTCAAGTAGATTTTGCAAAAATTTACTGCTTTTTTTAGGAAAGTATATTTTTTCATTATGTTATATTAATTGCTCATTGCATTTGGGACGGTCATTGCTGATTCAGTGAATGCTGGGCAAAATATGATCTTATATAAAGCGAGCTAGGAACACAACAATGCAGAATGCTACAATTCAATGTTATATTATGCTACATAACCCCTTTCAGTATTTGACTGAAATCAAATCTGCGGCAATCAGAGCCAGGAATGTTCCCATTAGTATATGTTACCATTGACGTTTTTTGTTAAGGTGGTGCACAGTCCCTCTCATGCATTTAGAGATCATGTGGCAGTATTGTGGATACAGTGCGCTGCCCAATGCATGTTGATTTGAAGAGAGTTGGTGTGTGCTACATCGTGTCAGTGAGAAGAGGCTTGCCATTGCAAGAAAACAAAATGTGTTTGTAGACTGAAATCATGTACATCATCATGAATGGAGTTTGTAAACTGGCCACATAATAAAGAGGTATCAGCAGTACAAAAAAAATTAACATGTGTCTTTCTCTTCTTCTTTCAATCTCTGAAGCACTTTGAAAAATGTTACTCTTGCTATTTATATGTTATTATATTAATTGCCATGTACGCGGTCTTTTCCTTTATATAATTTTGTCTTTTGCTTTCCTTTTTTTAGGTATTCTTTCCTTTTCTTTCTTTGAATTCCGCTTGCCTTTGTTCATTCTGTCAATCACTTAATTCCTTGTCTTTCTTTGATCATTTCCTTTTTTTATAATTATTTCATTTGTTTTTGTTTCTCTGCTTACATTCTCACTGTTTTTTTCCTTGTGTATCTTCTTTTTCCCCCTTCTTTTTTTTTTTTCCAATTGTCTACTCATTTGATCAATTATATGACATTTTTATTTCACCATATCAAGTAATCAATGATGACAATTATAATGATAATAATAATAATAATAATAACAATATTTAAAATAATAATGAAATAATGATAACATTAAATTAAATAATAACAATGTGTTAAAGCCCCTCTAAAGTGTTATAGGAGCCCCACAAATTTGAAGGCAAAACATTTCACTTAAATTGTTTCATAATACATAATTAATATGAAAAAGGCCGGGAAAAGGACGTCATTAAAGGCATTTTTTGCAAGGATCTTCAAAACAAATGTGTATGAAGTCGAATATTGATAAAAGAATACAAATTTAGGTTCCGCGTAACAGAAAACCCAAATTATGTAATTGTTATCAATATTTGTCTTAATTCAAGCACATTTATGTGGTGAAATCTTTGCAAATTAGTTTTGGGGCTCAGGCTCCCAACACTTCAGAGACTTCATTAGCATGGTCGTCATTATTTTGTTAATAAAACCCAGTGTCGATGAATATCATGAAATATAAAGGAGGAAGACGATTATTAAATATGTTGACTATTTTGTTCATTGCAATCACGGTGTCCCCTGCGGGCAAGAGCTCGTAGTCGAGTCGTATACATGTATATGCCTCTTACAATATCTTTATGTTCTCGGTACCAAATTCAGCACGTCGCCATATTTTTTTTCGCAGTAACATAATAAATCACAATCTTCGCTCTTTGGTTTCTAAAGAAAAAATAACACCACAAATTTCTTTGATTTCAAATTGAAATGGTGTTTTCTTATTATTTCTTATTTACCCATTCTCATCGTTTCGTTTTATTGCTTATCAAAACCCATATGGTACAGTTAGAACGAGCTGAATAGGGGGAAGACCCTTTAACTCCTTTGACCAATCACAGACCTACACATGAAAGACTTTGGAGAATTTCGGCCAATCAGCATAACACACGGGTTTTTTACATCTGACTCAGAGGGCGCTCTAACAATTACAAGAACAAGTGTTTCCGTGTCAAATCAGCCTCTTCGACTTGCCACGTACTGCACGTGAAAGACGGCATCTCTTTTCTCCCGGAACTCCGACAGACTTACAACTTAAAAATGAAGTATTTGGCTCTTTGTTTTATTGCTCTGGCCTGTGCGGTCCATGCCGCAGTCGAGGTCGAAATCGAAGAAGATGTCGCTGTCTTGACGGATGCTGCCTTCGCCGATTACGTCGCAGAAAATGAATTCGTCCTTGTAGAATTTTGTAAGTCATCAATTTTGAAATTCTCATAATACCCTGGCACGGCACCAACTCATCATAAAGTTGGTTGCAGCAGTAGAACTAGTAAAATTATTGAGTCTATGTTTGTAGAGTGTAAGTTGTACCTTTGTTTGTTCATAGTGTTAGTCCAGGCGAATAGTATTTCAGAGATTAATATCACGATTTATCCTTCTTTTTGTTCACAATGTTCAGATGTTAAATGATTATGGTAGGATTGAATGAGAGTACCGTACTGAGAGAGTACAGTCTTGACATTGTCATTGACAAGCTATCGACATGCCTGAGTGAATTTGTATGATGAACAGGGCCTAAGCCCTGGGCTATGTTAGTCTAGCTAGATCTAGTAAAGAAAAATATACATTAGATGAGAGTATTTAGCAACGTTGGTTCATTGGAAGTATGTGAGAACTTCAACTAATGTGAGGAAATTTTGGCTTTTCAACAGCAAACCTAAAACTAAAGTCTTGAACTTTAAATTAAAGAGCCTTTCTTTTTGTTAAAAATCTCAAAGCCAAAGTCCGGTAAAGATCTAAAGAGGCATTTTTTAGTATAAAATAAGATTGATGTGGAAGACCATGAAGACTGTCCCTTATTCTACAGAATTTAAACCCAACGATTGGCATGAGCTTTATATAACATAGGTGATTGGGTTTATTTCACCATGCTGACGAAGCCGAAAGAAGTTGGTCTTAAGATTGTGTTTTGTTAAACGTGATCTTAGATGTAGAATGAGACCTGGACCCCAAGACAAAGAGTTGCAATTGATCGGAATCAATCTCAAGTTTGTAGTCCCCTATCTCTTACTCTTAAACTAGTTGCAATTGATATCAATCGCACATAAGTTGTGATTAATTGCAACTGTTTTGAGTGTTTAAAAGACGGGCCTTGGTGTCAAATTTAACCGAGTGTTTGGAAAGTCAGTACCGGTATATGAAGTATCAAGTAAGGGTGACTCTTCTGAATCAGAGAATTGATAAAATGGGGATCCAAGTCCGAGACTAGGACTCTAGGAGTGTGCGAGTCAGACTAGAGAATTAGATCTAGACTCTAAGACTAAAAAGGATGCATGGGAGAAAAATGTAAAAGCAAGATAATGATGCACATATTGGGGGTCTTGACATGATTTTATCCCTATTTCCAAATCTTTCTTTGGGGTTCCTCTAATCATGATTTCCTCACAACTTGGCTTACGTACATTTTGCTGCAAATGCTACAGAAATTGCAAGTTACTCTCTTGAGCATTTCATGCAGACCCAATTTTGTTTGATCCTGTGGGAATATAGTTTCTGCCATGGGCAGAACCCAAATACTTGTAATCAGATTTAAGGTGCAGATCAGCTATATAATACAAGCAAAATATGTGAAATGCTACATGTTCATTGAGCATTGTTTGTAAATATGTAGCTTTAGGGCAGACAAAACAAGAAAATGGAACTATGGGATTGGCCATGTGATGTCACACAATGGCTCTATTTCAACTTTAATTGGTGTACTACAGCATAACCGATAATATGCCCAGACTACTATGCCCGGAGAAAAAAGAATTCTTTTCACTCAGGAAGTTCTCTTCTAGAGCCAAGCAAAGAGATGCTGAATGAAGTGTAGACTCAATTTTAGTTCATTCATTCATTCACTTTATTTCACTTCGCAGCATAAAAATAACAGGAAAGTTAGAACTGACACAATGCATCAAATGGAAATAACATCAATATAGGATACAGATAATTATTGTGCTGGAGTAGGCAGCAGCTATGATAAAGAAAAAGGCCCTTTCATGAGGCTGAACTAGAAAAGTTCACAATATTCAATATGACATTTAAATATATTTCAGATCATATTTCACAATACTAGGCCTATACAATTTAGAAATAGCATAGACAAGATCACAAAAGAAAACAAAACCAAAAGAAAAGGAGAAAACAAAAATTGTTTTAAACATTTTAGGGATATCATTTCATTACTTATGCTCCTGATTCAATACTGCCCCAGATCTTTTTAATAAATTAGTGGGTAAATCAGTAGTAAATCAGTAGTCCAACTCTGTCAATCAGTATAATAATGATTAAATAAAAACCAAACAATGAGGACAACATATGGACAGGTTCCCAACTAGTTCCTCAAACAAAGGTTCCTGTGAAAAGTGCCATCGAATACCATGTGGATCCAAATAACCATATACATAGGACATGTGTCGTATAATGAGTGAATGAATTGATTGCTTTGTTTAAACACCCACTTGTGTAATCCATATCAGTGTATCCAATATGGCAATTGAAAACCAAGCGCTGTATTTCCACTGCCAATCAAAAAGTATACAAGTTCAAGGACATACTGTATGTGCCCCCTTTAACCTTCCTTCCAATCTACCCCCCTCCCCCAATTGTTTTATTTGCTCAATACTCTATCCATTTTTCCTTCTTACTCTTTCTTACAGCACATTGTGATATGCGCTATATAAGTACAGTATATTATTATTATTTGTTAAGGATACCCAAGGGGGTAGTTGTCCCAGTAAGTTACTGGTTGGGAGGGAGGGGGGGGGGAGGGGTGGGGGTGTTCTGGGGAAAAGAGTAATTTTTAGGCTAAACTTCACAGAGGATAAATGTTCCATGAGGGAAGTTTGGGGATGATATTTGAGGAAATGGTCATCCAAAACTCTGGATTTGTTTAGAGTAAAATTGGGGTTATCATAGGATTGTCATGGAATTGACAAAAAGGGCAATTTCTGGTTAGGCTGGGACCCAATTAAGTACATGTACTTCTTGCATGTTGAGTTTAGCAGCCAGGTTTTAAGTGTAACTTTTCAGACTTGGTACACCATAGTTATTATGCCTAGCAAATGGTGCAGTTAGGAACACTTAGTATAGATAGGCCCACCTAGGTATAAACCCAAACCTATGTGGGACTATGTAAAAATTTTACTTCTGCATAAGTGTATGAGGACATCAGAGTCAATGTAAGCAGAGATCAATTTACTTACCGGTAAATTTGCTAGATTACCTAATACAGGTGCAGACTCTTCAACTCTACTTTGCGACTTACAAATTTGGGATTTGCAAAGTGATGGTTGCTTTACAAACAAGCATTATGCTTTCTTAGTTGTCAGGTAAAATAACAACCACCACCACCAACCACCATTAATGAAATATTTCTATAATTACCCCCCCCCCCCTCCCTCCCCCCTCATGTGTGATCTGCCATCCAACAGTGGCCTCTAATACATACAACCCAACTGTAGCAATTCTTACAGGTACAGCTGTGCAAGGGTACAAAGCAAATAAATATGATTGAAGAGACCAGAAGAAGGAAATCGAGGATTATAAAGGGGAAATTGAACAGATGGATTAAGAACACAACCAACGGCGATGCAGAATCAATCAAGTAATCTAAGCAAGGATGAATGAACACAATGTACCAGCATTCATTTGATTAATTACAATGCCAGCAAAACCAATCTATAACCCTGCCTGATCTACAGATGTGTCACAGATTGATAGGATATTAGTACACGTGTACATGCATCACAGATATTACATTACACACTTTAACAATGGCCATGGAAATCAGGCCATTTTTTGGTGGTGTAAGAAAATCTTATAAAAAACGAAATCTAATGCGCAGCTTGTCTCCGGTGAATGAATGACACGTCCTATGCAGCCAGGATGGCATTCATGCTGGTACTTCCCTTTTCGTGAAATGAAAGGTAAAATTTAAGATGATGTGGATTCATGATTGACTATGGTACATGTATGTGCTAGGATGGAAGGATACATTTTCGATTGAACACAAATGGCTTGCGACTTGCGAGGTCCTGTCTGTTCTCTGGGATGGGATGTGTTGTGACAGCAGATGATGGTGCAGGCATGAACAAAACGGTGTAATTTTTTATTTTTTTTAACAATAAAACAGTAATGTGAGAGTCGAAATCATGCTTGTAAAATTTACAGCATTCTGGAATCTAGGAGTTTCCAACCCTATGCTGACAGAAAGGTTGGCCCCCTGATAAGCAGAAACTGTCTGGGTAGTAGCTTCAGTGGCTGAAAGCTGATTTCAAATGCGAGTTGTCCAAGAATAGAAGAGAGTTTTTATGAATCATTTTTGCCATAGGAACAGAGATGTGGAATATGTAGTTGCTTCTACCGACTTTGGTTACGAAGTGAAGGAGACAAATATTGACTAGCTGGTGGTATGTTAAATAGAGCATGGCGCGCGGGCTAGGAGATACATGTACATGTATGTGTGCAGTCGATCCCATCCCAATTCAGAGACAAGCCCTTGTAAAGTAAAGCAAATGAAAGGTGAAAAGTGATCTTTATAAATATTGTCTCAGTGTCACATTTTATATTGGTCTAAATGTCATATTTTGACTTTTAATAAAGCTCTTCCTGTACAATATTCTTTGGTATGAGACCAAATCTAACATGTGTGAAGAGAGGGATGTAATATACTCTCAGAATACAGTACAAATAATAAATGTTTTAATTTCGCGTTCACCTTTCCTGCCGTAAAGTAAATACATTGGGTGTATCATTAATCTCAAGCTTTTTCACAGTGACTGATGGCACAGGGACTAAAATACTCCATGTACATGTATATCAGTCCGTGTGCCATCATTCACATTAATGTATGAAATATGTATCTAACTATCTACGATGTATGTCCTATAACCTTGTAAATGAAAATATTACAATGATTGAGGAGTGCTTATCATATTTGAGATCAAAGTACATAGGCCCTACTACCCTTTTTTAGTGATTCAGTACAGTGTCAAGTGCATGGCTTGTCTGTTTTCAAGAGCTTAGTTTGTTTGTTTTTAATATGAAAGAGAAGTATGGTTTGTGGATGTAAGTGAGAGATGGCAGTTTGAAGATAGTCTCTATTAAACATTTCAATGATAACTAGATTGGTAAGGATGATAAGGAAACATGACTCTACTAGAATCTTACCTTGTATACTGTGCTGTAAGTGATGAAGTTGGAAAATTAAATTCATATTTCTCCTTCCTTCTTTTTCTTCTTGCAGATGCTCCATGGTGTGGACATTGCAAGTCTCTAGCTCCTCAGTATTCAATAGCTGCCAAAACTCTCAAAGACAGCGGATCCAGCATAAAACTAGCCAAGGTGGACGCAACGGTCGAGACCCAACTCGCCGGAAAATATGGAGTCAGGGGATATCCCACTCTCAAGTTCTTCAGGTCCGGAAAAGATAGTGAATATGCAGGTAACTTACAAATTCTTTCCTTTTATTTTATTCTTGTGTGAATGATACTACCGTAGCTTAGTGAAATGTAGTGGCATGACAAGATGCATCCGGATCACAAAATAAATGCCATTTAGTGATGTTTGTTAATTAAAAGCTCTTTTTTGACATCCCTTAACGATTGTTGGCTTACATTATGCCTCATTAAGATGATAATTTTATGCATTTACCAACTCCATATCCTAACGATGTGGTCTTACCTTCGTGTGAGAAAATCTTTAATCATTAATTGATGATAGTGATAAAATGCCCTTATGTGACACCTTTTCCGTCCCAAGTAAATCACGGAAGCTCTTTAACCCATTGCCCACAGGAACTGGATGATTCCTCTGTTATAGAAATAGGACGCTTCAGTAGTCAACAGGTTTTAATGATGTTTTACCCTCCCCCCCCCCCCCCCCCCCCCATTTCAAAATTAAAATGTTCATGCTTGCATGTACATGTACACATGCAGACTGTAAACATTTCAATCTGGACCACCTACAGAAAATAGTTTGCATGGCACCCTGCCTTCAATACAATTTTTGTTTTCATGTATCTTAAACCCATAGCAGTTCACAGTATTTTGAAGGTCTAAATAAATCTATTTTTCCTCCTCAAATTTGCAACAATCTTTTTTTCCACTCCTACATGTACATCATTGAGAAAATGAAAAAGTACCGGTATATGAAATGAACCAATGTGAATGAAAATTATTAACTTCCAAAAATTCCTGTCGCCAATTTGTACACAAAAAAACTATAATAAATTCTACACCGTGCTCGCAATTCAGAATGTAATGATACCATCAATGAAAATGTTCTCATTCATGAACGACACAATATATTGCATTAGAAAATAGAAATGTACTAAAAATTCAAAATTTCTATATGACTTTTGCTCTTTCTACTCATGTTCAATGTATAATTCCGAGAATTCTAGATCAAAAGATATTTAAAAAAAAACATTACTAAAACGTGACAGTAAACTCCTATGGGTTAATGCATTACCTTCTGGAACCAGATGGGCCATGTTAAAGCTAATGGGAATGGAAGATTTGTTGTCAATTTTAATGGGATAATTGGTTTTTAAGTCGATCTTACAGGGTAAAATTCCTTCAAAATGTGCTTCAAGGTCTCTCTCTTTCTATATAACCTCTTTTATGATGTGTAGGAGGAAGGACAGGGCCAGAAATTGTTGCTTGGCTGAACAAGAAGACCGGACCACCTGCTGCCACCATTGCATCCGTTGAAGACGCCGAGGCTTTCCTCGCTGACAAGGAAGTTGCCGTCATTGGATTCTTCAAGGATGTCCCCCAGGTGAGAAGCTCTTTAATTAATTTATTAATTTATTTATTTAAAATATCTTTACAGGATGACAATATCAGCCAAAGCTGTTTTTCACATTATACAAAATAACAATGACATAAGATAAGCAGAAGATAAAATATATTACATGTATATTAAATAACATGACATTTTATCAAATAATGTGGGTAAATTTCATTTTTTAATTCTTTTTGCGAGTTATGCATGTTGTGAAGGATCATCTATCTATAAGTATTTGTAACTGTATAATGATCAAACCCCTTTGTTAAATCCTTTGATGTGTTTTCTCATGTTATCTTCTTGCCTATAATCAGGAACAGGAATAGTTTGCATTCAACTGTTGTTGTTTCCTTATATACTGTAGCATTGTCATACTGAGCAGGATGTTTGGATAGCATGTACAAATTGGATATCTTGAGATCAGCCCTAGGCAAAATATTACTTAGCAGAGAATTACAATTTATGAAATTGCAATATATTTGTAGTTGACCCCACATATTAGGGACTTTTTGATTTACATGACAAGAACGTGGACCGCCACGTGTGACGTCCTTTTAAGGTAATGTGACGTCCTTTTAAGGCACTGCCAGGAACACAATGTCACACGCGGCAGTCCACGCTCTCGTGACCAATCCACCAGTCTGAGATTTACATAGATTTTATGATAATGATTAAGTGATTTTTCAGAAATTCTTAATTTCCAATATCCTTCAAACTAATGATTTTGAATTGCACATTTCATTTGGTTACAAAGGTGTGTTCTTGAAATTAACTTCTCATTCCTTCTCATTATTACGTAGCAATCATAATGAATAAAATATCTTTCATGGCCGCAAACTTAACATGCATATGTCCTTTTGGTTTGAAGAGGAAATCAAATTTGTATTCACTCTCAGACCTTATGCATGGTTTTGTAGTGCATTCCCCCCCCCCCCCCCCCCTCGAAAGGCCACCCTCAAAATTTGGAAGGATATGTTGCCTCTAAAGTATTAGGGTTAAAGAGGTTTATTCCTGATGTTATTTGAAGTTTTACGATTGTATCGTTATTACAGACATTCCTGGATGTTGCTGTTAACATTGATGATATTCCATTTGCAATCGTCTCTGATGATGCCGTGATCTCACACTACGAAGCTAAAGATGGCAGCATTATTCTTTTCAAGAAGGTGAGACATCTGGTCGAATCACTCATGTATCCTAAAGATCTGTTCCTCTTGGATACATTTTTTTGAGGTTATCTGTTTTGTTTGTATTCTGTCCTTGATATCATTGGCATTATTCATCTCGGACCCTAACAAACAATATTGTTAACTCTCTAATAATGGATGAATATAGCGATGTGACTTTGTTATATTTATTTCCAAGTTATGGCTAACAAAGGATGTCTTTGTATAATCCTTTGGTCTCTTATTAAGCTCAGTATAATACAAGAACTTCAAAATTCTGTATTTTATTTTTAATGTCTACCAGTACATGTAAATACATCCTTTTTTCATAGTTGATGCCAAACGATGCCAAAGTCTATGAACGTCATTGGAAATTTATTAAACCTGTGATAATGTCAGAAAAAAGGATGTCATAAGTTTTTCTCAAAGTTTATTGAAACTCTTTTATTCTCTCCGACAGTTTGATGAAGGCAAGAATGTGTTTGAAGGTGAGCTGACCTCAGAGGATTTGACCAGCTTTGTGAGGAAGAACAGCCTGTCAGTTGTCACCGAGTTCGGAGAAGAGGTACAAATTTAGCTATGAATTATGGGAAGCAAATGGGAATCTTGTTTAAGTAATGCACAGATTTAGAATGCTCCTAACGTTATGTTCTAGACACCATAGTGCCATTTTCTTTTAAACAAGTAAAATTCAAGTGTCCTTGTATGGGTTAACTAATACAGGGCCTGGGCAACAGCATCTGCAACAAAAAAAAACAACCTTCAGTATATTCATCTTTAGTACATGTCACTGTGTTGCAGCTATTCTTGTCTCAGTCTCTCCCCTGTGCCAGGTCTGTCTCAATCTCATCCCTTTTTCCTTTCCCTCACCATTCCCTGAACCACCCCCCCCCCCCATCTCGCTCTCTTTCCTTCTCATTGCCTTTCACCTTTCTTCTGTTGTTAGGAAATAAATTACATTCGTATGTATTGGTTGCATTTATCTGTTTATCTGTTTAAACTAAAGTGTTAATGCAATTATGAAATAAATGAATAAATTGAATTGTAACAGAATTCAGTAGTTGTTACTTGCAACCCCCAAACATAATTGTTCACATTGATTTCATTCATGACAGACTGCCAGCAAGATCTTCGGAGGAGAGATCAAAATCCACAACCTACTCTTCGTCAAGAAGGACTCCGATGACTTCAAGACCATCTACGATCAGTTCTATGCTGCTGCTACCACCTTCAAAGGAGAGGTCAGTCTTTGAGAACACTATCAACCGATGCTCCGAAAATTGCTCCAACTACAACTGCTCCGGGCTCTATTTCATTAAACAAATATATAGGGTTAGGGTAGGGTTGCAGTTGGGTTTTATGTTAGGCTTGATGCTATGATTAGGGTTGGATGTAGTGCTCGGTCCAGGATTGAAGTTAAGAATTTGGTCAATTTAGGATACTGACCAAGAAGCAGTCGTCGCTGGAACATATGTTTTACAACCTATTATCCTGCTGTGATACGCTTTGTTCTCTGTGACCATGCTAAAAGTACCTTTCAAGATTTTGCAATTGCTTTTGTTATTATTTTGAATTTATTCACTTGCAGGAGTTCGGTTTTTTACACCACACCATAATGAAATTAGCTCTTTGTTTTGCATGTCTTACTGGAATTTAAGAATTCTGACTGTTCATATGTTTTATTTCAAAAATACTGATTCCCTCAAAAGATACCAATACTGATAAATATGGTGAGATGCCTCAATGAAATTTGGCAGCTAAGGTTAGACAGTTGTTACCATTTCTCTTGGAACATCCTCTAACGCAGCCTTCACCATCTCTCTCTCCCTCTCCAGGTTCTTTTTGTTCTTATTGATGCTGCTGCAGAGTCTAACTCCAGGATCCTAGAATACTTTGGTCTTGGTGACGAGGAGGTCCCCACTGTCCGTCTCATCACCCTCGACGGCGACATGAAGAAATACAAACCCACCGTACCTGAACTCACCACAGAATCACTCTCTCAGTTTGTTATTGACTTCAAAGACGGCAAACTCAAGGTAATTCATCTGCCTTTGCTACTCTCTACCCAGATGTAAATGGGTACCTGATTTGCTTGAGCTTTTACCGAAGTAATATTGTCAAGGCCTCATGAGCGTCCCAGCATGACAGATATGAGCATTATATAAGGAACAATTTAATCTTTGTTGTTCTTGGTATTAGCAGCAGGTAGTAGTTTGTTCAACGGGATTGCCTCATTTTCTTGCCTGTTTCTGTTCCATCCCCTTTTTCTTTTCTTTTTAAAGATTCCAGTCCCCCCCCCCCCCCCCCCCCCCACCCCCGATCTCACCTGCAAATTGAGCTTCCATGCTCGGTCACTTTACTAAACATGCTACAAATGTGCAGAATTGTCAGGTCCACTCAGTCATTATTTGACTCAGTTGTTTGTTTCTTCGCCTCATTGGATGTCTCAGAATGTTATCATACCTCTTCTTCTTTGAATTTTTAATTTAGTGTCATTATGTATAGTGAGTATACAAAAGTCATCATTATGACATTGCTTGTTTCTTTCTTCCCAAACAGCCTCATCTGATGTCAGAGTCTGTCCCTGAAGACTGGAACGCCAACCCAGTCACCATTCTTGTAGGAGAAAACTTTGCTGAAGTCGCACTTGATCCTACTAAAGACGTCCTTGTTGAATTTTGTGAGTATCCATCTGGTGACCTTCACTTTGAAAAAACATTTAGTACATAATTTTGCAGTTTGTAGAAGCATAGTTATTTTATCTGAAGAAATTTCTATCATTCTGGAGAAAATATCTGGTAATCGTGAAAGTCTGCAGTAGTCTGGAATTATGTAGAACAGACAGTTGTTGATTCACTGAAATCAGAATTTGAAATACAAAGTTCTTTGATAGTACTTATTCATTTATTGAGAATGTATTCATGTATTTCCTGAAAGGTTTAATATCTCTGGGTTTTCTTTGAGGATGTATCCAAGTACTCACTGATAATTGATTCAGGAATCCATTGATAAGACATTCATGATTTCACTGAATGGTTATCATTGTATTCAGGATTTCAGGTATTCATCGAGGATGCACTCAAGGATTTTCTCAGATACTCATTGAGAATGCATTCAGATATTTAATGAGAATGCATTCATGTATTCACCAATAGGATATATGTTCAAGTATTCAATATGCATTGTGGATTTATTGATTGGGATGTACTCTATGATTTACTCATTGAGATTGCATTCAGTTTGATAAGAATGCATTCATCTATCCACTAATAGGATATGTGTTCAAGTATTCAATATTCATTGTGGATATATTCATTGCTTTCCCAGATGCCCCATGGTGTGGACATTGTAAACAGCTTGCTCCCATTTATGAGGAGCTTGGAGAACATTTCAAGGAAAGAGAGGATGTAGTTATTGCCAAGGTGGATTCAACTAAAAATGAAGTAGAAGATGCTGTCGTTCGCAGCTTCCCCACACTAAAGTTCTGGAAGAAGGGAGAAAATGAGGTGAGTTCTGCTATCTTAAAGCCCAACTGTACTACTTGTAGCTACTTGCTCCCTCTATATAGAAAACTTCCCCAATCAGTGCCTGTTGGTCCCCCATGATCCTCTTTTTCATATGTTAATTGAGAGCTGAGTTGATGAGATAGCCACCTGTCAGTGACCTCGCTGGGTGATCTAGTCCCTTCTGGCTGAACAAGAACAGACAGCTTTTAAAGAGAACGTTGAGTTTTAGAACAGATCACTTGTAATATAATTTCTGAGTTTTTTCTCCCTTAATTTTGGTATGCTAGTTTGGAAGAATATTATATAAAAATGTCCCCAGTAAAGGATGGCCCTTCAAATCATCAACACATGTTTCTAGTGTGTGTGTCTCTCTCTCTCTCGGGTGACATTATGACACATTGGTTCTCACTTCTGGAGCTCATGTAGAATGTAGAAACATTTCTCATTTCTTATTTTGTGTTCTTTTTAACAGATGGTCGATTATAGTGGCGATAGAACATTGGAGGCCATGATCCAGTTTGTCGAGTCAGGCGGAGAAATAATCGTAAGTGTAAAACCACTCTCTCAAAATGTGACATCAACATGCCCGGTAACCTGAGGTCTGGCAATGACGGAAAGAAAGATTCTAAGATTCTTAGATAGGCATTTTATCTATATTGCCTCTCTTCACCCATGTGTGAAATGCATACCGGTGGGATGCTAAAATCAGTATGATGGGTTACGAATGTGCGCTCCTGTAAAGAGCTGGAATTCTCCCCAGAGGAGTGGAGAGTGTGTCCTGTAAAGTGAAAAATCATAATTGACTCCAGCGTCTGGGGTAATAATGATACCGTCAGCACTTTGATCAGCTAACTAGTAAAGCGCTTAATAAGAACCATTCTGATTCATTATTCTTAAAAACAATTGCAAAATAGTATTACGATCACGAAAGTTTCACACATGACCAAAAAAATTGATTATTTACTCTAGCTACTTCTATATTTTCTTGTAGGCCGAGGTCGATGATGAGGACATGGAGGAGGATGAGGAGATTGACGAGGGAGCCGAGGATCAAGCCAAGGATGAACTTTAAAGGAACATAGCTCTAACAATTGATTTCATTTTCATTAGGTTTAATAGGCTTTTAGCACAGGTCTGCGTCCATCCCAAGTCTTAGTACTGATCAAAGCTTTCATAGATTTAGCAATACAAAACAGAAGTAAGGAGGAACACCTTCCACAATGCTAGTTTCATTTCATATGACAACCTTGATTTTGTTGTAAGATTTTGCTTTTGTTTTTATATATATATGTGGAGAAAAAGAAAAAAAAACACCAGGTGAATTATCAAAATGCGATGTCTTCTATTGTAGTGTCTTTATGTGGTTGGGTGATTGTGGTCGTAGAATGATAGGTATTGTTTTTCCCAGACATCATTATATCAATAAACACTTATAATCAAAGCACGATTAGTGTACAAAATTATTTTTATTTGTAGCTTTTAATTTGCCCTGAAAAGTGGTCATTATGATATTAAAATGTGTGCTTCCATCAGAAAACTATTGATGTGGACTTCATCATAAGCATGCAAATCATGTCTTGATTGTATTGTTGTAATTTGATTTTTGTTGTTGATGGTTTTCAGAGTGAGCACATCTTACAATTAAGTGACAACACATGCTTTGATATGTAGGTAGAGACTTGGGTTGGACCATTCTTTCTTTTCCCATTAATTCCCTGGTAACTTTCTGCTTTTTCAATCTTTTTCCCCCCAAGTCATTCCATATCTTTAAAATCTTTTGTCTTGGAAAAAGAAAATGCAAAGAATGGTCCGTCGTAACTTATATCAATCGCAATTACAGGGTACTCTCGGTATAACGAGCATGGGTATTTTGTTTAACGAGGGAATTCCCATGGTCTGCAATATATATATGGGCTTTTCAGTACAACCTTTATCATTACATTTAGGCATAAAGAAAAAAACCTGTCAAGCTAAATGATGTACAAGACTCCATATCACGAGAGTGCCCTGTAATATTACATGTTTTGATGTTCATTGAGGGTTTGTTTTTTTTCCTTCTGTTTTTTGTTCTTCAATGTTTGGAATTTTAAAGATATATCGGTGAGCAGTATTTTTAAAGTTGTGATGGTTTCTTATACCATAAATTTGATTTCATGTGTATTACAACATTCAAGTGTGAGTCGAGTATAACTATGACAAGGCGAGATAAATCTCTCAAAATAATCAGTGCCTATTGGTGTTAAGAGCTTGGTTTACACGTGACGCATTAAACTGCCTCCAAAATTTGCCAAGGCAAAATAAAAATACATTTTGACCTGCAAGTGAATTACAAGGGGTGTGAAGGAGAAGTAGCCGATTAATACAACAGATCCTCTGCATTCTCTCCTATCCCTGCATTGTCAGATACAGAAATGTCAACTGCACTGTTCACATGGTTATTTTGTTGCATCACGTTCATTGCGTCGTGTGTGAACAAGGCCAAATACCTCTCTGAATTCCTGTTAGAAGGTACCATAACTCTTGTCATACATGTAGATAAGTATTCACAAACTTATGTCCAGACCTTATTTTTTGGTTCTAGCATCACTGTCACGCTGCCATTACTTGCGAAAAATATTACATTTTATGCATTCTTAAGGTACACATATATTAATTTTAATAAGTTATGTTGGTCATCTTCAGAGATATATAAAGTAAACTTCAGAATATATTTTGACAAGTCAAACTGTTTATCTTCATATGGTGAAAGTGGTATGAATTTAAACTAATCTGTATTTAAAACAGAGATATATATATTTAATTTTGTGGAGTTGAATCACGACTACTGTTATAAACAGCTGTGTTTTTATGCAGTTGCCTAAGGTGCAGAACACTGCCCCGTGTATCATGCAAGGTTACATACTAAGTATGTATGCAAAACTTCATTTTATATTCATAACTTTCTTAATAATGTATCATTATTTCTTTTGAAAGGAAGATTCCCCCATCGGTTCCATTTTTATGAAACCTTTTTATCTCAAGTTTTTTGTTCGTAAGGTTCATTCTTGGTTTGATTACCTCCCCAATAAAATAAAAAAAATAATGAATTTTCTGAAGTGTGTCATTTTAACTTCCAACTGCAATTTCTTTTTCACAATACTTTCTCTTCCACTATATCTCGCAATCAATGATCAATATCCCTAAACTTTCTTTCACTTTTTATCTATTCCTCTCTCTATCCAGAGGGATATCATATCTCTATCATTTTCCTCTCCTTACAATCGACAGTTTTACACAATTTTCATTAATAACATATGCAAGTATTGTTTAAATACAACACAAAACACAAATCACTCTTGTTATACAACTTTATATAAATTATTTAATGTACATCATTATTTGCAGAAAAAAATACAATGTCAGAGAAAAAAAATAGAAAGTGGGCATATAATATGAGCTAAAATTCACAAAGGAGGTTTAAACCCTAATTTACATAATTCATGGTTTAACAATTAGTGCAAATAAGCGTACTTTGCCATGCGCGCGTCTAATTTTAGATATGGGTTATGTAAATGAAGATTAAAACCTCATTTGTGAATTTGGGCCAAATTGTTGGAATCCAAAATATACATTATTTCTTGGATGCCTACTATAGAGAAGAACAAATATCACAATACTCCTGAACTGACTGTTATTTCTCTTGATATGCCCTCGCATTCAAAGCATGACCATACGTTTTAATTAAATTGAAACCAAATACGAATCCACATATCCATATATGTGTGCAGTGTGCTCCAAAATAATTAATGATGGAGCTGTGGTTGCAATCTAGATGTCTGAAAATAAATTGAGGCTTCACATTAATGGGATACTAGAGAAGTTTTGACCAACCCATTTTATTATTGGCAAGTCTAAAATTTACGTCTTGGGTAGCTGAGCAAAAGACGTGCCCAGAACACAAAGTTTGTAATGATAAAGTGCATAATAGGGACAAAAAAATTGATCGTAATAGCTAACAAAAACAAAAAAAATCTGAGGGCCCCAATTTACTAAATTGCCTCTACCTCTATTTGAAGTGGGTAATTAAACTCTTAAAAAATATAACATAATTTAATATTCTCAAAGGAAACAAAGTTTTTAAAGCTTTCATTCAGGAGGGACCTTCTTCGATATGAAGTTTGATAAAAAATGATAATCTGCAATCGACTCTTGAGAGCATTTTTAAAGATACAAAGCTTGATATATAACTACTGTACAGTTTACCCCAGCACAGATGCTATAAATGTGTTCAACATAATTTTAGCCGACTTGCATTGGCATTTGAGTCGGTTAAAAATAAAGACTCAAGGCTTTAATCTATTTAACAATTTAGGTTTCATTTAATTACGCTAAGAAATTGGATGAAAATTGATAACTAAACAAAACCAAAATGGGCATTTCTAGTGCTAACTCCAAGGCCCCGTATCACAGAAGATGCAGTCAATCGTTGTATGCACATATCTTTCAAAAGGCCAACCATTTACTAATCAAAACCTTTGCACTAAGGTTTCAAAGCCTTAATCTTCATTGTTTTCAAAGGAGAAAAACGGTCATACAGTCATGCTGGTGTTCGTAATACAGAAACTGATGAAACATGAAGATCTGTGTTGAGTTTATAACACTTGGTATAACATGATGGACATCCGTTGCACTTAAACATGTTACTACAGTGGAACATAAACAATCGCATCGGGGAAGCTCTTTTCTTGGTCGCATCACTTTTTGACGACTTGTATAACATCTTCATGATGAACGAGGTGAGTTAGCCCCACTCTCTGTGGACTGTACTTTGTGCTTGTTCCCTGAAACAACAAAAAAGAAGAAGATAGAGAAGTAACTATATTGGTATCAGTGTTGGTTGCAGATCATCACAAATCTTGAAGCCTATCTGCACTAGTTTGGCCAGGAGGAATTAGACCTCCCTGCGTGGTCACTGACGGGTGGTTATCTCATCAAATCAGCTCTCAATTAACATAAGAAAAAGGGGATCATGGGGGACCAACAGGTACCGCTTGGACATAGTTTGCTATATTAGAGGGCGCAAGTAGCTACAAGTAGTGCAGTCCCGCTTTAAAGGAATTGCCATATCATACATGGCAGTAGAGTTGATTTAACCAGGTAACTACTCAATTCTTATTTTCCCATACATTTAATACTGGAGCTACCCAGTTGCAGTAGGCAATGGGTTAAAATATCATGTCATATCTATTTCAATTAAGGATGTTACCAGATGAATACTAAGCCCAACATAACTTGAGTTGTAGTTTACTAAAAAACAGATGTAACAATCTACATCTACATCTCTACATACAATTTTGATGAACTTTAATGTACATCATTTATATAAGAAGTGTGAAACCTTTGTGATCAAGAGCCAGTTCGTTTCAAAAAATTAAAATCAAACAGTTGTATTTACCATTAAAATGCAATGTCAAATACAGAGAGCTTTGCATTTCCACGCACGTTTTGCTCAGCATATATACACTGGCAGAGGCAATGATAGTACTTTTCAGGAAAGATTTAATTTGAATGAATAGTGAAGATATATTCACATGTCGTAAAAAAAAAGCTTTACAGAAAAAAAAGAGATTTAATTCTCTCCAAATCTCAAATTTCTGTCTCTCTGTATCTTGTTAGGGGGGGGGGGGGGGGGGGGGGGGGGGGGGTTCCACTGCAAATTTGCTTTCATTATGTTTTAGTCTTGCTGTTCATACAATGTTAGAAGAAGTTAGGTTCCTTGCCCCTTGCATAGATTCTAAATGTCTGGTATACTAGTGTGTGATATGCCATTTACTTACCCACACCAAGGCATACTTGACGTTCTCAGCTAATGTTCTATGGATTGCGTGACACTGTTAAAAATAGAAAACAAATGTAACATTAGAGAATATATGATTGGCTAATTATCTTTGATATTCATTTAAGTGCTACACATACAAAGAAAGTCTTGGACTATAATATAAATACACACGTTTCTTAATAAATGTCCATCCAAAACAACCGATTTATCTTTAAAAGTGCACAAGCCTATATAGCATGGTAAATCTATTGATAAACTGCATACCAGTACACATACCATACAGCACGAGTGATATGCCTTATATCTGTTGCACAATAACTTTACAAATACTCTTATGCATATCTCTGCATAGCATATTAGAAAAACAAAATGATCTCATGATTTTAGGGGTTGAAAGCACGATTTCGTCCCCCTTCTCTCTCTCTCTCTCTCCTTCTCTCTCTTTCTTTCTCTCTTTCTTTCTCTCTTTGTCATCACTCCAACTCACCCTCTCCTACACCTCTCCCTTTCTCTTTCTTTTTTAACAAAAATTTGTATTTGATCAATGAATTTTTATGAAAGGCCTACATGTTTGATTTTTTATTTATGTCATATTTTGTGTTATTTCGATTTGAATTGCAATTGTATCTTTATGAAATGGATCGCAATTCAGCCATTGGCTGCGATGATCTATTTAATAAAAAAACATTTCTAAAATGATTTGTTCAATGACATGGATTGTTTACATACCACATGTTCTACTGAGCAGCCTTTCCTCATTATAATGCCTTCGCCAAAGTCAGGCCGATCTATCAAGGAAAAAAAGAAGAAAGACATAAACTTTACATTCAACGATTAACTGTGTGCAATTGACTTGGTCTAAATCAAGAACCACCTCTCCCAGCCCCCCCCCCCCCTCCCCCATCATGTCTATTTTCCTGAAATGAAATCTGGATGCTTCATTCATTTCTAAGTTGGGGAGTCCTTTCGCTATCTTAGAGACAATGTGAGTTTCCTGTTTATTGGGAATACTTCTGGATAATTAGGATAGGCACATCTGTTTTCTGTAATATGACCACATTTTGACCCAATTTTGACCAATCATGGTACAAGATTTTGTACATGGCACTAAAACCCCCCCCCCCCCAAACCACTCCCCCTTGAGTAAAAAAAAAGAAAGAGAATTCGGGGGAAAAAATGGCATCTAACAACATTCCCCCCTTTTGAGTAAGAAAAATTGGGAAATAATAGGGACAAATAGGGAAGAATAGAGAAAATAAGTGGAAAATTGGGATAAAATCTGAGGGGGGGGGGGGGGGGGGGGGGGGGGGGGGGGGGGAGGGGGGGGGGGGGGGAGGGGGGGGGGGGAAGAAAAAATATAAAAAATATAGGGAAAAAAAAGAAGAAAAAAAAAAACAGGGAAAAAAAAATCAAATCGGAAAACCCATTTAAATCAGGTTTTTATCACGCCTGAATGTGCTATATACATTTATCTTTATTAGTTTTATGTACAATGGACAGACATGATTATGGCGATACTCACTGCTGCGTTTCTTTGTATAAAGGCAGATAAGATTGAGGTATTCCCACATCTTCTCCAGGAGGTAGTCGAGATTGAGCTTCATTTCACAGCTGATGACGAGACAATGAGGCATGTGAGCTATCCTATCTACCTCCTCAATCGATGTCTGATCTATCTTGTTGTACACCTAGAGAAAGGAATCCAGTCTTGTCATTAAAATTCCAAACCTACTAGTAGTTGGGACTTATCATCAACACATGAGGAGTTTGATTCCAAAAGGAGCTAAATCCATTTTTTTTGTAACTTCAGAGAAAAAACAATTGTTTACCACATTTTGTACAGATGTCTATGGAAAAGTGATATTAGAAATTGCATTTTTTCATAATTGCTCAAATAAATTTACGTAAATAATTTTGTTGAAAGACGGGTACTTAAGTGAACAATGTTCTGATATCAATAACTCAATTTCATCAAAAGTGGATTTAGCTTCTTTGGGAATAAAGCTCTTCACATATTCAATTCACTTTGTAGTGAGATAAAGGATGAGATGACAAGGAAATGGAGTCTGAAGAGGTGTGGAGAAAAAAAATCACCCTGCTCATTGATCTTGCTGAAGAATATGCAAACACATTTAGTATTGTTTTAAAATGAGATTTTTAAGAGAGGAGATTAATAAAATATGTACATTATTTTAGACAGATATTCATCTTAGGAAACATAAAATAGGTGCATCTAGAAAACATGCATTGAGGACTAGCAGAATAATAATACATTTATAAAGCTGCTTCTATTAAAACCAATTTAACGTTAGGGTGGACTTCCTCTTTAAAGAGAGAAGATAGGATGCTGACTTACATATAGACAGGGAAGGTAGATTCTGTTATCATTGATGACATCTATAAACTCATCCGGAGTACAGTCTTCTCGAAACAATACCTCTGCATTGAAGATTTCTGAAAATCAATTAAGATTAAGGAAGACGAATCTTACATTTAAAGGATGAGTCCATAGGATTGATGAAAAAGCATAGATTCCAAGTTTTGAAAATGGCTGTTGTTTTGACTATCCATATGTGGATCCACAAACCCACCTTGGGCAAGTAAATGTTTCTTAGTTTCTTAAAGGTATAGTATAGACCAGTTCTGGTCATGCGATTGCATTGTGAAAGAAACATTGTGGAACGATCAGAAAAGGTTGATTATCTAGCATATAAGTTTTGATGTGTGCTGCAAGGTTCTGAAATCATCAAAATGATAAGAAATTTGGCCCAGTCTTGGTAAAGTTACAAGCACTGTACACAGAAAGATGTATATGGGACTACGCGTTATCTATCCAGGCCGGATCATTATGATAATATACCAAATACATCAATTAGTGTGTGGTTTCCCGGCAAAATTTGTATCATCAAGTATAAGCAACACATATTCTTTCACATGATTGGTGATAAGAGCTTTCATTTCATTTTTTGAGAGGGGGCGTTTCCCCCCCCCCCCCCCCTCCCCCGTCCCTCTTCTCTATCTCTGTTACTTCTTATGATGCGATTCATGCAGGGGCCCTCCCAATACATAGAGGCAATTTTGTTATCCCTGCAATTTAATACATGATGCAGTACGCCACAACACAATATAATTAACAAATCACATATAATAAATGGCATAAAAAAAGTAAATTGAAAAGGGGTAAAAAAGAGACAGAATACACAGCACATTGAGGACACAAAATGTGAAACATGCAGATTTAAAATCAAATCAAGTGAAGACAAAACTTGATAAGGATACTATATTCATGTAGAATCAGCTGGACCAGCTTCTCATTGCATTTAGTGAGGGGAATGGTTGAGTTGAAGGATACCCCACCTCCTTTCTTAGGCTGCACAAGAGAAATTTGTAAGAAAAAAGAACACTCAGCTTTCACTTCCTTTCAGTCAATTCACAATACAAATTTCTACAAAAATAAATACACATGCACAGTGAACATTATTGAATATGATTGAATATTAAATATGAAATACAAATAAAAAACATTTTTCTCATCTTTATCTCAGAGGTACTTGCTGGGTGCCTTAAAACTCTCATATATGTTGACATTTAATCATATAATAGTTTAAAGTAATCAATAATTGTTGGGAGGATTGGGGACAACTTTGAGTATTGTAATCATTTCTATCAGCATTTTCAACTGGAAATGGCAATATATAAAGCTATAATTGTTGTTATTACTTCGTCACAATGATGTGATTTAGGAACAGAATCGGATTTATTGTTAGTTCTATAATTATCTGAAAGGGTTTGATTATGACGTCCTACAAACATAGCAAAATATTTTGTTATCCCTTCTGAATCCTTTTTCACAGAAGCTTTTGCTGGCAGTATCCTTTTGTCAGATATGTTACACTTTTAACTCATTGAACACAACACCATTAATCGTGGAGCACCAGGAGTGTCAAGTCTGACAGATATGAGTGCTATACAAGAAGAAGAATCCACTATCATTATTATTATTATTACGATTACTTCATAATAAGAATGTTCAATTCTGAGTTCTTACCTTGTAATAGATGTTAGGTCTCGGTTTATTGAGTCTCAGACCGACACTCTCTAACTCCTTCTCCAAGAGATTCCTTTTTAGGAGAGAAGTGGATCAAGAATATTAAAACGATCCATGACACATACATGTAGGATTATTCAATGTTGACTATTCTTCTCAGGATATCATAATTTAAAGCTTATCTGTACTAGTTTGTAGGAGGGATTAGACCACCCTGCAAGGTCACTGGACAGGTGGTTATCTCATCAACTCAGCTCTCAATTAACATAAGAAAAAGGGGATCATGGGGGACCAACGGGTACCGCTTGGACATTGTTTGCTATATTAGAGGGCGCAAGTAGCTACAAGTAGAACAGTGTGGCTTTAAGGCAATCCAACCTCAACAGCAAGTTGCCATGAATGAAAGAAAACGGATTTCGAGAAATTGACATATAAAATATAACATTACTTTTGTTGCACTCACACAAATCAAACATGTGAATTAATGGGCAAATGAATGTATGAATGAATGAATCTATCCGTCAATCAATCAAGCAATCAATCAAAATGATCAAGTGGAAACTTACTTTTGAACATCACCTTTGTTAGCGTCTAACATCATGACAACCAGGTCAGCTGTCCTCGCTACGGCGATGACCTGACGACCTCTACCCTTGCCTGTCAAGACAGAAAATAATGAACAGAGAGTGTGAGACCTTAAAATGAAAATTTGTTATGTAATGCCTACTAAAGACAAAAGAATACTTCCATCTTGCTAATCAAGGGTATTGATATTCAAGTTCAAGTTAACATTCCTTCCAATCATTTAGAAAGTAAATTTACAAACTTCATACTCATAGAACAGATCATGAATAACAAGACAGGACAAGAAATAGTTGCTAGACATAGATGACACTTCCTGATAAATGGGTATGAAAGCCTATATCACAAGACATTGACTGGATTAGCAAATTATTCAATCATCTAAACCTTCTGGTCCACATTCTAATGAAATGTAAGCCTGACACTACAAAAGTTCAATCAGAGATTTTACACAGAAAAGGTAGAGTCTTGTAGGGGCCTATCGCTGAAAGGGGCCTATCGCTGAAAGCGACCTACAAATTTTCCACTGCGTTATTGAATACCGCAGCATATATTACCTTGTGAAGCGCCCTCTATGATTCCGGGTAAATCAAGAAGCTGGATGTTGGCACCATTATACTGGAGAAGAAAAAAAGAAGAAGATAATTATGACATATGATGGTTACTTTTTGGACTCTGCAAAGGAATGGGGTTGAACAAGAGTCAGTGGGACTACTCCAAGGCAGCAAATACAAAATTCAATTGCACACCATCTGTATAAGCCATGCCAAAATAAAAAGGAGATAAAACCTCGTACTATTCTTTAAAATGAGCATAATTTGAAATAATTTTCTAGGATCTTATCTAAAAAATATCCAAGGTGTATGAAAGATTCGAAAGGATGACAATCCTAGTAGATTAAACTCACTCACCTCAATAACTCCTGGTATACATGTGAGTGTGGTGAAGGCATAGGCAGCAGATTCACTGTGTGTCTTGGTCATGGTGTTTAGAAGAGTGGACTGAGAATGCAAGAGAAATAAAAACAATTGTGCAATTTGATGAATTATGAGACACAAACAAACAATTTAGAATCCAGTACTTCTTCCATCTGTTATGCCCAAGATGACTGAAATTGGGATTGTATGCATAGATAGAAAAGTGGAATACTTTTCTGCCGTTATTTGTTATCCTTGTGAGCCCCTTTCATGGAGAATCTGAAACTGTGCATGAATTGACATATGTGGGACTATATACAAAAACATGTATAAAATCTTTGTTTTAGCACACATTGAAAGTGTAGTTTGGATGGAAATGCACCAAGTCAATGAATTTCATTATAAACTGTATTTTTACAAAATAATGCTATAGTACGTGCCCTATATGCTGGGTTTCATGTTGTCCTTTATTTTATTCATACTCCTCAACTGTTTACCTACAGAATGCTAGGTAAAGATTCTTGAGGTCGATACATTCTACATTCACATTTAATTTTTTTCAAGTGATTGGTACGCTGTAACCTACTCACCTTACCAACAGATGGGAATCCAATGAGAGCTACTCTGGCATCTCCTGATTTCATAACATCGAAACCCTCTCCCTATAAACATTAAGAAAAGCAGGCAAAATTTCAAAATCAACTACAATCACATCCATCAGCTGGTAGCTCAAATTCAGTTTGATTTTGAGGTAGAAGAGCAGTGAAGGCACTGAATTAAGTACATAATGTTTTTTTTACTGATTTATATCTCCAGATTTGTCTGTCTTGCCTTGCTTTATTATCCTTGCCACAACTCAACATTACATTTGATTTCAAATAAAATGAACAACAAAGAATTTGCAAACACGATTTCAGTTCGGCCTGAAAAAATTATGAGAAGAAATAAAAGATAAAAGGGTATTTAATCATTGACCATAAATACAATTAATGGCAGACCTGACAACAAAATGCACATTGATTTTAAAGAAAATAATGGGGAAAAAGTGATTTAAGTTAATCTATGTCATAAATTCTGTCTCAAATCATGATCTGGTTGAAACATTGCTTTGAAAATTATTGAAGAAAAAGAAATTACCAATTCTGATCAGTTGTTCAGTCAAGATATGGATGTTTAGAACAAGACCAGACAAAAAGATATTTTGTTACATTCAACTTGCATAACCTGGTCTCACTAAATCAATAAAAACATACAACACTTAAAAAAAGAAAATTCTAGAGTAAAGGTCCATTAAGACACAAGGTGTCAAATCGCTTGTGGAAACAAGAAACATATGTGATGTGCTTCATATTTCCATATCTTACATTACAACCGATAGATAATTGAGTACACATAGGAGTCATTGTTGTACACAGCTAAACATATTTAACACCAAAAATATTGCCTCTTGCACTCCAATTTTGCGATAATGTTTTCCCATATCTAAATGGGCTTTAACATTGCTTGTTTGACAAACCTTGGCTCCACTCTTCCCCGTTGGCTCCAAGAGTTGAGTTCTGTACTTGGCAAGCTTGGCTTTCAACAGACCCAGATGGTACTCAGTCGCTAGCAAGGGAAAAAATGGACAGGAAAAGAAAATAGAAAATAAATTATATTTAAATATACTCAGAGTGGTCAAGTCCTGCTGCAAAATTATTGATTTATAATAATATGAACACCATTTTGAGCAGTTTAGACCGATTTACTAACATATTCAAATTTATGGAATTTCTTATTATCAATGAGTGAACTACATCACTTGGAATCCAGTCTGCATACATTACTTGTTGCTATGTCTGGCAAGCTTCGGGCAAGCTTGATTAAAAAGGTTATGCAACTATGCATACAAATGAATTTGAATATGTTAGTAAACTGGTCTATTCACAAAAATTTCTTGCAGCGAAAAAAAAGTGGTCCTTCATACATTTTGTAATCTGTTTAACTTCCATGTTGCTCAAGTTTCTAGCCTCATAGGAAATATCATTTGAAACTTTCAAGTTTGATTCATATACATGTAGCTAGACAAATATCAAAGGGGAAGACTGATTAGATCGAGTTTTCACTGTTGGGTTCTAGTGAGATGAGTAGGGTCTAGATACTCTAGACTCTAAACTAGTTCTCTAGATTCTAGACTATAACTGAGATATCTTATTACACAATCCCTTTTCTGAAATAGATCTACTCCTTCATCAACATTTCAATATGAAAAAAGCAAAAAGCAAAAAGCAAAAAGCAAAAAGCAAAAAGCAAAAAGCAAAAAGCAAAAAGTACAAAACAAGTAGAAAAGATGCTTGAAAGTTCAAAGGTAGACCTATGTCATGAAAATGCCAATTTGCAATTGATTAATTACAATAATCCACAAATATGTAACGTAGTCCAGTAATCTGTCTCTACTCTCTAACCTTTACAAATTCAAAAATTCATAATTTAGAGAGAATTACTCAATGATCATGTATGATGGGGGACCATATTAACCACAAAACTATGCAAATCTTTGTTTTTAAAAGCTAAAAATAAAAAAAGTCCTCTAATTCAGTGTTTTAGGATATTCTCTTTCTGATGTTATTATCTTGGTTTTGCATAATTATTAGGCTTATTAGCTTATTAGTCTGTAGTTCAAGTTGACTTGTGTCTTGTGGAAAAAAACAAAACAAACAATGTCAGTAATGCACAGTTGGAACTGTTGAAGTCATTTCCAATGCTCGTGTAAAATTTGTTTGCAAAATTAAACAGTACACAACATAAAAGCTATGCACATGTAATAAGCGAATGAATTGCAGCTAATGTGAATTTCACATCAATTAGTCTAGATAGACCTAGTAGGCTAGTATAATCTATAATATGAGACGAGAAATGTATGAATTTTTTGATAAATTTTTGGTTAACCTAAAGATATATTCTCATTGCTCAATAGAGCTTGGCACTTTGCATGCTAGAAATCTTTTAGTAGATCTAGGCATTACTGGAACGTGATCTAAAAAAGACGAGACTAGACACTACTAGTCTCAAGTGTATGTCGCAATGATGGACAAGGTATGACCTGGGTAGTCATTTGTTTACGGTAAGCCTCCCGATTTTGTCGCAAAGTCATTTATTTTAAGTAAACTTAGCTTCGCCAAAGTTTGCACTTGTAATTTTTGTATGAAATCTCAGTCTATTTGATAAATTATCGCATCAGATTCTGTTAAGCTGTTTGCATGCGTATCATGCATATGACTAGAGTCTAGCGCATGACGTATAGGTTCCTATTGAGCCAATCAAATGCAGCGGTAGGATGGCAAGGTTACGTTGAAAAAAGACGTATCCCGGTCTCGCCAACTTCATTCAACTCTCTTTGCGTAATTAATGACGAAGAACTCTACGACCACCATGGTGGTTCCCTAAATTATATCACGATAGGCCTAGATCTATACTAATACTAGACTCTAGATCTAGATCTACATGCCAAACTTTCACTGATTTGTTTCGGCTCATTTTTTTTATTTTCATCTATGAAACCAAGTCTATACATAATATCGAGATGGAGGATTTTCCCTTGTTAAAGCGCGCCTTGACCGGAAATAACACGCAAATACTGGTCCCTTTTCACATGTTTCACGTCCGACCCCATTCATTGTGATTGTCACAAAGTTCTCTTCCAAAGTTAATCTAGAATCTATTCACCGCTCACACGAGTATAGGTACCTTTATTTTTCTGCGTCCTCGCAATCTCTGCCTCTATTTGTGATATCTTCTCTAGAATACCCATTTTCTTCTCTTTTTGTAACTCTTGCAGGAAAGAATGAAATCCGGAGTCTGTTTTCAGCTGACTAGCGGGTAACTAGCAGCAGATTGTATAGATCATTATATTGTTTATAACGCAGAGGGCTCACTAGCAGTATCTCGATACACGTGTGCTGTGTGTGCGTTTGCTGCAACGCATTGCCAAACACCACTGAAATATATCAACCTAGAGGGTATGGAATCAGAAAGAGGTCAGGGACTTATTCAATAAACTTTTTCTTAGATTTGGGGTAAGAAAAAAGTCTTAGAAGTTTATTGAATACGGGCCCTGGATTTCCCTTTCGAGAGCGGAAGGTTGAGAAAGATAGAGTGAGAGAGAAAGAAAGAAAGAGAGAGAGAGAGAGAGAGAGAGACAGCTAGAGACAGAGTATCAGCCAGACATGCAAGCAATGAGGCACGGAATGAAAAGGAAAAAGAGTGATGAGTGAAAAAAACTTGTTCCATAACTCGCTAAGCATTTAGCTAACACTGTTAAAAACAACTCTGCTCGAGTTATCATGATGTACGCCTAAGTAGATAGGCCCTAGCATGAAATGAATATCTTACTTTTCTGAACCACGCAGTGCCGTTTTTATATTTCGACAGGACGTTTATTCTTGTGGGCCTATAAGGGCGTAGACTGAGTGCAGGCCGAATAAATGTATGTTTCTGCAGATGTGCCCCCTATAGTCTCTCTCTCCCCCTCTCTCACTCTCTCTCTCTCTCTCCCGCTCTGACTCGCATTACATTACCTACTTTTGCATGGGCCTATTTCAATTAATCTTATCACTGGTGTAATATGGCCCTTAGGGAGAACAGTATTAATTATGATGAGGCTTACCTGGGTAAAGAAGATTATTGTTATTATTAAATTCAATTCATATTATCTCACATGTTTACATACTATTTCCCCGAAACTTTTGCTTTTTTCGTATGATGCATTTGGACTGAAAAGGCAGGCATATTGAATGACATGATGTTTGATGAAGAAAAACATTGCTGTCCGCTGGCCTTCGTGCGTGTATACTTCGTATTATATGTTCACTTTGTATTGATCAATTACACAAATTACATTAAAATGTATACTTTCAGTGAAATAAGCAGCAGTTGAGCAGCAGTCTATATTTGAGAGATAGCAGGAATAAAAGAAAAAAAAAGGGGGGGGGGGCATGGGCGTCAATCCAAATCAGACCGGGAGGGGGACACAAGTTAAAAACAGGGCGGCGCCAGGTTGTTTTGTAAGGGGGCGAATGGGCGCGCCACGCAGGGGGGGGGGGGGGGGGAGGGGGTGTCTGAGGGGATGTGCCCCCTCAGAAGTTGAAGATTTTTTTTAAAATTGATGGATAGATGGCTTGATTTGGGCCATACTTTTTGCCAAATTAAAAAGAAAACAGTCTTAAGTTCAACTAACAGGAACAAGAACGCAAGGGGGTGGGGGGGGGGATAGATAGATGAATTTGTCGTTTCCATTATCAGCCATTAAGTTTGGAAGATACCAGGGATTAATTTGATTTTTTTCAATTGGTCAAAGGATTTTCATCGTAAACCAATGTTTGAACTTCCGGTAATGTGAATGTAATATTAATGACACTTCTAGTTCTATTAATAAAATCTGATCGCCTGATTTGGTTTGATTTTCTCAACACAGAGAGAAAGAGAGGAAGAAAGAAAAAAAAAGAAGAAGATTTTAACCCCGAATCATGGGGGGGGGGGGGACATTTTGCCACCTGAAAATTCGTGGGGGGACGTGTCCCCGTGTCCCCCCGTCCCCCCCCCCCCCCAGGATTGACGCCCATGGGGGGGGGGGGGGATACGCACCAGCTGGGTATTGGATCCAATACTTTCTAATTACGAGACGATCGCTTATCTGCAAGACTGCTCTGCTTGGCTGAAGATCTCTAATTATTTTCTTTATATTAATACTTTTTGTTGTGGTTGATGGGGTCGGAAAGATGTATATTGAGTAACACATATAATTATATAGGTGATTTGGCCTTTTTTTGCGTAATGTAGAGAGTCACTTGTGCAAGGTCAGATCAAATTTCACTCTTTTTGATGGGGGGGGGGGGGGGGGGTCGGTTTGGGTCACCTCTTTAAAAAAGAAGATTTTCTTGGCAATTTAATGGCAAGACCAATGTGACCGACTTATATTATATAGTTTGCTTCTACTTGGTAACACTTTCTGATGTCTATGACCTTACAAAAAGAAATGCTAATTTATACCGATTTTACGCTTTCAGAAATAAATGATGATAACTAATTATTGTATAGCACTTTCAATATCCCTGCTGGCAAAGAGTAAGCTAGGGTTGTATATTATTATTTGAAGACATTCAAAATAATACTGGGAAATGGAAATGAAAATAAAACGACTTTTCAAAGCAATGGGATATATGAATAAGTTTAAATATTTAGGATTTAGGCGCAAACACAATCGGGGCAAGGTAAATTGTGTTTGATTTATGGGGTGTATTGGACCCGTTTTCGCTTTTTCTGCGTTTATCTTTCTCTCTCTGTCTCTCTCTCCCTCTGTCTCTCTCTCCCTCTCTCCCTCTCCTCCTCCTCCCTATCTCCGCTCTACATAATATATCTGCATGCATGTATTCCGCTCATATTCATCCGTCTTTCTGTCCCTCTGCTCCTCTACGGTCCCCCGTCTCTCGCTTTCTTGCTCCTCTGCATGCCCCCCCCCCCCCCCCGGGTCATCTGCCCTCCCGTCGTCTCTCTAATCTGCCTCCCGTTAGTTTCTGGCTTTGTGCCACTCCGATTCCCTATTCTCATTTTCTCTCTCTCTCTCTCTTCCTCCATTATGCACGTTTTTCACTTTCTTATGACATATATATCCATGTACACCTAAAGTGCCTCTTTTACCTTGACAAGTGCCCCTATTTATTTGTTAAAGTGCCCCTTCCCCTTTTCACCTCTGATAAGTGCCCCATTCGGGTACGAGAAGTGCCCCTTTTCACTTTTGATAAGTGCCCCCTTCATTTCCGATAATTGCTCCTATTCAAATCCGAGAGATACTCGATCGCTTTACTATGAAAAGTGCCCCTTTCCCACCTGATAATTGCCCTTTGTATCTGATTAGTGTCATAGCTGCCCCTTTTATTTAGTCACGTGCCCCTTTTAATTTCTGATAAATGCTCCTTTCCTTCTTTTATTAAGTGTCCCTTTCCATTCTCATAATTACCCCTTTTCATCTCTGATAAGTGATAAGTGCCCCGTTTATTTTATCATGTGCCACTTTTTTTTTTTTATAAGAGCCACTTCCCCCCTTTTTTGTTGGTGCCCCCCTCCCCCAACTTTGGAAGTCGCTCCGCCGCCTCTGCCATAGATTTTAAAAATTCCACGACCACAAACTTATCACTAATATTATAAATTTTAGTTTGTTAGGCCAACACACCAAGTGGTATTTTGGTATTCTTGGGTGCAGTCCAACATAAAGAAGAACTTATAGAAAGCACTTCAAAAACTCTACAATATATAGGAGCTGTCATTGTTCATGAGAAACACCATGAAGAAGAGAAAGTGTTACACCCACTCACACACACACACACACACACACTCATGCCTATCCCTCATTCGAATCCATACCATCACTAGTAAACTGGAGGGGCAAACGATTTTCGACCAAGAACAAAAAAGTTATCAAGCATGTTGGTGAATCATTTTAATGGTACGATTGCTTTTGGAAACGCACTAAATATTCTCAAAATATTTACTGTTTGGTTAAAAAGAGTGATATTAAGTTTTTTTAAGAAGGGCTAGGGTATATATGCATTATCGTATTAAAGCTTTTGTGTTTTTCTCCCTCCTGAGGGCGTAGTCTGGACTCCATGGCATACAATTTACACTAAAAAAAAAATTAATTACACAATAAACATGGTCTATAAACAAAATGCAGTTTAATGTTTTTTTTTTACAACATATACATAGAATATTTGGAATTGGATTCAATGAGTAAATACATGGACGTCACTGGAAAGAATGCTTTAAGCAAATTCCAAACTAACATTACACACATAAAAAGACTTTGAATTGTATTCAATTGTTCTCTATTTAGGAAGATTTAATTTTGATATGCTCTTTATCAATAGTTGTATTGTTCATCTAGGATATATTCCTGTATACAGGAAAAGCAAATCGTAACGATGTTACCCCTAAATGAAGATGGTGTCCCGTCCCAGCTGCTTACCTCCCGCTTTTAAGATTCAATAAAGTTGTTTTTTGTTTTAAACCTGAATTAACGTGGATGTGCCGAGAGAATCATTTCCATCCAGAAAGACCTAGAACAATTCAGAATGAGCGGACCATAGATCAAAATAGTTTCATCAAGTATGGAAGCCTTCACGGCCATTGTGAAAGAAGTTTTGAACTTACAATGCTATTCTGTAGAATAAAATATTATAAACTCTGTGCATGTTAACACTTAGTCAAGCCGAACAAATAAATAATTTCCAGTAGGTCTTGGTCAAAAGTTTAAACTGGAATTTTAGTTGAATGACTCTCTAAAAATGTTTTTATTCATTCATCTTGAATAAATCAGCCAACACGGGGCATCTTTATCAAATATTATGATCTCAATTATCTCTATATATAGCAAAATTTAGGCCTGCCTTCATTATAATGTTCTACGAATATTTAATACAGGAATATTCGATTTTATACGTTTGAGGATGAAGACAAGTTGAAGAAAATAATTTTTGTTGGTGATCAGATCTGTTCAGTTATCGCGATTCGGTCATCACCAAGCTTTCAGCACGGTGTTCTCTGTTTTACCTGAAATAGGGGAAGACAAAAATATATTCAAGCGGAATACTTTTATCTTAACACACATGGAATAGTTTGTGGAACATAGACAACCTCATGTTGCATATTTCCTTAATCAATTACTCCATAGTAATTTTTTTTTTTAAAGCATAATTTTTGTTATATTTCCTTCAAAATGAAACTTAGAATCCATGTGTATGTCCAAAAAAACACAAAGGTTTTATGACCCATCGAATTATATCCTTTGGATGGCAGGGGTTCGTTTGACACACGAAATATTAAAATTGCCAACAGGTAAGGTTTGGAGGTATATCGGTCAGAATAATCACAAAAACGAAATCCTCGTTTAATTAAGATGACACATTGATGAAAAGGATTTTCAATCAATTGATTTGATCTGCGTACTATCTCAAAAGGAAGGATAAAATTGTGTATCGTAAAAGAATGTCTATATTTATAGAAATATAACATTGAACTAAATATAGCATGTAGTATATTTTGAATTTTTAGTTGTCATTGCTTGTGGCGGATCCGGCGGTGGATACAGGGGGAGACATCCGGGACACAATGGGCACACCCCACCTCCACTTTAAATACTTACCTACTTGAGTAGAATCCTGCCCCCCCCCCACTCAGTGTTATTTAGGGTACGCATAGGCTCGTTTCCTCTTTTTGAAAGCACCCCCTATCTGAGGACTGCCAACTTTTCCGAACCCCCCTTTCGCGGGCTTTTTGCGGGCTTTTCCTGCCTTGGAGACCCCCCTAAATTCAGAATAATTTCTCAGGAGTCCAAAGAGATGAGAGAAAAAAAAACACCCCTTTTTAAAGAAATCTCCGGGTGAAAAGTTAATACACCCCTTTATTTACAATTCTCGGGCCGGACTTTGTCGCACGAAAAGTACCCCTTTACCGGACATTTCGGTAACACGCATGGGGTCATTCCGACCCAAAATTAAATGATTGGATGTGTCGATCGAAGCATGCTTACCTCTTATTACTGCCTTCATGATCTTCGACTTCCAAGAGTAGATATCGATGGATGTAAACGCTGGTCTAGCCAGGGCCATGAGGATCTCATGGTTGTGAACAAATGCATGAGCGCTGTACTGGTTACTGAATGGAATGTTTTGATAGAGCTCAAACATACCAGCATGATGCCATTCATAGATTGATAGATAACCTGCTTCTAAACTCACACCAACCAAGTACACGAAATCTACGGATAGGACAATAAGCATACGAAACATCATAATTATAAAAAACTACTGCTCAAAATCGTATCAGGACATACCCCTGGAAAATAACCCCCCTGGAAAAATACCCAAATAGACAATGACCCCCCCCCCCCTCGGGATAATAATTACACCCACCACTAAAAATTACAGGGGAAGTCCAACGCGATAATAAGTTGGTTTTAATAAATTCAAAGGAGGGGAGGGGTAATTGTCTGAGAGAATAATTCTTGTAGGGGGTGATTTTTTTTCACCAGGGGTAATTGTCCCGCTATTAATATTGGCCGTGAGGAATTGTCTAAAGGATGATTGTCCAGGAAGTAATCGTCCTAAAATCCTCAAAATGATTACGTTTTCTTGAGAAAAAGATCCACAAAAATTTTCACGCAGCACAAAATATTCCTTTCTTTGACACTAATGTACACAGCTCAATACATTTTTAAATAATTATACTAGCTTAATCATTTTTTATTGATTTTTATGAATTTTATGGAACAATGCAGTATATGAAAAGAGGCTTTCTATAGAGGGTGAAAGTAGCTGTAAGTAGTGCCAGTGGGGCTTTAAAGAAACAAAAACAAAACAGGAACTTACTGTCTATTGCAAACACGGCGGTATCTAGAATACCGTAAGATCCAAGGCTCTCCATCACTTTCCATTGTCCATCTTTGAATGCTAAGATGGTGATTTCTCGATGAAACTCGACTTCTCTCTCACCTTCGATCAACTTCTCACTTGATATTGCAATGAACGGTACATCATCAATCACAAACATAGACAAGTGAGATGCGTGATTGGTGCCTCTACTCTCATCAAGAACAAACTGAAAGTAAAACATAATAAAAAAAGAAGAGAAAGGAAGAAAAATAAATGATAATACAAAAAGAGAAATCAGCTATACGTCTTCCATATACTGTTCAAACTAAAGAGCGTCATATTATGTCCGTGGATCACAATTAATCTTACACTGTGCCCCGTTGCATAAAACTTACCATTGATGGTAATACCTACACGGAAACCCGATTTGATTGGTTGTATAAAAAATATAGTAATATTGCCATGGCAGTTAATATTTATGGCAAAGTTACTACCAGTGGTTAGTTTTATGCAAATGTTGCAGGGCATATAAAATCAGTAATTAATCTTAAATTGTTAGAAACTGTTCATTTAATTCATCCTCTGATCAATGGAATAGTAGATGATAATAGGCAAGCAATAACTGGCCTGAAACCGGCCCTCAGTATCTCAGTAGATTTCAAGATTCATGTGATTATTCAAGACCTTAATCAGTTACCCTTTCTTTTGCGGAGTCATTATTTGTAAGTGCCTCCATCGCACTCTTTTACACTTATATCAGCAAAAAAAGAAGAAATAATCATTACAACGGTGCCTATATGATATATTCGGCATAATTTGAGGTAAACAAAATACCTGGTTTGCTTGAGAATCGTAGACATATATGGGCGACTTGTAGTCGAGAACATTATTAGCAAAACTCAACCACGTTATGCCTTTCCATGACAGGTGGGTAACAGCAAATGCCCCGTGTGTAGGAATGTCCTGGAAAAAATTGAATGTTCCTTGAGCGTTGTCGTACACATACACCGTAGAGTTTATGTCTGTGTTATCTGTCAAAAAAGGGAGAACATATAGACGTGACTAACTGATTGGAAACTCATACTATCGCATTTTACCGCTGAGGAATATTTAATGTTTAATTGTAATACATAAATGCATGGTCACTTACAATTTGTAAATTAATTTGTTTGCTTTTAACTGCCGTGTGACTTTTAATTTTTACAGAAAATAAACGTTAAACAATTTATCCTGTTTTTTTTATAACTTACGTTTTGATAGATGAATGTGTCTTTGCTCGTGACAAATCTGGTAAAAATCTATAAAGTACAATATTCTTCATAAATCTTGAGAGAGAGAGACATTTTTATCACTGAATTCAAGAAAATTTGGGGTATAGAGTAATTCTAAAGGTAAACTTACGAGTTGAGGCATCTCTATAGTTAGCCACAGCAAGAAACAGGCTTCCGTCAATCTCAAACATGGTAGCACCTGAAGCATGCGGAGCAGTCAGGCTAGTACTAAACGCCTCATCTTCAAGCTTCACTATAGTCAAAGTATCCACCTCTTCATCTGAATGTTCTTCGCACTGTCCAACCTGTTGACTAGGTAAGAGAACGATGAACGTCTCGCCTTGGTAGCGGTAGAGATGAACATCGGTGGCTGCAGGTAGGAGGGTATCTAGAATGGCGAAGCATTCCATCCTGTTGGCCGGGCAGAGATAGAGCTGGGTTCCGATGCAACGGTCCACGGCGGAGTTGTATGTTTCGGCGAGTCCGAGGAGTGTGTCTCCATCTTCAAGGGTTATGGAGTGGAACCGCCCTGTTGCAGGATTGTCGATGTCTTGGAGATCCTCCCAGTGGGTGAGTAGGAGAGGGTGTTCTGAAACAGAAACGTTTTACACAGATTCATTACTTGAGAAATTTAATTGATATTCTCTTTATTGTCACCAACGAAAGTAATCCTCTATCTAAATCAAGTAGGAGAACTAATCCATGATTGAAATAGATGTGTCAAGCTGCACTGAAGGAACATATTAATAATATGATTTCTTCAAAGTCAATGCATTTAGTAATTGAGCAACCATTTGTTTTGGTAAATATCAAGAGAAAAAAAGAACAATGCTTGCTGTTAAAACTAAACATGATGTAACAAAGAAAAGAAGAAAACACTGTAATGTTCCAAATGCTAATTAAGTTCTGAGGTTCCTTAAATCTGAGGCTACACAGGCTTACCTCCTATTGATGTCTGCATGGTGCTAGCTGATATGCACTGGGTTCTCATGGAGTCATTCAGTTGAGATAATACATTGTAGAAATCACCTGCATTGATTTCATACTTATCATCTAACAGCCCAACATCTACGCAATTCACTAGACCTGTGACGTCAGAGTTAGCTGCGATGGAGATGGGAGCCTGGAAAGTCTGTGGAATTATGATATATTGTACACAAAAATATGGTGCATCATTCAGCTTTCATCAAAGAACTAAACATTTCACAGTCAGCACAATTTTGCCCCATAATGCCCTGACACTGGTAAACTGAAGTATTGATTGATTCTATGCAATAAATAAATTAACTGAATGTTAATTTTGATGGCGTCATTGTCAACTGTATAGTCAGATTTTCCTTGGAAATGGATGACGTCCAGTCGATGTACGAGATATACGAACCTTACTATAGAGACTCCACGAATAACTTTTTGAACGAAGATTCTTTCAAAGGTAACCGTATGCCAAGCCCTCAAATCACTTTTATTTATTTTAAGGGTCTTGTACTACCTTATATCCACAAATTTCTTAATGACAAATACTCCTGAAGTTGAATAGAAAACAGATACCGTAAGAGCTATACAAATTATGAATCTCAATACTTGTGCCTTTTCAATTTTTGGCAATTCAAAATATTTGAACCATTCAGCAGACTGTATCACATAGAGGATCGCTTTTAATTGCATCTTCATCTCCCAACTATTGTAACAAGTGTAATTTAATTTTTAGATTCTTCATTAAAGCCTCTTTACAGTGTTGGAAGCCCAACAAATTTGATGGTAAAATTTCTCTTAAATTGTATCATAATGTGAAAGGGATATCATTGAAAACACATTTCTGCAAGGATTTTCAAAACAAATGTGTTTGAAGTCGAAACTTGATGAACGAAATCAAAATGTTGATTTTCTGCATACAACAGAAAACCCAAATTATGTATTCTTTTATCAATATTTGTCTTCAAACAAATTTTCTTCTGGGAAAATATTTGCAGAAGTGTGTTTTAAATGACATCCTCTTTCACATTATTCACTGAATTTTTGGCGCATTTGGGCTCCCAACACTTTAGAGGGGCTTTAACCCTTTTAACAAACCTTATATTTTCACCAGACAAAAGAGATATAAGGGTACAAACTAATATAGTTTTTTTTGTCACCTTTTCACCATCAATGGAAAACGTGCCTTCATTCAGCACCACGATGTTGGATAGATCTACGATATCAACATCATTGATTTCATCGGTGTCGAGATCAGTGATGACAGCGATGTCGGCTGTGAAGAACTTCGTTCCCGTGATCACCGCATTCTTGTATATAGTAACGAGATCATCCCCCACATCAATGTTGTTCAGTGTTCCATCGATTGTTACATTACCTGTGTATTATCAAAAAATAATCAGGACATCAGATACTCTGTGAATTTGATGAAGAAAAAAAAGGAAAGGAAACTGGACATGATGTTACCAATCCCTAAACTGTGGAAACTATCAAAGATGCATTACCCATTATATTTCACTTGGAGTGAATATACTGGCAATTTCTTATGATATTCCATTTATAATTGGGTAGGGCGGCACCATTGCGCCCCCCTACTCGACCCCCAATGACCCCCTACTGCCTGCCCAAATAAACCTCTCTTGCAATGTAAAGATATACGAAAAGATATTCTTTTGGTATTACATATATAGGAATATATAGATGATATTTGTGATAAATGGCAAAAAGTGTATTTTCATGACTACTTACCGCTTACGGTGACGTCATCAAATGTCCATACACCTGTAATCTGTTGGTCGGTAGAGTAAGTAACTCTTGAGCTGACTAATGTAGCCAGATTGACATCATCAACAGTACCTCCTACGCTCATATCTCCATCCACTCGGAAACCAGTACCAAACCTTGTACAGCTTGATACAGTCTGCTCTGTGCTCTTCAGAACGGCACGTTCAGATAGGTCGATCAAATCTGTCGTACCTATTATTTAAAACAAAAATATACAATCAGTGGATGTTCGACCAGAATTTGAATATTAGCATTTATTTAATCGACATTTTGTTGGTTGTAAATATAGTTGATAAATTGCTTCAATTTTCGTCAAGACCTTAACAAAGTGACACGATGTGTTATTAAATTAACACCCTGTTAACTCAGTCACGTCAACTGAAGGCCAAATACAGACCGAACAAACACTGATATTATCCCCCGGATGACTATTGCAAGAATTGGTCGGTTTGGAGTCGGTATTGAGTAGCTAACGGTTAGGGCTGATGGTTTGAATGACTGCAGTAAATGATAGAACTTTGCATATTATTCTAGTAATGATGTAAATTATCTTACCCTTGTGCATGTTGAGAGCCTATATCTACCAACAAAAATTCAATTTTTGGTTCGATCATAACTTTATGAAAGCTAGCTCAATCATTAATACATTTAGGCCTACGGAACTTCAGCAAGATTAATTATTATCTGTATTTACACTATTTACATAAAATCATTTGTCTGTCGCTTCCGTAAGCCTGTAAATTAAGTGTAGAATACGAACTGATATGAATAAGAACAAAATTAAGTTGGCAATTTGCACAAACCATCAATATCAAGACAGGCCTGTAGAACCATGTCGTCATCAAACACAACATTTCCTGTGATATTCTGATCAGTGGATGCGCGTATAGCGGTGGTCAGCAGAACTTCAAGGGTTGTTTGGCCTAAATTGACCAACACATCAAGATCATCTTCAAACACCACGGATTCCATTGTCGTTACTGCTGTCGAGTCGTATACGACGGTTCCATCAATCGTCTGTTAAATAAAGACAATGATGCTAAAACTATAGTGATCTTAACTTGGATTCAGACAGGGATAATATTTTCCGAGAGAGAGAGAGAAAGAGAGAGAGAGAGAGAGAGAAAGAGAAAAGCAAGAGGTTGTCTGTTAAATGAGGTGGACGCTCGAGACACGAAGAAGCGGAGAGAGATAGTGCCATCATGGCGCGAAAATCAGTAACCCCTCGTAAGAGGGAAAATGTTGACTATGATGAATGATGTAGAAACATTGCTTGGTAACTTATCTTACATTGTCCTGAGATAAACAATTTCTAAAAATGGATTGATCGGCTGACAGTTTTATCTAGCCTGTGCTATTTTATTCGGACTACGTTAAGTAAGATTTTTTTTCTAGTATTACTTTCACATTTGACAAAGTACTCAAATAAGTAGAGAGGAGCACGAGTATAATAACAAAAAAATATCCTGAAAATACAGGGAATAAGGCATAGAATCCCATTAAGCAAGGAGCTTAATTGTTTCAGGAACGCCCAAGTTGCAAATAGAAACAGAATATGTTGAAAAGGGAAAAGAGGAATTTTGTATACGAGGAAAGTAAAGTTAGAAATTATGATGTAACAGGGAAACATTTACAAATAAACCGGGAGTCTGTTTTGTAAGGCATGTGAACTCACAACGTCTTCATCGAGTAAGACAGCATCTTGGAACAAATTTATCAGGTTGACTCCTCCTGTCAGTGCCTCGGTTAGAAGATTCCCTGATACTGTGACAGCGCCCTCAAACACTGTCCTGACGCTGATATCATTGTCTACTGTTGAGCGTAGAACCCTGTCTGACAAATCTGAATACAGATAAAGGATTGAATATGGGATTTTATTGAAATCATAACATCAAAAACCAAGAGTAAACAGTCCGATGACAACTGTCTTGGGTACAAAATAAAATTTAAATCAAATATACATAATAAAATAGCAGTAATGAATAAATACATAAGTTACATAAGTTAAAATAACAAATAACTTAACTATACTATTTCGTTAGGATATATACATAGCATTCAATAGAATTTACAGTGGCAGATTCATGGCGATTTCCTGGTGTATCGGCATTAATATCTAACCAACGAAACAACCACTACAACGCTTCCACCAATACGACTAACAAAAGTATATAAGCAATATTAATGCAATGTCTCATTCCAAGCTAATATTTCTAACACTGACATTTTTTATAATGCACAATATTAGCATGAACTGTAGAAATCTGTGCATCAAAACTTAAATCAAATCATTTTATGAAACTATTATGTTTTTTTGGTCCTTAACGTATAAGGACCGGTCAGCGAAATGTTGATGTGCCCTGATAACTGATTGAATCTGTTTGTTGAAATAGAATCTTGACAGTGTTTCAAAGCATATCAAAGTAGAACCAGAAGTAATAAACTTTTATTCTTTTGCTTTTTTCTTAGATTTTGACAGAAATTTTTAAGAATCGAAGTCTATTTATACATCATTACTATCAAATATCAATCAATGTATGGTAATACCTGATACGTCTACTCCATCGACGAGGCCAGGATCTATGATGATATTATTATTCACAGTGATAGAAGGGAATGATTTCACACCCTGGACGCTCTGACTGCCTCCAGATAACCGAACTGTCTTTTCATCAAGCTGTAAAAAGATTTACACAAATATTGAATCATAATAACCCGCTTCTGCCAATTTTTGTTTTGTTGTTGACAGTTTAAAAATTCGATATTTACGTTTACGTGTCAATGTATGATACGGCAATTATCAAAAGGTATCGTGTGCTGACAGCAAGAAGGGCATTGTCTCTGGGGCAAGTGATTTGTCATGGCCGGGGTGACTGATATTCAAGAAATACCAGCGACAAGACATTGATAGGGATTGAGGGGAAACATTTAGGATAGGTTACCCAAGTATATCGGCAATTTTAAGATAGTTGGTCATCAGCGTCCCATATGATATCAAGCATTGTAGAGTTCTGAGCATAATTAAACTGGCATCTAAATGTGTCAGAAAATCTAAGGTCTAGTAGGATAAGGCTATCAACTTAGTACAGATATACTAGTCTTAATGTAGATGTGCAATGGTCGGTTACGTATGGGACCAAAAAAAAGCTTAAACTTGCCCATTATCAATGCAGAATCCGTCGTACAAATAGTATATTGTTTGTGTTTTATTTCCCTTAATCAATTTAAGACTCACCTCCTCGATATCTACCGTGTTTATGAGTCCATCCACTTCAATGTTTCCTTGAATGCTTACAGATTTAGTGAATGATACGTCATTATTCAGGTTTTCGTTACTGTCCAAGAGTAAGAAATCGCTGGGATCAACAGTGTCTAGTGTCTTTCCACTGGCTAACTCCAAGTTTGCTGTGGTAGTTAAAGTAAACAAATGAACCATTAGTTAACTATAATATCAATCGCTACAGGAGTATGGGAAATCACGTACTAAAAGTAATCAATAAACGTATATCTTAATGACTTTATTTGAAGCATATATATGTGAATCATTGCATGACCCTTTTTTCCAACATATTAATCGAACTCATTTTTACATTATTCATTCGCCTATACGTGAATATTTGAGCGCAGAGTAAAACAATAACTTATTTTCTTGTCAAATAAAATAACAAACAATACAGAGTGTACTACATTGTAGCAAGTATTAACAGCGGTGGCTTGCCCAACATGTCAAGTGTTTAATAGGCCTACTTACCCAAGGCTAATGATCGTGTGAACGTCTTCTTTCCATCTAAGGTCTGTTCATACTGGGTGGAGAGATATGTTTGATCAAGGAGGGTAACATTGACACCATTGATCAGACCATCGACGTCCATATCACCGGTTACAGCCATCCCTCTGTAATAAAGTCAAACACACACAAAAAGATCGCAATGCTACTAGGAAATAAATAATACACCCGTCTTTAAATTTCATGCTCTCATTTTAGTCATTGCCACATGATTACCTTGAGTCATTTTTTACACTTTCATTGCTTTCTGTAAAAATGATCTCTCCATGAAGGGTATTATTATCACCTCAAAGAGTGACGTAGGCCATGTTGTGGTATACCTAGATTTTATTAAAGGGGTAACCTTTTCTGAATGCGCTTTGTGTAAATCCGCATTGATTTATTAGATTCATATTGCATCGATTATCGTGTAATATCCGTTAGATTTTGTTTGAAACCATCCTTCTTCTCCCCACTGGTGATAACTGTGATTACCCGTTTCGAAGACAAGGCATGTCTTAATTTATTAAAAATTCCTCATAATTTTGACATTTGATTATGAGGAATATTGTAATACTCACGCAGAAAATGTCTTCTGTCCCCGGATCTGTCCCTCCGTATCTTTGTAGATAACTTGACTCACTTTCTGAGCAAAATCAACCGAGTTAACGTGATTTGTGACTGCTACATTCCCTCTGATCTGGGTCCCTGCTGAGAAAGACTTATCACCTGGAATGAGATTTCATTATGATCACAAATTAATAATAATAATAGTGGGTTCTTGAATAGCGCTCGTGTCTGTCAGACTTGACATCCCTTGCGTTCCACAATTATTATCCGGCTTCAGGACGGCTGCCATTATGGCGCTGTAGCATTTCAAGGAATTAATTTATGCCAGGTACCCACATCACCCGGGTCAAGTATGTCAAATGTAGATTAATGTCTTGCCAAAGGAAATTATTGCCGTGTGATCGACAGCCCGGTGACGTATCTACTTAACCACGACACCTCTAAATAAGGTTATATCAAAGATAAAGTGTGATTTTCATTTTTAGTTTTTTAAATACTTTTAATATCTTCTAAATTCTTTCACATCAGACATAGCATTTCAATTTTGAATTTCTTCTCATCCTTCCCAGAAACATTCAGGCGAAACTTGTTTAGCCTCTACCTGGTTTATGAAAACTGAGTATCGTTTCCTACTCAAAATGACATTTTGATGTGTTTCAGAAGAACAGTATAATGATTTTACTTCAATAGATCTGTCTTCTCGGGAATGAAAGAACCATTTAATAATAACTTGACATTTGAATTTTCATATCTATCTTATATAATTCAATCATGACGTGATCCACGTTATTCCCAAACCATACTGATCGGCAGCGGTGGGATTTGGCAAAATACTGTGAGGCTCAGGGAAAAGAATCACATTAAATAACGTACACGGTGGCCTGAAAGTTGGGTTAGATGACGAAGGCAACTAACGTGGCAGCTGTGGGACAACATGAAACACATAATGTAATGACTGTCGTAAAACAGCGTACAATGACCTGTTGCTTGCAATAACATGAAATTCAGTGGAGCCAACGATCGTTAGTGGTAGAATTATGCACATGCAAAACCCATATAGAACACAAAAAATATTTATTTCCATCGACACTTACCAGCAATGGTCTGCGCACCAGCCAAATAAACGGCAGTAGCAGCGAGTCTTGTTAGGTTGACTCCATCAACCGTCCCAGAGACTATTGTTTGACCTTCCACTGATCAAAAGAGAATCGCAATGTAATGAAATTCATTATAATTAAATAGAAGAGTATACGTTTACTTTGATCAGCTGAGGAATCATTGCTTCGTAAATCCAGAAGGAATCATGTGGGCCTAATCAATTTTTATATGAATGTTTCGAATGATTTTAAGCCAATGTTTTGGTTGTAAATTATGGACTTACAAACTCAACACAAACCAACCTAAAACGTTTGGTATACCCCCCCCCCTCCCCCCCAAAAAAGGAATATTTATATTTGTACTAATTAAGTAAGTCTTGATTTTATTCACAAAACGATACAATCCAAGTGTCTCCATAAGGATGATATTCCATTACATTAGATGACACATATGCGGGTTCAAATATATTCGCAAACTTTGCTTGGAATATACCTTCAAAATTTGGGAAAGTCTTGCTTCCGCTGATAGCACAGGCACCCCCGGTAGCAGCGATAACAGCATCGCTATATAAAGCATCTACATCAACAGTGTTAACAGTCCCTGTCACATCTAGGTCTGGTGTGTTTATATCTCCTGATACTGCGATGTTGGGATGGGTAAAAGTCTTGCAATCTGTAGAGACTGTAAGAGACGCTGCAAGGTAAAAATGTCAGTACAAACAAATTGTCAGAGGTACAGCAAAATGTCGGGGTGAAAAAATCAGTGCCGTCCTGATATCTCAGCACTAACCAGAGCCAGAGGACTTGAGGTAATATGATTGTATCTCGGCGAAAGCAAAGGGAAGAGGAAAAAAGTAGTATGCTAGTGAGATCAACAGATCCAGATATATATATATATATAGAGAGAGAGAGAGAGAGAATGTTGAAACACTTCACTCAGAGGATTTGCTACACTATATGCGGCCGATCACTTAATAACACAGAGTCAATGAGAAAACTAGAATTTAATTCGTCACGAGGACGAATAAGGTGGTCTGCCTTCAAGTTATATAGGGCGCGTTCATGCTTGATTTTGAAGGCATAATGAGCGATTTGTAACGCTCATCGTAAACCCTCATCGTAATCGCAGTTCCACGGTGCACTGTTCATGCTCACTTCTCCAGGCAATTCTCCTTGGGTGGCCTTCAGCTGGATTCGCAAACCTGTGTGCGCATGCTACGTAGACCCACTAGAGGTCAGTGCGTTGACCCCATTTAAACGTGAGTTTACGATCGGCGATCGTGATCGCCGTTTTTCGGTGATTCTACAAAAGTGAGCATGAACGCAATCGTGTTTTAAACTAAACGCGTAACAGATGCCTGATTCTGGCCGTCAAAATCAAGCATGAACGCGCCCTTAGACATGTAAACAATGATGATGACGATGATGATGATCTTGATAGTAATGGTGATGACAATGATGATGATGATCATGATCATGACGATGTTGATAATCATCAACAGACCATGATGACATTTGATTGAAAAAAATGGAAGAACATTTAGATAGCATATAGTCTCAGCTACAACATACTCGAAAATCAACATAATCCAAGCAGAAATAATGTCGATATTGCTCGCAGAAGATAGGAATGTAGATTCCAGATTTGAGAAAAAGTCATCTCCCTTAGGAATTACACGCAAAAAGTAATGGATCAAGTGAAAATAGGGTTATAATAAAGTAAATATGGCTGTTTATTACGCGATTTGCGTTTCCACGTGTTTAGTATTCAAAGGAGATGGTACAGTGAAAGGTCAAAAAGAAAAAAAAGATTGTTAGAGACGCCTGGACTCGAACCAGGGACCTCGAGGTTGGAAGTCAAGTGCGTTACAGATATACCTAAACATTTCCCATAGCGATTACACGTAAACGGAAAATAAAATTCTCAAATCCCACTTTGCAAGTGAAATATGAGCATGATCCCGGCATCTGATCGAGAAATAAATGTCACATTTGTGATGGCTTATTGTCTCAGCTGCATCATACTCGATGCTCAGCGTAAACGAAGCTAAGACGACGGAGATATTGCTCGTGAAAGACGGAAATATAGAATCCAGTTTTCAGAAAAAGTCATGTCCCATAGAGAATACACGCAAAATGTAAAAAATTGACATGCCTCCTTTAATCGCAAAAAAAAGCCATGATGTTTTCATCAAAATGAAAATTTGTGGATACTGCATTTGTAGAGAATTGTCTCAGCTAAAACATATCAAAATTTGGATGAAAATCGATCAATATTTACAGAGATACAATCAATTTTCCAAAAATATGATGACGTCATAATATGCAATTGAAATTTTGAGTTCGGAGGCCATTATGATGACGTCATGAATTAATTGAGGGTCAAATGAGACATGAAATCATATTTCCGACTCGTACTTTATCAAGATATAAAAAAAAAATTTGGGTCATCTTGCATCCTAAAGAGCTACAATGGATTTTGTATAGGCAAGTTTTTGCCCATATATGCTATGTATTACAAGAGCTCGCACGCACAGACATTTACCTTGAACGGAGGCCATCATAAATAAGTCATGAGTTAATTGATTGTTCGAATGGAATTTATCTTGAACGGACGCTCATTTTGTAATTAATGGTCATAAAGAGATAAGCATGGTATCAAATTGTTCGGAATAAAATGGGCAATACTATGATAGACAAAAAAAGGAGATTCTAGGTTGCGTACGACCATTACAAACACAAACGTGCGCGTAAACGGAAAATGGAATTCTCAAATCCCACTTTGTAAGTGAAATATGAGCATGATCCCGGCATCTGATCGAAAAATAAAGGGCACACTGGTGATAGCTTATTGTCTCAGCTACAACATACCCAAAGCTCAGCGTAAACAAAGATAAAACGACAGAGATATTGCTCGCGAAAGACGAGAATGTAGAATCCAGTTTTGAGAAAAAGTCATGTCCCATAGAGAATACACGCAAAATGTAAAAAATTGACATGCCTCCTTTAATCGCAAAAATACGCCATGATACCATTGTCAAAATGAAATATCGTGACGACTGCATTTGTAGAGAATATTCTCATGTAGAACATATCAAATTCTGAAAGAAAATTTATCAATATTTACAGAGATACAATCAATTTACCATAAATATGCTGACGTCATAATATGCAATTTGAAATTTTGAGTTCGGAGGCCATTATGATGTCAAAATATTTTTAATAGCCAAATGAGACATTAAATCATATTTCTGACTCATTCTCTATCAAAATATGTAAAAATATTGGGGGTCTAGTTCCATCCAAAAGAGCTGTAATGGAATTTGTATAGGCATGTTTTTGCCCATATATGCTATGTTTTACAAGAGCTCGCGCGCACGGACAATTATCTTGAATGGACGCTCATCTTGTTCTCTATGGTCATAAAGAGATAAACATGGTATCATATTGTTTGAAAAATGTGCCAAATATGATGACATAAAAAATTGGCGATTTTATGTTGCAAAATGCAATAACGCGCGAAAACGCGCGCGCATGCGCGTGTGTGAGTTTTTTTGTGAAATGCTTAAAATGGCCTGAAACGTATGCAAAATGTATTTGAGACGATTTTGAGCATTTTTATTTTTTGCGCGCACGCTGACGCCCGCACGTACGCATGCGTGTGCGTTTTTTGACCTGAAATTAACCGGACGGATATTGACCTTAATCATGATAAATATGAATAAGAAATGCCTTTCCGTTATGATCATGAGTTGAAAGTACCAAAAAAAAAAAAAAAAATGGCGCCTGGATGACGTCATGAAGACTTGATGACCTTGAAAATCTTCCTCTCACGTATTATGGCAATGACCTATGACTGTGCCAAAATTGAACGAAATTGACTAAACTGATCTTGAGTTATCCTGTTAACAAAAAAGTGTGCAAATAAATAAAAATAAAGAATAATAAAGAAAGAAAATTTGAACAAAAACAATAGGTGATCTGTCGATATCGACAGACCACCTAATAATAAAGAAAGAAAATTTGAACAAAAACAATAGGTGATCTGTCGAAAACGACAGACCATCTAATAAAGAAGAAAGAAAATTCTGACGAAAACAATAGGTGATCTGTCGAAAACGACAGACCACCTAATAATAATAAATAAAGGTAATTTTAACAAAATTATAAGGTGGTCTGTATTAGATACAGCCCACCTGATAAATAAAGGCGATTTCAACAAAAATATAAGGTGGTCTGTATTAGATACAGCCCACCTGATAATAAATAATAAATAAAGGCAATTTTAACAAAATTATAAGGTGGTCTGTATTAGATACAGCCCACCTGATAATAATAAATAAATAAATAATAAAGGCAATTCTAACGAAATTATAAGGTGGTCTGTACGATATACAGCCCACCTGATAAATAATAATAATAATGAAGAAAAATCTTCACGAAATCAAAAGGTGAAACGTATATTTCATACGTATCACCTAAAAATAATAAAAATAAAAATCTTGACGAAATCAAAAGATGATACGTCTACATACGTATCACCTAACAAAGGAACCATATCCAACGTGAAGCTGTCCAATAGCTAGAACACAAATGAATACATGGAATGGTTGGATCTGGGAGGAACAGAGGTGTAAGTGGTAAAAAGGAATGGATTGAGATGGATGGGTCTTGAGTTGAGGAAAGAGGATGATGAGCCTGGGAAAAGAGCGTGTGATCTGGAAGCGGATGGCACAAGAGGCAAAGGAAGAGGGAAGATTTCTTGGAAAGAAAGCAGTTAAGTAATTGGTTCACATGGGGTGGGTGCTCGAGACAAGAAGAAGAGGAGAAGGAGTGTCATCATGACCCCAAAGAAAATAACCCCTTGTAAAGGGACAATTATGATGATGATTACGTCAGCAATTGACAGAATGGTTTTGGTTGTTTACACACCTGAGGTTGCACCTTCTAGTCCTTCAATGTTGGAATCGTCTGTTCTGAAAACCCATCTTCCAGATACACCGATGTTCGATGTCGTTGCGATATCGATGACGGCAGCTGTTCGAGATCCAGGGACACTATAAAAGTTCACTCCGTCACCATCGTTGAATCCAACCTAAGAGTTAAGCATGTGAACTTTGAAGCAATACTTCCGAACAAATGTAACTTGATACGGGTTCGATTAAAGTTTTGTTCGTCTCATTTCATGTCATATTGCCCTGTTCGGTGGTTGCCCCCCCCCCTCCCCGACAACAACAAAAACAAAGAAAGAGTGAAAATCGTCGGATTATTTGACCTATCTATTAGTTGATGAGAAACTAAATTGACATACTTCTGACTTAATAAGCTACTGCAAAGCTATTTTTCTTTGGTTGGAAATAGCCCAAACGGAATCAGCATTTATTTTTGTATTACCGATTGAGATCTGCATTACCTTTGATTTTCCTATTGTTCTCTTATGTTCCAGTAGTGCATCATTAATTGCACCGAAGCATCACCCCCCCCCCCCCCTTTAACCTATATGATTGGACAGTTCACTTCAGCCTCTTGCCTTCCTGACTAAGCTAAAAACCAATATCATGAAAAGGATTTTCCAAAATTATAACCCTAATACCAGAGTCACAACGTACACTAAAACTGATCAAAAATTACATTACACCAAAGGTTGGAGAATTACTCAGTCTGGCCTCGACTTGGAGTCGGTTGGTGGTGTGACTGATGTATTATTTCATATAAATGGGAGGGGCCACTTTAATACATGAGCTCGTTACCATATACACAACCGTGTCCCTTGTTTATAAGAAGAAGGTGGTACAAACCAAGTGACAAAATGATTTACCTGAGCTGGGGTACCACCTCCTGATGCTGCCCAGTTGATATCACCGTAATTAAAGATGACGAAGGAGTATCGGCCATCTGTCACCATAACAGCTTGAAAGGAATTCCTCTGAGGTAAAATATCAACATAATCAACATCTATATCTTGAAATGAATTTTAAATATTTGATAAAACAAAACGAATAACACGGCAGGATAGTGAATGAAACGACTTCCAACTTTAAGAAATTTCAGTGATAGATAAAGTCGTAGCAAAGTGATAAAAGGCAAAAAACATAGATTGCTTAGCGGACCAAAATGAATAATAAGTCATAACCGTTTTACACATTGTCAAATGTTTGATCAGCTTGATTTCCAGGAGGTTTGCACTTGGGTCCAATATCTCCTGTAATCCTTTATTCATGTATGCAAATTGGCCTACAGGACTTTCAAAAGGGCAAATGTCCTCAAGTTAATGCAAGATTCTATAAGAAATGCCGATTAATTTTTATTCTCGTGGAATTTCGTTGGGTTATTTTTTTTTATTACATCGCCATAACCTAAAATAGTACCCAAAATCCATAATACAGTGGCGACAGATGATTAATATGAAAAGGTTCAGCGGTGAACTTCCGATTAAGTCACTGTACTTACGAGTTCACCTGAAGAACTAAAGTGAGCAACACTGTCCCAGGTCGCGATGAATATCCATGACGACAAAAAATCTCTCATGTCAACAAATGATGCTCTTATAATTTCATCAGCTTCTAGGAATATGCGGTCGTTTTCGGCAGATCGTAAAACTTGTCGATAGGATAGAGTCCCGCCATTACGCGTGTCAACATCAGCCCAGAATGGGGCTATAATGGGTTTGCCATTAGCGACTGGAAACGAATCGGAGTTAAATTGACTAACTGCCGCCGAGAACGAGATGATACCGTTATTGTTGACCTGCAACAACATTTATAAAATAGCGATTGGTGGTAGATTTTAGTGTCAAGGGGATTTTATAGAGAGAATGAGAGGGAGAGCACGGAAACGAAAACAAAGAAATGGGTAGACAGATAGAGAAGATGGTAGTAAGTAATAATTTAGCCAATTCATGTGGAAAGTTGAAAAAGACGAACGGTAACATAATTAAAAAGAAGACAGATTAATCAGTTCATATGGATAATTATACAGACACGCACACGCACACAAATATACATAGAGAGAGAGAGAGATGAGGACGGTAGAGAAAACGATATATATAGAGGGGAGGGAAAGTAGGAGTTTTTGATGATGCCTTAGTCTTTTGCCTGTCCTAGGCCGTTACAACCGCAGCAAGTCTCCGATGTAAAATACGCTGGGATTATTAAAATCTTGTCTTTCCTTTTAAAATTTAAAATAATTTAAATAATTGTTAGATTTTATATCTTTATCATGTTCATGGTACACTGATTGTGTTCAGATGATTATGTTCGAAATAACACGGGTTCGACAGATTTCTTTAAAACAAAATAATTCGGTTCAAGCAATGATCTGAGGGACTTACAAAAAGTCCAGTTTGAATGTGATCGAAGAACGGGAAGCCGACAGAGATTGGTAGCTCGTCTGTGTAACCATCATCATTGGCTGGTAGAAATTCGTCCCCTTCATTTAAACCAAATGGAAAGAACAGACCTGAAAATGGGGTAAATAAAGGGGGAAAATAAATTATTATTATTATTTTAATGATAATAATTATTAAAATATTGATAAAAATAATAATAACTAGAAATTTAATTCGTCATGGGGACGATTTAGGTGGTCTGTGTTCAATACCCAATAGATATTCAATAAATTTGAATATTTACTATATAGAGAAAGGGAGAAGTTATATAGACATGTAAACAATGATGATGATGATGAACATGATGATAATCATGATAGTAATGGTGATCATGATGATGTTGATCATGATCATCATCAGACCATGATGATCATGATGATATTGATGATCATGATCATGATCGTAAGCATGATCCTGACATCTGATTGAAAAAATGAGGGGACATTTAGATAACATATAGTCTCAGCTACAACATACTCAAAAATGAACAAAAACCAAGCAGAAAAAATGGCGATATTGCTCGCAAGACATGAATGTAGAATCCAAATTTTGAGAAAAAGTCATCTCCCTTATGAATTACACGCAAAAAGTAATGGATCAAGTAAAAATAGGGTTATAATAAAGTAAATATGGCTGTTTATTACGCGATTTGCAATTCTACGTGTTTTAGTATTCAAAGGAGATGGTACAGTGAAAGGTCAAAAAGAAAAGAAGGTTGTTGGAGACGCCCGGACTCGAACCAGGGACCTCGAGGTTGGAAGTCAAGTGCGTTACCGATATACCAAAACATTTCTCATAGCGATTACATGTAAACGGAAAATGAAATTCTCAAATCCCACTTTGCAAGTAAAATATGAGAATGATCCCGGCATCTGATCGAGAAATAAATGGCACACTAGTGATAGCTTATTGTCTCAGCTACAACATACTCGATGCTCAGCGAAAACAAAGCTAAGACAACGGAGATATTGCTCGTGAAAGACGGGAATGTAGAATCAAGTTTTGAGAAAAAATCATGTCCCATAGAGAATACACGCAAATGTAAAAAATTGACATGCCTCCTTTAATCGCAAAAATACGCCCTGATGTTTTCATCAAAATGAAAATTTGTGGATACTGCATCTGAAGAGAATTGTCTTAGCTAGAACATATCAAAATTTGGATGAAAATTGATCAATATTTACAGAGATACAATCAATTTTCCAAAAATATGATGACGTCATAATATGCAAATTGAAATTTTGAGTTCGGAGGCCAATATGATGACGTCATGAGTTAACTGAGGGTCAAATGAGACATGAAATCATATTTCCGACTCATACTTTATCAAGATATGAAAAACTAGATGGAATTTTGACTGCGCGCAGTCGAAAATGATGCCTCCGCCATAGAGCAATTTAAACAAGTTTGGAGTTTAAATCTCCAGTGGTTCTTGAGATATCATGATAACAATCTCAATGTATGGAATTTCATAAGTTGACCTCTGTGACCCTTGACCTTTGACCTACGTGCTCCAAAACCTAATCAGATTGTCTTCCTATGGTGATACACACTATCATTAAGTTTGAAGTTTAAATCTCCAGTGGTTCTTGAGATATTATGATATGGTGATACATACTATCATTAAGTTTGAAGTGAAAATTCTCCAGTGGTTCTTGAGATATCGCGATAACGATCTCAATGTATGGAATTTCATAAGTTGACCTCTGTGACCCTTGACCTTTGACCTAAGTGCTCCAAAATCTAATCAGATTGTCTTCCTATGGTGATACACACTATCATTAAGTTTGAAGTTTAAATCTCCAGTGGTTCTTGAGATATTATGATAACAATCTCAATGTATGGAATTTTATAAGTTGACCTCTGTGACCCTTGACCTTTGACCTACGTGCTCCAAAATGTAATCAGATCGTCTTCCTATGGTGATACATACTATCCTTAAGTTTGAATTTTTTACATCTCCAGTGGTTCTTGAGATATCATGATAACAATCTCATGTATGGAATTTCATAAGTTGACCTCTGTGACCCTTGACCTTTGACCTACGTGCTCCAAAATCTAATCAGATCGTCTTCCTATGGTGATACATACTATCCTTAAGTTTGAAGTTTTTACATCTCCAGTGGTTCTTGAGATATCATGATAACAAACTCAATACAAGGAATTTCATAAGTTGACCTCTGTGACATGTGACCTTTGACCTACGTACTCCAAAATCTAATCAGATCGTCTTCCTATGGTGATACATACTATCCTTAAGTTTGAAGTTTAAATCTCAAATGGTTCTTGAGATATCGCGCTAACAAACTCAATACAAGGAATTTCATAAGTTGACCTCTGTGACATGTGACCTTTGACCTACGTACTCCAAAATCTAATCAGATCGTCTTCCTATGGTGATAAATACTATTCCCGAGTCTTAAGTTTAAATCTTAAATGGTTCTTGAGATATTGTGATAACGGTCAAACGGGACGAACGTACGGACGGACAACCCGAAAACATGATGCCTCCGGCACCACCTTCGGTGGCGGAGGCATAAAAATTGGGGTCATCTTGCATCCTAAAGAGCTACAATGGATTTTGTAAAGGCATGTTTTTTGCCCATATATGCTATGTATTACAAGAGCTTGCACGCAGGGACATTATCTTAAACGGACGCTCATTCCGTTATTAATGGGCAGAAAAAGGTGAACAAGGTATCAAAATGCTTGGAAAAATGCGCCAAATATGATGACATAAAAAAATTGGCGATTTTATGTTGCGAAATGCCATTACGCGCGAAAACGCGCGTGCATGCGCGTGTGCGAGTTTTTTTGCAAAATGCTTAAAATGGCCTGAAACATATGCAAAAAAAATTTGAGCCGATTTTGAGCAAAATTCCCAAAATCGCGCCGTTTTACTGTTTTACTTTTTTTCTCTTTTTCGCTTGGCCGACCAAGGGGGGGGGGGGGGAAGGGTAACACCCCCTAGATCCGCCCCTGGGTCCCAGTAGGTTACTTAGACATTGGTGATTCGCGAATGAAAAGTAAGGAGTATGCGCGCGCACCAGATGATGTGTGAGTGTTTGGGTGTGTGATTATTTTTCAATGAATGGAATATATATTGGCATTGTAATTGTCGATATCTTAACCTATGATTTTTTTAAAATATACTTTAGCTGTTCCATTTTTAATTTTGGTTCATGATGGTTCAAGTATTTCTATTTATCATGGGCCGTCATATAACGCTATTTTACATTTAAATTTTTTGAGATGCCACCATTGTTTTTTTGTAAATGTCAATTTTGGTCCTTGTTCTCCTTCGCCGTTGATATCCTCCCTTCATTTTTTAGGGGGAGCGGGATCGTCCCCCCGGAAAATTTGAAAAAGTGCCAACAAAAAATATATAGCACATACTGACTAAAGATTGCAACACACTTTTAGGCTCTGGAGGACCCTAGAGTGCAGTGTTTAGACAAAAACAAATGCAAAAATATTCTCCCCGGTAGCTACGCTCCCTCTATTAATATCCTTCATAGTGTACAATTTAAAAAATTGTAGAAAAGTGAGTTGTGAAAAAAGTACATTGATTGTTGTGTACTATAGTTTTGCTAAGGAATTTTAATTTTTTAATACAACAAAACTTTAAAAACTGTGAAGGGTAGTCACACGTACTGTCGTAATGATGGGGGGGGGGGGGGTCTTGGGGGCTATTGCCCCCGCCATATAAAATGCACACGTGGTTTATTTCTAATCCGATACCAGTGATTACAAATGTTGCTGAAATGGCATGGTTTTGCCCTCAGCTTCCAGGGGCTCTGTCCCCTGGACCCCACCAAGGGCCCTAAGGCAGCCCCTGGATGCTCACCTGATCTGATCTTAATTTAATGCCTAAGACCCCTTAGATTATGGGTGCTACGCCCCCTTTAACCCAATCCAACTAGTGACCTGCATGCCAGTGTTACAAATAAGGTATCAAAATATGCTCTTCCGACCGTACATTAAATGCCTAAAACCCCTGAGCTTCCGGGGGCTTCGCCCTCTGGATGCTCATCTGACCGTTATTAAATGCCTAAAACACCAGAGCTTCAGGGGGATACGCCCCTGTTCCCTCGTATTTCGCCCCCCCCCCCCACCCGGCCAAGAAATCGCCGCCCCTGACAGAGGGTAAGGAATGTTTGCCGCAACTCAAATGTTTGAAAAGGGTTATGAGTCCCTTACTGTAATGAGCTTCCGTATTTGCCGGCGTTAAGGCCAAAGCGCCGTATAGGTCGCACCTCTGATTTTGACATTTCGTAGACTGAAAAAAGAAACGGAAGGAAAAAAAAACAGGGGGTAAGGTGCAACCCCGGTGGGTTCACTCCCTTGCAGAGGGTGACGGGTATGACCGTTACCACAAATGCAAATGACCCCCTTTTGCGGTCAATTTCAAGAACATTTAGTGAAATTTATCCCCCTTTTTTACGTCAAAACAAGGACAAAATCGTACTTCGGAAAACCCCTATTTCTAAAATTGTAAGGACGTTTTCACAAATTTACCCCTATTTTTACCATATTTCAAGGACAAGACATTTATACTTTTTTTTCATTAACATAAAGGATCCAAGACACGAGTCCTTGAATTACAAGTTCATAGTTCTCGGTACCATGGTTACCATGAATCTTTGTCCAAAAAAGAACTATGGTAACCATGGTTCTCGGTACCATGGTTACCATGGATCTTTGTCCAAATTACCAACCTCCATAAGAACCATGTCAACCATGGTACTGAAAACCCTGGAAAACCATGGTACATGGTACATTTTTTTTTTTTTTTGTTGAATTTGTGAAAGTGTGCGTTTAATCCCGCCCACTAATTTTGCATCTATGCACCGCATCATCGCAGCAGCAAGGATACTGATAGGCTATAGTCCAGTAGAAATAAAATAAAAATTATGTACTTACAGTCTTGCAATTTAATAAGACAGCTAAAAAACAATTTCAAAGTAAACATAAAATTCAGCCACCTCATTTTTTAAATTATTATTTACGATTGGATCAAATTTAACAAATTAACTGCAGGGTAACTCCGGTCGAGGCCACCATGCACCAGGTAGCTCCAAAGCAATGCAGGGGAGCCCCTGGGTGGAGCTGAGGCGGTGGAGCTGCTCCCTAGGCCTACTGGGCTGCCAGGGCGCCTTATAGGCTAAAGTTCCACTGATTTCTAGATATCCTTTACGGTTGAATGAGTTAGGGCGGTATGTGTGCTCTGCTGCGTTCTGTTGATTTATTCTAGCATATTGACATCAATGATGCTAATTACCATGGTAAATCATGTGGCCGGCCAGGTACATATTCGGTACGTGCATATTATATTGCAAACAGGGGCGTCGCTAGACCTTTTTCAGTGGGGGGGGGGGGGTGTAGAGGCCAACGATCAACGATTACCGACAAAACTAGCAACCAATTACCGACAAAATTAAATATCCCAAGATCTAAAAATTTAACCCTATAAACCCGGGGCCGAAGGCTAAATTGTTTTTCCTATAGACTATCTATAGTAATTGCGTATGCGCAAATGATCATTTTCCTCGACGACATAAATATACGAATTATTTCGTCAACTTAGTCAACATCAAAGCTGTATATTTTAATGCAGGTGCGGAGCTAGGATCTTATATTAGGAAGGGGCGGAAGTGAGCAAGCAAAGCGCGCTCATTAGGGGGGTGTCAGTGTTAGGCCTCCCGCACGAAGCGTGGAAGCTTAGACGTTTCCTTAAATTATTAGGAAAAGAAGACAATTTGTTGTACCGTTCTCAATGTTAATCCTTGTCTAAAATCAGTTTCTCCTCCTCCCACGCAAAGTGCGGAAGCTTTGACGTGTCATTAAATTATGAGAAAAAGCAGACGATTCGGTGTTATGTTCTCGACTCTTAATCCTTATCTGAATTCAGTTCTGCCCCTCCTGCGCGAAGCGCGCAAGTTATGGCGTTTCATTAAATTATTAGAAAGTAGATGATTCGTTGAACCGTGCTCGACTCTTAATCCTTGTCTGAACTCAGTTTCTCCCCCGGAAGCTTTAGACGTTTCATAAATTATGAGAAAAAGCAGACGATTTGGTGTACTGTTTTCGAATTCATCTTAATCCTTATCTGAATTCAGTTTCTCCCCCTCCCGCGCCAAGCGCGGAAGCTTTGACGTATCATTAAATTATGAGAAAAAGCAGATGATTCGGTGTCTGCCTACTATTCTCGACGCTTAATCCGTATCTGAATTCAGTTTTGCCCCTTCCCGCACAAGTTTTTACGTTTTTTATTAAATTATTAGAGAAAGTAGACGATTGGTTGAACCGTGCTCGAGTCACAATATTTCCACGATATTCCACTATTATTATAACCACCATTGATAAATATAGGGGCATGCGGAATGTATAGGAAATTTAATTCCTGTTAACTTTTCTTTTCTCTGAATGGAATATAATTTGTATGTGATTCAATTCAGGTTCTTTTTATTGTAATGTTCTTTTTGGTTAAAAAATACAAACCATCTTTACTACTTTACTGCTTTTTTTAAGGGGGGCGTTTTGCCCCCCCCCCCTCTTTTTTGGTTGGGGGGCTAGTGCCCCCCCCCCCCCCCCGCCTCCACTTCCGGCGTCTATGGTGGCTTAGACCCAGTAGATAACATCGATTGATCGATCTGTAACTAAAAAGTAAGTCAGCCTTGAATCTGCATCTTGTGCTAGCCGGGCAGCGACTCTACCACCAGGCCATCACTGGTCCATGGCACAGTCCTGCTGGTTCCAAGATTTTTTCTGATTTGTTTTTCAATTACAGATAGACCAAACGATCTTATTTACTGGGTGTAAGCCACAAATATGACTAAATAGTTAATATTTCTCCCAAGAGGCATAAAAGAATTAATCATTGATGAAAATACTTCATGGTAACGAACGGTAACGAACATTGAAATACATTACTACATATCACTATCAATTCGTATCATGCTATAAAAAAAAAAGTAAGGTGATTTACTCACCAGTAAATGGGTCTTCCATGCGGTCCACTGAGGTGGGAAAAAGATAGGAATTAATATAAAAATTAAATCTTGTTAATGAAAAGTGTATTACAGTCAGGTGTAATTCTGCGTAGCTAAGAGTTGGGGGAACTGTTCGGAATAGTTTCAAAAGCGAATGGTAAATCCAGCAACATCGAGTAAATTAATTTGCAAACTCAGGAGGTTTATTACGATTGTTTAATGAATGTCTGCGTGTATTGGCTGTGGACAGATTGACCGAATGAATGACTGTCGAATTTAATCGAACGCAAAGTGTATCACAGTCAGGTGGAATTCTGCCTATAGCTAGGAGTTAATGTGACACTTCGGAATAGTTTAAAAAGCAAATGGTAAATCCAGCAACATCGAGTAAATTAATTTGCAAACTCAGGAGGTTTATTACGATTGTTTAATGAATGTCTGGGTGCATTGGCTGTGGACAGATTGACCGATCGAATGACTGTTGAATTTAATCGAGCGCATCATTAAATTATAAGAAAAAGCAGATGATTCGGTGTCGGCCTACTATTCTTGACGCTTAATCCGTATCTGAATTCAGTTTTGCCCCTTCCCGCACAAGTTTTTACGTTTCATTAAATTATTAGAGAAAGTAGACGATTCGTTGAACCGTGCTCGAGTCACAATATTTCCACGATATTCTACTATTATTATAACCACCATTGATAAATATAGGGGCATGCGGAATGTATAGGAAATTTAATTCCTGTTAACTTTCCTTTTCTCTGAATGGAATATAATTTGTATGTGATTCAATTCAGGTTCTTTTTATTGTAATGTTCTTTTTGGTTAAAAAATACAAACCATCTTTACTCCTTTACTGCTTTTTTTAAGGGGGGATTTTGCCCCCCCCCCCCCTCTTTTTTGGTCGGGGGGCTAGTGCCCGCCCCCCCCCCCTGCCCCCACTTCCGGCATCTATGGTGGCTTAAACCCAGTAGATAACATCGATTGATCGATCTGTAACTAAAAAGTAAGTCAGCCTTGAATCTGCATCTTGTGCTTGCCGGGCAGCGACTCTACCACCAGGCCATCACTGGTCCATGGCACAGTCCTGCTGGTTCCAAGATTTTTTCTGATTTGTTTTTCAATTACAGATAGACCAAACGATCTTATTTACTGGGTGTAAGCCACAAATATGACTAAATAATTAATATTTCTCCCAAGAGGCATAAAAGAATTAATCATTGATGAAAATACTTCATGGTAACAAACGGTAACGAACATTGAAATACATTACTACATATCACTATCAATTCGTATCATGCTAAAAAAAAAAAAAGTAAGGTGATTTACTCACCAGTAAATGGGTCTTCCATGCGGTCCACTGAGGTGGGAAAAAGATAAGAATTAATATAAAAATTAAATCTTGTTTAAAAGTAAAAACACAAGGCAATCAGTCTACTTAAAATGCACACACATTTAAACATACGGGACTAGATCTAAGTTAGGCCTACATTTACTAAAGTTGGACCCCGGCCCACTCTCATTACGTCGAATAAACACAAACTTTGGTTTCTTACCGTACAAATGATACAGGAGTGAAAGAAAATTACTGCAGAATAGCGGATTATTTACAAGATTAAGATGTTGCTTCGATAAGAATCCCGTTGTTTGCAACGGGACAGCTGATCACGGCGAAGGTAAAAATGTACTAGAATTATGTCCCGGCATGCTTTGCGATGAAACAACCGTGAAGGTACGTATTCAAAATATGAAAAAGAAATTGGATTCACTTTGCATCCTAAAGCGCTACAATGGATTTTGTATAGGCATGTTTTTGCCCATGTATGCTATGTATTACAAGCAGGGGCGTAGACAACGGGGGGATGAGGGGGATGCATCCCCCCCACCTCACAAGGTGGGGGGGGGGGGGATGGCATGTACAATCATCCCCCCCCCCCCAGGTTTTGGGGAATGATATTTGCTTACTTAATAAGTCATAATGATGATAATAATAGTAATAATAATAATGATAACAATTATAATATTAATAATAATAATAATTATGATGATGATAATAATAATCCTCATCATTATTGTAATTGTGTTTATTGTTATTAGCCGCATTCACACGGTGAAAGCCAATTCAGACGGTAAAAAAAGAAAATCTTACAAGTATTTTGTGGTTATCTTGTGGTTTGGAAACCACAAGAGACCGATATGTTTGTTCGTTGAGCCATGAATGCTCCTTAAGTAAGTTTATACAACTTACCGCATGTCTCTATTATCTGATTAGCAACTGTTAATCAAGCTGTTTTGTTATTTTTGGTATGGAAATGAAGCAACAACTTTTTTCTTTTCATCGAGACTGTATACTTTTCAGGCACGAACCTAGTACTAGCAATACCTTCTCATATGTGATATGTATTATATTTATTTATTTATTCATTAGTTTATATCAGATTATATTACAGGTATATGATATTTATACATAATTTATATGCATTTATTTATTTATTTATTTATATATTTATATACACGTTATTTTCTCAAGTCGGTTTTTATTGAAATACATGTGTGGTCTGTGCAAAATGCATCAGCGCAATCTAAAACAGAATAGAAAATGAATGTGATACAACAGTATACATAACAATTCGTGACAGAGAGTACCATACTACTATCTTTATAACAAGTATTATTCAAACAAACATATATAATTATGTATAATCATGAATTGTTCAACTTCATGCTCCCACTATATGACTATTGCTACACTAATACTGATATCAGGACTGACTGGTATACATTAGTTTGTTGTTAAGCTTGCAGCAGCTACATATCTTTTCTGTATTGTTAACTATTTATTTATTTTTGTTTTATTTAAGATGCACTTTGTTTTGTATTCATTTAAAGTATGTTGATTGATGCATGAAGACATAAGTTTGAAATGTTTAAAGAAGTTTGTTTCATGTAAAGCGCAGTGTGAATTTACCCTGTCTTGAAATGCGAGATAAAAGGAACCTATTAGTATTAGCATTATTATTTGTATTAGTATTATTTTTTATTTGTATTATTATTATTATTATTATTATTATTATTATTATTATTATTATTATTATTACTATTACTATTACTATTATAAGACTGTGATCAAATATATAGAAGTAAATAATGCCCTAATTTGAAACGATGCAATGCCGTTATGGTTCCGATTTCTTCACAAACTTACAAAGCAGTATTGTTACTCCATGGATCATAGTGATACTGTTTATGTTTTTTTGTATCTGTATGTTAATGAGCCGCCAGCCAATATCCATCTATGGATTCTATGCCTGTTTCTTTGAGGTAAAAAAAAGCATAGTATGTACGTATTCATTATGCTTTATAATGAACAGACATATTGTTCAAAGTTTAATCGTTATTTGTTTGTTGTTTATGTGTTCTATTCACAAATGGCCACAGAGGCTGTTTTCATTCATAACCACATACCCCTATCAAGACAACAAAAACTATACCAGCGTGTACACAGTTGACATTGGTTTTTTTTCTGAAGAGGTGTAACAGCAAAATTCACAGAGATAAATAAATACGTAGTGTGGTTCAATATATGCAATCCTATGTGTCAGTCCATTCTGTATTCATGCCACGGTGTGTAGATCTTGTCGATGTATGTCTGTCCATTCAAGGCGTAGTATGTGTGTGTGTGTGTGTGTGTGAGTGCGTGTGCGTCTGTGTGTGTGTGAGTATGTGTGTGTGTGTGTGCGCGCTTGTGTGTGTTATTTTACCTCATTAAGTATGCATCAGATTGCACGATTTCAAGTTCAAAATTGCAAAAGCTCCCTACCGTGGGAGGGGGGACACCCCCCTCCCACACCCTCCCCCCGCTCGGTCGCTTCGCTCCCTCGCTCGGGCGCTTCGCTCACTAGCGTTGGCACCCAGTCATCCCCCCAGGTGTACGAACCTGTCTACGCCACTGATTACAAGAGCTCGCATGCACGGACAATTTTTTAAACGGACGCTCATTCCGTTATTACTGAGCAGAAAAAGGAAAACAAGGTATCAAAATGCTAGGAAAAATGTGCCAAATATGATGACAGAGAAAATTTGGCGATTTTAGGTTGAAAAATACCAGTACGGGCGAAAACGCGCGCGCATGCGCGTGTGCGCGTTTTTTTGCGAAACGCTTAAAATGGCCAGTGAAACGTATGCAAAATTAATTTGAGATGATTTAGAAAAATTTATTTTTTGCGCGCGCGCTAACGCGCGGACGTAGGCATGCGCGCGCGTTTTTGACCTAAAATAATTATTAATCGGACGGATAATGACCTTAATCATGATAAATATGAATGAGAAATGCCTTTCCGTTATGAAGATATGATCATGAGTAAAAAGTACCAAAAAACACAAAATGGCGCCTGGATGACGTCATGAAAATTTTGTGACCTTAAAAATGTTACTCTCACGTCTCATGACAATGACCAATGACTGTGCCAAAATTGAACGAAATTGATTAAACCGATCTCGAGTTATCCTGTGAACAAAAAAGTGGGAACAATAAATAAAAACTAGACATAATACTTGTTTTGAACAAGTATAGGTGGGCTGGTCCAACTAAAACTTAAGACAAAATAAATGGCACATTTGAGATAGCTAATTGTCTCAGCTACAACATACTCGAAGTTCATCGTAAACGAAGCTAAAACGACGGAGATATTGCTCGCAAAAGACGGAAATGTAGAATCCAGTTCTGAGAAAAACTCATGTCCCATAGAGAATACACGCAAAATGTGAAAAATTGACATTCCTCCTTTAATCGCAAAATTACGCCATGATGCTTTTGTCAAAATTAAAAATTGTGAACATTGCATTTGTAGAACATTGTCTCAGCTAAAACATATACAATTTTGGAAGAAAATTGATAAATATTAAGAGAGATACTATCAATTTTCCAAAAATATGATGACAACATAATATGCAAATTAAAATTTTGAGTTTGGAGGCCATTATGATGACGTCATAAGTTAATTGTGGGTAAAATAAGACATGAAATCATATCTCCAATTTATATTCTATCACAATATGAAAAAAGAATTAGGGTGACCTTGCATCCTAAAGAGCTACAATGGATTTTGTGTAGGCATGTTTTTGTCCATAATTATATTCTATGTAATACAAGAGCTCGCACGCACAGAAATTTATGTTAAACTGTCGATCATTCCGTTATTAATAGTCATAAAGAGACAAACATGGTATCAAATTGTTTGTAAAAATATGTGGAATATTATGAAAGAAAAAAAATGGCGATTCTATGTTGTGTAATAATTTTACGCGCGAAAACGCGCGCGCATGCGCGTGTGCGCGATTTTTTATAAAATGCTTAGAATGGCCTAAAACGAATGCAAAATGATTTTGAGACGATTTTGAGCATTTTAATATTTTGCGCGCGCATTGACGCGCGGAGGTACGCGCACGCGCGCGTTTTTTGACCTGCAATTGACCGGACGGATATTGACCTTGATCATGATAAATATGAATATGAAATAACCTTTGGTTATGAAGATATGATCATGAGTTGATTTTCGTAAAATTTTACAAAATGGCGCCTAGATGACGTCATCAGTGAAGGTCAATATTGAAAACGTTATTGTGCTTTGTACATATGCCTATACATATGTATGCCAAATTTCAAGGCATTTGATTGAGCCATTTCCAAGTTATCTTGCCAACAAAAAAGTGGTTAGAAATAAGAAAAATATATAATAAATAAATAAATAAACTAGATTTGTAATACTTGTTTGGAACAAGTATAGGTGGGCTGGTCCAACTAAAATTTGAGACAAAATGAAGGGCACATTTGAGATATCTTATCGTCTCAGCTACAACAAACTCGAAGTACAGCGTAAACGAAGCTAAAACGACGTAGATATTGCTCGCGAAAGACGGGAATGTAGAATCGAGTTTTGAAAAAAAGTCATGTCCCTTAGAGAATACACGCTAAATGTGAAAAATTGACATGCCTCCTTTAATCGCAAAAATACGCCATGATGCCTTTGTCAAAATAAAGAATAATTAGAACTGCATCTGTAGAAAATTGTCTCAGCTAGAACGTATCAAAATTTGGAAGAAAATCGATCAATATTTACAGAGATACAATCAATTTTCTATAAATATGCTGACGTCATAATATGCAAATTGGAATTTTGAGTTCGGAGGCCATTATGATGACGTCATGAGTTAATTGAGGATCAAATGAGACATGAACAAATATCTCCGAATCATACTCTATTAAAATATGAAAAAAATTGGCGTCACCTTGCATTCTAAAGAGCTACAATGTATTTTGTATAGGCATGTTTTTGCCCATATATGCTATGTATTACAAGAGCTCGCGCGCACGGAAATTTTGTTTAACGGTCGATCATTCCGTTTTTAATAGTCATAAAGAAACAACCATGGCATCTATTTGTTTGTAAAAATATGTAGAATATTATGAAGAAAAAAAAATGGCGATTCTATGTTGTGTAATAGTTTTACGCGCGAAAACGCGCGCGCATGTGCGTGTGCGCGATTTTTTATAAAATGCTTAAAATGGCCTCAAACGTATGCAAAATGATTTTGAGACGATTTTGAGCATTTTAAAATTTTGCGCGCGCATTGACGCGCGGACGTACGCGCACGCGCGCGTTCTTTGACCTGAAATTGACCGGACGGATATTGACCTTGATCATGATAAATATGAATGAGAAATAACTTTTGGTTATGAAGATATGATCATAAGTTGATTTTCGTAAAATTTTACAAAATGGCGCCTAGATGACGTCATCAGTAATGTTTAATGTTGAAAACGTTATTGTGCTTTGTACATATGCCTATACATATGTGTGCTAAATTTCAAGGCTTTTGATTCAGCCATTTTCAAGTTATCCTGCCAACAAAAAAGTGGTTAGAAATAAGAAAAATAAACTAGACATATAATACTTGTTTGGAACAAGTATAGGTGGGCTGGTCAACTAAAATTTGAGACAAAATAGAGGAAAATAAGCGACATACTGCTTACAAATTCTTAAAAAACAATATCATGTAGATTCATAACGTGAACTAAATTCACCTTCTATAGGCATAACACGCAAATTATGAAGTTTTTGACATGAGGCCTTTAATCAAAATTTTCACTATGATGACGTCATCAAAATGAAAAATAATTATTACTGCGCTTGTAGAGAATTGTCTCAGCTACAACATATCGAAATTTTGAAGAAAATTGATCAATATTTACAGAGATACAATCAATTTTACATAAATATGCTGACGTCATAATATGCAAATTCGTATTTTGAGTTCCAAGGCCATTGTAATGATGTCACGATACACTTAATGGCCAAATGAGACATGGAATCATATTTCCGACTCATACTCTATCTAAATATGAAAAAAAATTGAGGATCCCGGTGCATTCCAAAGAGCTATAACGGATTTTGTATAGGCATGTTTTTGCCCATATATGCTATGTATTAAAAGAGCTCGCGCGCACTGACATTTATCTTGAATTTACGCTCATCTTGTTAATAATGGTCATAAAGAGATAAACATGGTATCAAATTCCTTGAAAAAATATGAGAAATATCATGAAAGAAAAAAAAATGGCGATTCTATGTTTTGTAATGGTGTTACGCGCGAAAACGCGCGCGCATGCTCGTACGCGCGATTTTTTATAAAATGCTTAAAATGACCTGAAACGTATGCAAAATGAATTTGAGACGATTTTGAGCATTTAAAAATTTTGCGCGCGCACTGACGCGCGGACGTACGCGCACGCGCGCGTTTTTTGACATGAAATTGACCGGACTGATATTGGCCTTGATCATGATAAATATGAATGAGAAATGATTTACCGTTATGAAAATATGATCATGAGTAAATTTTCAGAAAATTTCACAAAATGGCGCCTAGATGACGTCATCAGTCAAGGTCAAGGTTTTAAACCTTACCGTGTTTTCTCCATATGCCTATACATATGTGTGCCAAATTTCAAGTTATTTGATTTAGCCATTTTCAAGTTATCTTGTTAACAAAAAAGTGGTTAGAAATAAAATAAATAAATAATAATAAAGGCAATTTTAACAAAATTATAAGGTGGTCTGTATAGATACAGCCCACCTGATAATAAATAAATAAATAAATAAAGGCAATTCTAACGAAATTATAAGGTGGTCTGTACGTTATACAGCCCACCTGATAACTAGATTTGTAATACTTGTTTGGAACAAGTATAGGTGGGCTGGTCCAACTAAAACTTAAGACAAAATGAATGGCACATTTGAGATAGCTAATTGTCTCAGCTACAACATACTCGAAGTTCAGCGTAAGCGAAGCTAAAACGACGGAGATATTGCTCGCAAAAGACGGAAATGTAGAATCCAGTTCTGAGAAAAACTCATGTCCCATAGAGAATACACGCAAAATGTGAAAAATTGACATTTCTCCTTTAATCGCAAAATTACGCCATGATGCTTTTGTCAAAATTAAAAATTGTGATCAGTGCATTTGTAGAACATTGTCTCAGCTAAAACATATACAATTTTGGAAGAAAATTGATCAATATTAAGAGAGATACTATCAATTTTCCAAAAATACGATGACAACATAATATGCAAATTGAAATTTTGAGTTCGGAGGCCATTATGTTGACGTCATGAGTTAATTGAGGGTAAAATAAGACATGAAATCATATCTCCAATTTAAATTCTATCACAATTTGAAAAAAGAATTAGGGTGACCTTGCATCCTAAAGAGCTACAATGGATTTTGTGTAGGCATGTTTTTGTCCATATATTCTATGTAATACAAGAGCTCGCACGCACAGAAATTTATGTTAAAAGGTCAATCATTCCGTTATTAATAGTCATAAAGAGACAAACATGGTATTAAATTGTTTGTAAAAATATGTGGAATATTATGAAAGAAAAAAATTGCGATTCTATGTTGTGTAATAGTTTTACGCGCGAAAACGCGCGCGCATGCGCGTGTGCGCGATTTTTTATAAAATGCTTAGAATGGCCTAAAACGTATGCAAAATGATTTTGAGACGATTTTGAGCATTTTAATATTTTGCGCGCGTATTGACGCGCGGAGGTACGCGCACGCGCGCGTTTTTTGACCTGCAATTGACCGGACGGATATTGACCTTGATCATGATAAATATGAATATGAAATAACCTTTGGTTATGAAGATATGGTCATGAGTTGATTTTCGTAAAATTTTACAAAATGGCGCCTAGATGACGTCATCAGTGAAGGTCAATATTGAAAACGTTATTGTGCTTTGTACATATGCTTATACATATGTATGCCAAATTTCAAGGCATTTGATTGAGCCATTTCCAAGTTATCTTGCCAACAAAAAAGTGGTTAGAAATAAGAAAAATATATAATAAATAATAAATAATAAATAAAGGCAATTCTAACGAAATTATAAGGTGGTCTGTACGTTATACAGCCCACCTGATAAAGGCAATTCTAACGAAATTATAAGGTGGTCTGTACGTTATACAGCCCACCTGATAAAGAATAATAATAAATAATAATAAATAAAGAAAGAAAATTCTGACGAAAACAATAGGTGATCTGTCGAAAACGACAGACCACCTAATAATAAAGAAAGAAAATTCTGACGAAAACAATAGGTGATCTGTCGAAAACGACAGACCACCTAATAAAGAAAATCTTGACGAAATCAATAAGTGATACGTATAGACTTCGTACGTATCACCTCAGGCGCGGATCCAGGATTTCTAAGAGGGGAGGGGGGGGGGGGTACTGAGCACTACACCCCTCCCCCTAGATTTGCCACTGCATCTAATAAAGAAAATCTTGACCAAATCAATAGGTGACACGTATACTTCGTACGTATCACCTAATTAGGGGTAACCAACCACGCTTATTTGCAGCAGATCACCTAATAACATTAAAAGGCAACCAAAGTGTTGGTTAACAGGTTACTGGACCTATTTATGAATTCAATATCATTACCTGAATTAATGGTTTGTGCTCCAGCGAGTAGAACCAAGTCATCTGGTATGGTATACCCGTTAACCGTTCCAGTCACTGTGACGTCACCATCGATAGACAAACCCGTGTTAAATGTAATACCACCTGTCGCGAGGCTCTGGGATCCACTGATCTTCAATATCTGGAAGTGCACAGAATATATCCAGATTTCAGGGTATAACCTAACAGAATCATCTTTAGAAAAAGTTATATTCATATTAATTTTTTCCAATCATAATACCATTTTCCCCCCTTCAAATATTTGTAAGGTATTACTGATGAACCTTTAAGAAAAAGAACCAGAACTTGCTTAGAGTTCTATAATGCTTAAATAAGAATTATAGATAGTTCAAGTTGTTCATTTCACGTGAGATTATTCTATGGATAAAACTCTATCATGATCTGTTTATTCACAAAACATTTAAGGAAGACGAAATATCGATAATCTGATGATCTTTTCTAGTTATTACTTTACACACATAACATTCATGAAAAACGACATGAACCAGGGCAAGACTAAACATTTGAATTCAAGAAGCTCTAAACTAAACGCTGTTCACATCCAAGCTCTTAAAAGTCACTGCAAAGGAAACGATACGGCTCACGAGTCAAACCCCTATTTATAGTTCAAAACTATAAAAGTGTTTTAATCAAACTCGTTCTTTTTATTCTATGCTGACCAATAAAAAATAAAAGTTGCAAACTAACTTACGTTTGTATCAAATGCTGAGAGATCTTCACCATTTATAGTTTTCGTGTTCGCCATTGTCAAATCACCAGAGATGGAAACTGCATCAGAGAAAGTCTTGTCACCTGTACATGCATAGATTAAATGGTCAGAGTTGAAAAATGATGATCACTAAAGATGGAAAATGATGATCACTAAAGATGGAAAATAAAACACCACAAAATTTTGCAGAAGAGGGGCATGATTCTAACATTTGACTGAAGTTTAATTTTCGCATAATTATCTTCATGCAGCCCCAAGATAGAGGAAGTGCAATGAACACTAACGGATAAAAACAAAAAAATCCTCCGCTCTTCTATTTGCTGAGTCCCACAATCTTGTACAATTTGATTTGACAGAGTCGTTTTGATATATTAGTTTGTCCAATTATTTATAGGACTGTGAGACCCACAATCTTGTAAAAATTTGATTTCACAGTACCGATTTGATATTATAGATTGTCCAATCATTTATAGGACTATGGTTATTGTATATGATTTGAAGATGAGACATAATTCTTCGGCTGCCCTTAGAAAAGAATGGACTAGTTTAATGTGTGGTACGTAACTTCAAAGCGTGAGGAACTCCTAAAATTGTCCTTTTGTTTTCTTCTTCCCCACCACTTGTAAATAATCAAGACAAAAGACCCACCAGCTATGTCTCCATTTTGAGCAAGAAGGACAAAGTCATCCGGGATAGTTTGACCATCAATAGTACTCTGGAGAGTAACGGCTCCTGAGAACTCGATAGAACTTGTCGCTTCCACCGTCACCTCAAAGGTTTGTTCTCTCCTCTTCGCTAGGACGTCATCATAGAGATCTTCTACGTCAACACCATTGACGTCCCCGGATACAGTGATGTCACCAGATACTGATGATCCATGTGGAATAAATGAATATGGTTTGCTTGTTAGTTTCATTTCCAGGTCTGGGAATTTCATGACGTCCGTTTGATTTGTCAAGAAATTCATTTTACAGATAGCAAATCGTATAAGATGTCTTAATATTGGTTCAATTGAACTTAATACATATTTGACCTGGAGTTAGATTTATCATTGGAGAAGTTAGTAAGAAATCTGTGATTGCGCGATATGTGATTTAGGCAGTTAAAAAATCCATACATATTTTGCAAAACATGGCCGCTCACAATTTTTGTATATGAACCCCACAATTAAATTCGCTTACTTTGTGGAAAAGTAATTAAAACGAAATCGTTTCTATACGCTCGGAAAGACTTTATTTGTGTGTTTGTTCAGATTGAATAACCAAGCTACTCATATTGCACAAAACATACATAATGAAAAGTAAAGAAATAAAATGTTCAAATTTGGATTAACTCTTACAAGTTTTAATAATAACTTTTAAAGGATATTTTTTTTAAAGCATTATACATTTTGCCTATTGATTACAATCACGATATAGTTCCTTTTTTTTGTATAGCGCACATATTGCAGATTAGCTTTGTGCTAAACATGTTACCCAATAAAGTCTACTACTATCAAGCGCTGTTGCTTCTGGCACTCTGACATAAGAAACCAATGCGAAGTGGTTGAAAAAGTAAGTCAGGTGCCAAACGCATACCTGGTGGAGAGTGACACATATAAGAAATATACTGTCTTGTCAAGGGACTTCACTACCGAACGTGGTTTTGAACCACACCCTTCTTATAAAGGATAAAGTCAGATATAACGAACCACTATACCCAGAACGCACCTATTACATTGTTAGTGAATGTTTTCTGGCCAGCCATGGACTGCGGTTCATCGATGATTTTGATGGCAGTTGCTGCATATTCACTCAGATCGACGCCATCTACGGTTTTTCCTTCAGCCACAATGGTATCACCGTACACCATGATGTCTTTAGTAAATATCACCATTCCTATATGAGTGGAATTTAATATTTGTTTAAGTCATCATTTTTTCATCTTTACAACATTTTCTCGCTTTTACACCTTTTAAAAATGAATACATATGGAAACTAATACTCATTAGCTCTTGTTCTGTGGAACTCTCTACCCTTTTACTATTACATATCAATTGGAAATATATATTCTCTCGACACTTTTAAGAAAGTCCTGAAGACCTGTCTTCTCTTAAAGGAGCACGATGAAGGGGACAGTTCACACTCCTTTGATTGTCACAAAGAAATTACTTCCCATGATGGTAGACATGTGACCCTCCTTTAAGTTATGTACAAAGAACTCAAAACTTTGACCTTCTTTCCTTGTCGGCAATTATTTTGATATTTATCGTAAAATCTTTTTAAAATCTGTATTTTTGTAAACAATTGTCGTCAAACTGAAAAATTCAAAATTTCTTTCATAATTTGTTGTTTTGCTTGTTGGAAATTTATCAGCTAATTGGTTTATAAATTTTTCTGACACACCTCATTTAGAATGATCTATTGAAGCTCCGACCTACTAGAAAGGGGGATATAACCAAGATTTGTAAGAAGTCAATTTTAAGGGCTATTCAAATAGAATATTGTATCGCCCATAGAAGTCGTATTCGTATTATTGATTATGTCATATAATGTTGGTACATTCGAAAAGGGAATACACAAGGCTATATTAAAATTGCCTCGGATAGAATTCTTAGAATATCTTTGGGATCGTGTTTACAATGTCCTCCAGACGGAATACCTGTGATAGTCTGATTGACGTAGATAAGGACCGCCTCTTCTGATAGATCGATTCCATTCACAGTCCCAGATAAGATCACATCCTGTTGAGCTTCTACTCCGCCATCAACGATTGTTAACCGTGAATCAATGGTCTGTGCTCCAGAGAGGGTGAACACACTCTCAGATATATCTATACCATTGACATTCCCATCAACGATAACGACATCTTGGCTTGTTAGGTCATTAAGGAACGTTTTAGAGGCTGTGGGAGACAAATGAGAAACTACAGATTTACTCATTTTGAATCATAGACTTGGTCAGTGGTTTCAACTTATATACTAGCTTATTTGTTGTTAATGAAGTGATCTATTCGTCATCTCCCAGATTCAATAAGGATTGTGTGCACATATGTATATCCATGATACAGGACATGGTTCCAAGTTTGTGAATCCTGAGAGGATAAATTAGCCTGTAAAACTGTTTCTTAGAACACTTGGTTTGATCATGGACCTATTACGGATGGACATTCATCATTTTCTTAACGAATTCATTGTGATTGTCTCCGTCAATGTCATCTCAATAACATTCCGTACATGTTTCGTCACTTTGATCTCATGATGGTCACCGCCAAAAAGCCGGGACAGAATCAAGATAGTGATTTTACACATGTTAATCTACATGCGCAGAAGATAATAACTCGCCTAAATCATGGAAAATCGATGTGCAGTTCTGGCTTATAATCGGAAATTGTTGTTCCGTGTACTGTACATGTATTTTATTTTGAAAAACACGTTGATATTACCAGATAGAGGTTATTTTTGGAATTTTGGGTTATGATTTAAAATCCCGTTTCCTCCTAATTTCCTCATAATATTCCAGAGTTACAAAGCACAGGGCTTATAAAGATCATGGCCTTCTAACTGTTTTATAAGGTCATGTGCGAAAGTGTGTGCGAAAGTGTGCGAATCAGTAATAATACATTTCATATCACCAAAATCGTCTGCTTTTCAACTTTGCTGCTCCCCATTGGGGATGCTTTCACTTAAGACACACTCTGACAGAGCTCAGCACACCATCCAAACAAAACCCAAGAGAGGGAAACTGCTCCTTTGTCAATGACCGAAAATGCTTACGCAGTCGTTATTGTTAAAACAGCTGAATGTTCTCATTAAGATGCACATAATTAGAAGGCGGCGACGATCATTGGATCAAAGAAAAAAATCACGTTGAATGTCCATCCGTAATAGGTCCATGGTTTGATACACTTTGCCAATCGGGTGATATCTTCCATGAAATATTGATTTGTTACTCATCACCCGATTTAAATCCAAGTGGTATACCTTCAGAACAAAACTCTGAGGATGTGTCACTTCTTTGCTTGTCAGATACTTAGATCTTTTAGAAGATCAAGGACGAAGAAAAAACACCCGATTACTTTTATTCTTTGTCATTGTTTAAAATATTGTGCCCCTTTTTGTTTTGAAATCATGGATTGCCCTTAGATTACTGTACCTGTAATGGTCTGATTAGTGTCATGAAAAACTGCATCGTTATAGGCACTTGTAAAATCGACGTCGTTGATAAGGCTTCCATCTATAGATACATCGCCCGTGATGTCGACGGCGCTATTAAAATCCACATCACCGGAGAGAGTGCCACCGCTGGTGATAGACAACACCAGACTGCTAAACTCGGATACATCCACCTAATAGGAGAATAAACATTACATTCAGAAAACATCTCATGCAATCAGAGGGAGTACATAATTTGTTTGGAAGAGAAAATCAAGGATGGTATAATTTTTGAACGGTCTTGACTCCCACATGAGAGGTCCCTGGACGATCTTAGGCAAGGAAAAAATGAGTCCCTGCCAACCAAACCAATGCTGGGATAAGAATTGCAGGGGCCCCAGGATGTGGCTACCCTGGGCTGATAAGACCAAATTATTGTTATCATTGCAACACTAGGCGGCTAAACTAAGATTTATCCACCTAAAATCACGAAAACGAGAAATAAGATATATTGGAAGACGTCTCTATGCTCCTAAAATAGTTTTTTTTCTAAATCGACCAAATTAGGAATATATTACATAGCTCTATGCTTGTTAATTCAAATAGTAATTTCCAATATCAATCACTAGATTGAAGATCAGGTGCCCAGTCGTCAATCACAACTAGAGTGTGAAACGCGTATTATTAAATGGCAGACACCGCTATTTGTCGCGAAATAAAAACTTCACGGTCATCGAAGTTCTAACTTTTGTTTTCTTAAAAGCTCCATAATTTGGGTATGCAATGTTTTCAATACGCCCTGTATAAATGAAGTATGAATTTCAGTCGACTTACTGTATCCACGGTTTTTCCTGGTGAGACATTCATAGGCTGACTCAGACTGATTTCTTGTGAGAATGTCTTGGCTCCATCCACGGAGGCACTACGACTAGACACCACAATATCCGTGTTCAAATCCAGGCCGTTAATATCACCATTGATATCAACGTTGGCGTCAAGATCGACATTAGAATCGAATGTTTTTAATCCACCAACCGTTTGAGAAGATCCTTTATCCATGACGTCGTCTAAATAAGTAGGGGCGACAAAAAGACAATATTTCTTTGTCAGTCGATCAAATAATTAACATGTCGCAAGACTCTAAATGATAAACACAAACAATGGTTTATTCAACAGAAACAATGGGGTTTCATAAGCTTTTAACGAATTTAAATGGGATTGATTAAAACGCTTTCAAATGAAGAAGTGTAAACATACACTCATCACGAGATGTTGAACTATCGAAGCAAGTTCTGGAGCCAGCATAACGAATATTGTTTGGGACACTATGACAATCAATGAAACATACGCTACATTATATATTCCTCTAATTCATATAACAATGTGGTGAATTCTGCTTCGAACTTCTCAAGTGGGTCTCAAACTAACATTATAAAACAATTGATTCAATTAAATTTAATCATTGATTAATTTATTTATATAACAGAAGTGAGTCTTCTATTGGTACGAAAAGAAATTAAAAAGAGAAAAGTCAGCTTGTGACACATTATCTTTTTGACGAGCTTTAACTTATTGTTTTGTTTACCCCTTAAAGCACAGTAAATCCTTGGCTGAAGGCAAATAATACTTCGTGAAAACACCCCTTTGAAGTATCCTGCATTGGCCGAGCCGGCATATACTCATTCCCTTTTAAGCCCGGACAAATGATACTTGGAGAAATATATTCCCTAGCTTTAGTAGCTCTAATTAGTTAGATTGTAGAAAATGGAACAACATTCTGAAATATTATGGCCCCTCTAGCGGTGACGTGCCTAAAAGTCGAGTGGATACCCCGACGGACTGTCTATCAAAAGGTCCGCGGTTCAAGTCTCGTCGCGGCACTGTCCTTTTTAAGACATTGATCTACATTTGCCACACTCCACCAAGGTGAGGTAAATGGGGACCTGGTAGGAATTTATTCCTTCAAACGCAGAGCGCGCGACAGCTGCTCTGCTTAAGCCAGGGTAATCACGATGCACTATATTAGAGACTTCTGATAAATTAAGCGTTAGGCGCTATATAAGCAAATATAATTTTGTATCATTATTATCCTGTTTATCGATCAAGTTCTGGGTTCTCCAACCGACATGAGCTCACCTGGTACAGTAATAGAATTGATATCACCTGATACCGTTACAGCTGTTCCTACTGTGAGGTCATCAGTAAAATCCACCTGACCCGTCATTGTCTGCGAGCCGGTAAATCGTAAGGCATTATCATCAACGTATGATAGGTCTATGTCATCATTGATCAAATCATCCTGTGATGTGAACGAATCGGCTTCGGCTTCACCGCTTACAACCGTCTGTCTGGCACTTATTGTAATCGAGCCTGCAAGAATGGAAACAAAATGTACAGAAAAATCATCGCCGACGATTCTTTTATCAAAGACACACCGTTCTTTTGAATTTAACACAAATGGCTTCTCTCGTACCTATGTATTGCAATATGTATTGCAATACTAATCATAGCTGTAAAAAGATGGTAAAATATTGAAATGAAAATTGTTCTTACAATGCAAGAAGAAAATAAAGTTCAGTATACCATTACGTGTGTAGTGGTGTTTGAGGGTAGGACCATAGAGACAGGGGGAGTGTGGAGAGATTATATCATCTACACCTCACGTTGCATTTTCCGTCTCCTTTTCTTCTCTCCTTTCACCCCTCCCCCAACAAAAAACTTTACCCCATTTTATTTGGATGGGAAAGTGCCCCCATGCCCACTGTACAAACGCCACTACATTAAATTATGCGCTTCAATTAACCCTTTCCTCGTTACCGTGTACATTTTAAAGATACAGTTGGAGAGTATCCAATTGATATGATCAGATCGAAGAACTTACCAAAAGTTATTTGATTTAATTACAGCTAACGGTGATGTTTGGTTGAAGATTTTTTTCCTCTCTCGATAATTCCAGTTTAATAACCCTAACCTTTACCCATGGACCCTGGCGCAAGGCAATGTCGTGAAGCGTTCCAAAATGTATCGTCTTGACAAACACGAATATAAAGCATATCGAATAATTCTTGCTGTGATAATCTGACCATGGAGCATTACGAGGAAAAACGTGTCATTTAGCATTTTTTAATGATTTTGTAATTACTAAGGTTTACCTACTTTATATCCATTTTTGTCGACTTGATTTTACTTTATTTAGTTAACTTTTTTTTGATTAGTCAAATTAACATAAAATAACATAACGATGCGCAAACGTTGACAGGAACTGAAAGAAATTAATGCAGTCAATTTAGATCAAAAGTAGAATATTACCTGGGATAGTCTGCACTGTAGATTTAGTAACAAAGCTTGGAGGATGAGCTCGCAGCGATCGAGAATTATTTCCATTGTTTCCAATAGCTCGAATCAGCTCAGGATCTACTTCATACGGCTGCCCACTCTGAACCTCAAGCGTTTTGGTCTGAAGGATCGGAAGCCTCACAGTTCCTACAACGGAAATCAATTAAGGACCTGTGAGTCTGAAGCCGAAACATCTTTGTCAAAATAAAAATCGTTTTGAATGAGATCTTTGTCATTGCTCTGTTTCGCTCAGTCTAGTCAGGCAAGAGTGGAAACTGAGACATTCCTATGTTTGACAGAAGAAGAAAAAAAGGAATAGAGAAGAAAATAATCAGAAACAGAAACAAGATAGGTAGGAGAAGGGAGATACAGAAAGAAACATATATAGGGAGAGATACAGATACACAGATACAGAGAGAGAGAGAGATAGAGAGAAAAGATAAAGAGATAAAGAGATGAAGATATATATATATATATATATATATAGAGAGAGAGAGAGAGAGAGAGAGAGAGAGAGAGAGCACTAGGGGTGATAGAAAGAGAGAGGGAGAAATATCGGGAGAAGCTCTGAGAGACAATGACTAGCATTATTGCAGATGGAAACCGGGTAATGACCGAGGAGTTGATTATCGTAAAAACAAAAGGAAATCACATAAATGTCCATGTGGAGTTAAAAAAATTACTTGTGTCATAGATTGTAAATCGGTCCAAAACGCTGAGTGATCATGCACTGCATTTATTATCTTACTTTTAAAGCAGATTTTGAAAATGATCACTCGTTCAAGACCTTTTCTTCGGTGTAGTAACAGAGCAATGAAATTGGAAGGAAAACAAAGTAAGGTGGGGCATGGCGCCGAATGAAATATTTTGATTACGTAGGTAAACAAATCATGCAAATTCACCTGTAATAACAATGTTGCTATTGATAACCTGGCTATCTTTGGTCTTACTCAAGCCACTCTCTTTCAAGGTCTTGGAGACACTTGTGATGTTTTCGATCCCTTCTTCAGTTGACCCTGAGAGTTTTTTTAAGCAGCTCGGTAGATGAACCCTAGTGACGTATGTTGCTAGAAATAAAACCAGGAACGTGTTCATGAGTTCAACATTTGTTGGTTATCGTACGAATACTTTGTAATTAATGTTAGGCTTGTATGCAATATCATAGAACAATGTTTAATGTCATAATGCTTTCACATATCAATATCTTTAGAATCATACAATATGTATATTTTGTATCGTTGCTATATTTTGAATTTGCATAAGAGTATAATTTCGTACGATCTTGATGCCTCATTTATTCTCATTGCAAAGCTCATCACATCTAAATTTTAAAAGCTAATTTTGCGTTTTATTATTCATTACATCTTGGTCATAGCCATCCAATTGATATCAATGACCATTTTGTTGAAACTCATCAGGGTGTTACCAGGGACGTACAAATCATGGTTAAAAATCTACACAATGTACATTTGTTGATAATTCATTATTGAAGGAAAAAATATCTAAAGATCATAATTGAGAATTCAATGATGAGAGCAACCAGTGGCATGAATAGCCTGTCATATTTAAGTCCAACTTAAAGTCGATCTCAGTCTTTGTGAAAGACCTCCCTGATGCCTAAAGATATGTTTTGATAAATCGTAGTTATCCCCTTTCCAAATCTTACTTGTGTGATTGACATGTGTGAATGAAAAGCAGTTTGATTCCGTCAGGTTTCGATGTTCTGTGGTCCAGAACACACCGCCAGATGTGGCGATGTAATCAGTGCCATCCACGGTGAATGCCTCGATGTGGATATCGGTGAGTCTGGTAGAGGGTTCGTAGAGGTAGAGATCGGTGTCGGCCTCTTCCCACTGAGCATTGTCAGTGAACTCGTAGAAATGAAGTCCCTGTAACCATAGAAACCATTCAGAAGCATTTCATTCAACACACATTTCTCTCTCGAATGTTATGTATCTATCCACCCATCGATGCCTTTTTTCGTCTCGTTACTATCGACTATCGGCTATAATGACACAACGCGATTATCATCAAACGCACGTTGAGTTGCAATAGTTCTCTTAAAGCTTATCTGTACTAGTGTACGGGATGGATTAGATCTCCCTGCAAGGTCACTTGACAGGTGGTTATCTCATCAACTCAGCTCTCAATTAACATAAGAAAAAGAGGATCATGGGGGACTAATGGTCAACGATTATGCATTGTTTGTTATATAGAGGGCGCAAGTAGCTGTAAGTAGTGTAGTAGGGCTATGTTCAACACTTTATTAGACGTAGCTGCATAGTCTAGTGCCACACCTTTGGATAAAAGCCATTACGTTACAAGCTTCCTCGATATGCACATTTCTGAAACTGCATCAAAATAATTCTTGGCATAATACTTACCGTCCGGTCAACTGTTACAAGAAGGTTAGGATCAAGCTCCATATCTAAATACTCAAAGTGCATGGCGCCATCTGTGCTTATGGTTTGATACTCAATAAACTGTTTATCTGTGGGAAATGAGATAGAAAATCATCGCAACACAGTTATCACTTACTTCAAATCCACAAGCATTCAATACAAATTACTATTGATCTTTCGTTCTGCATTCGTATAAGTTTTACCCATGATTGGTGCTTTTCTAAAAGCCTTATTTTGTAACATTCTATTTAATAATATCAGGAGATGACGCTACATTTAAGTCCTGTATAAAAAAGCTATTCCCCAGGTAGACGAGTCGGTCAACTTAAGTAGAACTTCGATTACACTCCATTGCGTTGCAGCGTACAACACTTCATACAATTCATCGTTTTAAGGTGGAATATTTCATAGAGAATCTTTTTTTCTTCAAATGCTTCGGTTAAGAAAGTGACAATCAAGTGATTCATTTAGATGCCTCCTTTGGCTGCACAATACTGGGGGTACACTCTTTTTTTTTTATTCCTGGTTCTGTCCTCTCTTTTAAGTATACGATGGGGTACACAAATATATTGTATTATATTATGCTGTATTGAACATCATTGATTAACATCAAAATCCTTCTACTAAAAAGCATAGTAGGTATTATAATTATATAGGTATTGAAAGTAATAAATCAAATTGATATTTGAGATATTCAAATTAACATATTCCTTTAGGATAACACAAAATGTGTAAAATAAACTCACCGGTTGCCCACCAATATATGGAGGAGTCTGTCAGTGTAGTCTCTGCACCGTCTACAACCTCAAGATAGTTGCTAATAGCTAAGTAGTTGTGATCTTCTTGTACGAAGAATGTGACAGATTTAGGCGCTGAACTGTACATGATTTGTAACTTGATCATTTCCACATCAGCTTCATCGGTTGACGTATCTGCCATATCAAGGAATAATGAATTGTTTGTTTTACCTGACTGCTAACAAATCATGTGTATGATTGCGAGTAAGCAACTAGGGGACCGACGGCTTAAGGTCCTCTCCGAGGGACTTAGCAATGAAGATGAACGCCTTTTCTGTACCAAAGGGCACTAGCGCATCGATTTGGTTTCGAGACCACCGCTCTACCACTGAGCCATCGCACCTCCAGCATAATTTATGAACAAGTCATGTTTCCTAGCTTGAATACATCTTTAGTGTCTTAAATTGTAAATATATCACTCAGACGTCAATGGCTAACCATCTTTTGCGTATGGTGAGTGTCTGTTCTTTGAAGGAATATAAACAAATATATGTTTATATGTTCATGATTTGCTAGAGTAGAAGATAATCTTTCTTTTAATACTAAACTCACGAAACATAATTATGTTACTTGTTCTCTCTCTCTGTCTCTCTGTCTCTCTTTCTCTTCCTCTCCCTCTCCCCTCTCTCTCTCCATCTCCCTCCTTTTCTCCCTCTTTTTTCCTCCCCAAAAAGGACAGTCGCTTGTGATCCAATGAAATAGGATGCCAATACTCCACAAAATATGTATACGGAAATGTTCAGACATGTTGAAATAACATTCTGTAGAGATCCAAAGAAAAGAGGTACCGCCTATATAACACTTACCCACATACATATGGTACAACAGAGTACCTGGAGTATAACCGCCGCCGTTGGATCCATATTGAGATATAGCCACGTATAAGTCTAATCCAATCACTGCAGTAGCTATATCACTTGCTCTTTCTGTATCAACAGACGCGACTTCATCAAAATGGGCTCCCGCAAACCTGTATATACTGTGGAAATGGAAGCAGGCAGAAAGATTGTTTACTTTCATTTCGTGAACAACATACATTGAAAAACGTGAAGATGATATGGTGTTACCCCGGAGAGTAATTAAAAAACAGGTTCAGAACGAAAAATTACATAATCAAAATTTGTTGGTCTTTAAGTGCAGTAATTGATGAAGTTATACCATACTTATACCATAATTGGCAAAGAAAATATTACTTTTCAGAATATTTTCAATGAATGAAGTAAGTTTAGATTCGAGAAAAAATAGCACAAACACATACAAATTACCTATCACGACTCTACACAATTTTTTTGAAACCACTCCTTATTCATAAACGGTACGAAATCATGCGATCTGACTAAGATATGAACCAACCGACTTACTCGATTCCCCTTTATAAGGCTTATATACGGTCCGGGACGGAACCAAAGTTTTGTTAGGGCACAGGTCTTAAAGAGTTTAAATAGATTTTTACAGGCTATCGTTATATTCCTTAAAACAGAAAGCTATTATTATACAAATATTGCATGCTTCGGCGTTTGATATTAGAAAATAAATGAACCGGCCCATTTTGAATTTGGAGGTGAATATAATCATGTTATATTGAACAACGATGCTTGCAATATTTGAAATGAGAATATAAGAAATAGACAATAAAGTATTGTGAGACTATAAGTGGCTTACCTGGTTGGCGCCATATATCGGAACAGGGAGTCGTGCCGACTATTTGCGATACCTAGGTACGTATCCCCCTCGTAGATGAAGACTTCTAAAGCAGACACTCCATATGTCAATATATACTGCACATGAGTGACCGAAGGCACAGAGGGGTCAAAGGTCAGTATTTGCGATAGTCCTTCATAATCACCGGGACCAAACTGACCACAGGCCACCGCTATGTATGTCTCTCCTTCGAGAAGGAATGGCTCAATGTCAGTCACACCCTTCGTTGAAATAGTTACTCCTGCAATTTAAACATGTTTGCATGTTTAATCAGGGCCACATCGGAGAACCCAAAACACAATAAAAATCATAAATGCACAGATAAAGATAATTTTGTTTAATTTAATGTGAATATTATCTTTCTTTGCATTTACTGAAATATTTTATCGAATCATTCCATCTTCATTGCGAAAATAAATAAATCAGGTACGAAATCTGTCACAGATAACAAAATATCGGCATGACCCGTACTCATCAGACGCCCTCCCTTTTACAGACGATTATTTCATTCTGAGGAAGATCCTACAACTATCCCTGGGTCCCGTCCTTTAAAGCCTGTCTTAAATACTTGGGCCAGGAGAGATTAACACTTTCTGCGTGGTCACTGACAGGTGGTTATCTCATCAAATCAGCTCTTAGTTTACATAAGAAAAAGGCGATCATGGGGGACCAACGGGTACCGCTTAAGCATTGTTTGCTATATAGATGGCGCAAGTCGCTACAAGTAGTGCGGTCCCGCTTTAAAGAGTTACAATTGATCAGAATAAATCGCATGTTTGCAATCTCCTATCTCATTATGTACATAGGTGCGATTGATCGCAACTGCTTATAAGACGGGGTATAGGATTGAATATGCTATACCACTCCGGGAACTTCCAGCAACTCCCCATACAGCAATCACATCCTGAAAAAACACGCTCGTACAACTACTCCATATTGATTAGAAGATATAATCTACAAAGTGGACTAGTAGCTCTAGGGGTGATGGTTCGTGTGTAATTGTCCCAGGGACATTGATTCTGAAGGATTTTGGGAAGGGGGTGAATCACACTCAGTCACACGTCTAAACCTTACTTCAAACAGACCGATAAGGCAACAAAAAAAAAACATTTGGTTGTCCTCGATTGCTTTTCTCGGGTAGGGGCGGGCGGGCGGATTTTTGTTTTGATTTTTTTTTTTAACTTCATTTTTTGTGTGTCTTTTTTTTATTTGATTTTTGGGGGATTTTTTTCCATAAAAAAATAAATCATTGGGATTTCAAGCATTTAAACAAACCAAGTCTATATATCACTTTAATATGGTAAAAGAGTAGTTTAATGTACAATAAATATCAAGACCAACACAGAAAGTATTTTTGGCTTTGAAATACAGCACCTTTTAAATCTCCATTGCTCTACTTATAGCTACTTGCGCCCTCTATATAGCAAACAATGCCTAATCGGTAACCATTGGTCCCCCATGATCCTTTTTATCTTATGTTAACTGAGAGCTGATTAATGAGACAACCACCTGTCCATTGACCTTGAAGTGTGGTCTAATCCCTCCTGTAAACTAGTACAGATGGGTTTTAAAATGAGTTTAAGAATGCTCAGAACCTGATTTGAATGAACGGCATTTTGATATAGAAAAAAAAAATGGCAAGTTTAATAAATACAGAATTGCGTACTGAAAATACCAAACTGCCAACGGGACGCATTTTGATCCTTGCAAATGCATAAAATGGTATGTTTGGCATTTAAGATTGCTCCCCCCCCCCAAAAAAAAAAAAAAAAAAAAATGAAAAATGAAAAATGAAAAAATGATGAAAGAAAAAAAATTGGAATTAAAAAAAATATTAAAAAAATAAAATACGAGCGGCCCGAAAATGACAAGCCGGCGGTCAAGAACAACCAATTTTTTTTTTTTTGCCTAATCATGAATGGACAAACTCGTAGCAGTTTGGGATAATGTTTCTGTTCTTTCTTACATTCCTAATGGTCTGCGCGGTCGGTTTGATCGGTGTGACTTGGGTATCGTGGGAAACTGCCCCACCCCTCCATCCTGGACCCGGGAGTTCGAGAAAGAAAGAATGGTAGATATATTTACCTATAGGAGTAAATGCTCCTGAGATGTACTTGTAGATCTCTGCGTCCACTTCATATATTCCCTCATCAACTTTGTTGAAACCCACTATGACGTAATCATCACCTTCACACGAAAAGTATTTGATGATTGAGATGTTTGTTGGAAAGCTCGCTTCAGGCTGGATATCCCAAGATAGGTCCTCATTTACGCGTAATTCTAAAATGTAAAGAAACGTCAGGTTAGGCATGATACCTAACCCTAATAAGGCCGGGCTATTTGAGGTCTTAGTATGGCCGGGGGGGGCCATTATGGCCCCCCCCCCCCTAAGATCTCGGCCGCGAAAATTTGCACGCATGTCAAGTGAAGTGTATAGAATAATATGATAATTTCAATTTTTTGAAAAATGTACTCATTTGCATATTTATGGTAATTTATGCAAATAAAGTCATAAAACTCACATTTTTACCCATAAATCATATATTATTCATAATTAGGCATTCTTTTTCACTACATATATTCATTAGACCATTCTGAATAATAATACAACAAAAAAATTTGGAAGAGCCAGCTTATTCCTTATGTTATCCCTTGTTTTGATAATTTCTTATGTATTTCATTGTTTTTTTAATTTATGTATTTCATTGTTTTTGTTGTTTTATTTCATTTCTTACTACAATTCAACTATTTTGACACCCAAAACAACCACCTAAACTTTAAACAAGACCCAATAACCCATGTTTGATCTGTTTTTAGGAAAAATGACTTTTCCATATGTTTTGTACACAAATCACGAAAATGAGCGATTTTCGGGCTGACATGCAAAGACAAAAGGTCACGTGACCTTGTAACCGTAGGTCCGATTTTCAAAAAAATTCTTTTCAAAGTTGCGCAAGACTCGAAAAAAAAAAGTCAGCGAGTGGCGCGGCGCCATCCATATGCGTTCTCGAGCAATCAGAAAAATCGTGGAGGGGGGGGGGGCCATAATGGCCCCCCCCCCCCGGCCTTATTAGGGTTAAGCGTCGACATGAGGTGTCATGGTATAGTGGTTCATTCACTTGACTCTCAAACTAAGGTTTGAGGGTCCGAATCTCAGTCCGGCACTAAACTCTTTTTGCAAGGTATTTATCCACATTTTGACCCTTTTCACCTACAGTACACGCCGAAAATCTCCGCAACACGATTACACGATTTATTTTTAGGATTACACGGTTTACACGATTCACCTGAATCGTGTAACTGTGTAATCGTGTAAATTTACACGATTGAAGAATGTCGCTCTGAATCGTGTAATCGTGTAAATAGTTAAGTGCATTGGTCGGATGATTCGACCATATGTAACAATCGTGTAACTGTGTAATCGTGTAAATTTACACGATTGAAGAATGTCGCTCTGAATCGTGTAATCGTGTAAATAGTTATTAGGGTTATAAGGGCATTGGTAGAACGATGTGACAAGCTGCAACAATCGTTAAATCTTATCCTGCTTACACCAATTGCTTTATACACAACTTACCTTCAGTGTACATCAGTTAATTACTGTACTTTATATTCGTGTATAAACCTCAGCACTTTCCACTAACATGTATCGTGTACAAATCCGTGAGACAAGGTAGGAAAACGTCAGAAACAGGAAGACATGATAGATGAAATAGTAAAGGAAAAAAGATAGCTACGAGGAGAAGGGAACATATAAAAGGAAAATGAGGGTTGAAAGGCACGATAAAGATAAACAGAAAAAAGAGAGAAAAAAGGGAAAACTAAAAAGTTGACCGGAAGAAAAGAAAGAGTGAAATAGAGTGATAAAAAAAAAGAAGGGCAAAACCTAGTAAAATTAACAGAAATGAGAAGGCTATGAAACGGAGAGGAAAAGAGACAAATTAATAAGGTAAGAGGGGAACATAATGAGGGAAAGAGAGGCGAGAAAGATATGGGGGAATGGAAAGATATTGAAAGAAAGAGAGAGAGTGTGAGAGAGAGAGAGAGATAAAAAAAAGCTTTAGTTGAAAGAAAAGGGGCACCGATCAGATTTTAATAGGGTCATTTATCGGTGTTGATGGGGGCATTTATCAAAACTGAAGAGGGGCACTTCTCGTACTTAAAGAGGGATACTTACTAGAGATTAAAAGGGGTGTGTGTCAAAAGAAAAGGAGCACTTATCAGAGTTGAAAAGGGGAAGGGGCACTTTTACAAATTAATAGGGACACTTGTCAAAGTAAAATAGGTACTTTTCCTACATACAAAGGGGCACTTTGGGGAAACTTGAAAAAGTTGGGGAAACTGTGCCGCTAGCTAAACGTAACTCAAAGACAGTTGGCCATTCACTTATTCTATTCATTCTCGGCTTGCAACTGTTCCCTACACTCTGTAGCAGTGGCTTACATACTTACGTACATGTAATACCAATTGTTCAGGGGGATCCTATGTTCAAGGGGAACCCCCTGAACAATAGGTATTATGTAAGGATCTCTGCCCGTAGCTAGGGCAACGGCCTTTGTCCCCGGCGTGGGTCAATGGCAGGCCACATTCACAGTAAGCTTCTTTTGTATGTGACAGGAAGTGTGCCCTTAAGCCTTGACCGTAGCTCTTTATACATATAGCTGAATAATGCAATGTTGTAAAAGGTAATTTACGAAAATGAGGAACGCTAAAAAAGCAATAAGTGATCAAAGTCTAAGGCCCGAATTCACAAAGGAGGTTTGTCGACAAACCTTGGCTTTCGTGCGTCATATGACGCGTTTTTACAAACCAGGTTTGTAAAATGGATAATGATTGAATAAAAAAAAGTATAACGATATTCATAGTAACGAATGAGCTGGTGAACCGTAATTCTAATTGGTACAGCCTTGTAATGTAAGAGTATCACAACATACTTAATTATGTTAGCCCTCCTTTACATTTTGTAATCATTTTTACTTATTTACAACTTAGGAATAACAAAATTCCCCCCTTCCTTCGTCGTTCATCGCTTTTTTCTTTTTTCGGGAAGTGGACTGATTTTTTTAACTTTCAAACATTCTATAATAAAACTAGAGACAAGACACTGAAATTAAAAATATATACAAGAGAAAGAAAGCGTAATCTTCGCTATCCCCTCGTATCGTCCACGTTGTCCTCGTTCAACCAAGAAGTAACTTCTTGCTTTTACTGAACTAGACGTCCTTAACCTGCTCACCATCACCACTGAAAATAAATTGTAACTCAATTCCAGCGAGCAATCGAATCGTGTAAATTTTGAATCGTGTAATCGTGTTGCGGAGATTTTCGGCGGGCAGATTACACGATTACACGATTCGACCTGAATTGAGGAATCGTGTAAATTTACACGATTACACGTTTACACGATTCAAATTTCGCTTCATTGGCAAAAAACGAATCGTGTAAAATAAATGGTTACACGATTCCCGCGAGCAGTCGAATCGTGTAAATTTTGAATCGTGTAAATCGTGTTGCGGAGACTTTCGACGTGTACTGTAGGTATCAGTGGGTAACTGGTAGTATGGGTAATTATAATTGCATGGCCCTCAAGAACAGGCTTTAACCTGACGAGGCTTCCCCTGGATAAATACAATTACCGTTATTATCAAAACGATACAAACAATAAATCAGTTTAATAATTTTAAAAGGTCACTAGTGCCATTACATCAGTATGAAAAGGTAAATGGCTTTATGCTTACAGAAAGTCATGATTCTTAATTCTTACATCCTAGACACATGCAGGTAACATAATTTAAAGAAAAGTCTTTTGGGGTAATTTTCTTTGCGCTACATTATCATTATCCGAGCTTTCGCACGTCTGCCATGATTCAGAAACCCAAATTTTCCCTACTTTGGAGTTTATAATTATACCAAAAAAGAAATAGGTTTCATAATTCCGAAAAAGAATTTCTTAATTGAAAAAAGGACTTGTTACAATTGTGTAAGGCTAATTATGGTGCCAATTGCGATGTAAATGTATAATAACACAAAGTAATACAATAAGCGCCAAACATTAATGGTTACATAATGGAAATAACGATCTTACCACGTTTCTTGCGTCTGTTGTACTCCAAGGTATTTTGAGTGTAGGTTGTATGAAGCTGTCTTTGATACTTTTGGAGAGATGAATCCAAGTATTGTCTGAAAGCGGTCAAGATCTCCCCTTCTTCACTGGTCAAGTCTGCCATACCTGCACTAGGATGGAAATCTTCTGGAAGGGTCGAACCCTCAGCTCCATAAGTCAACCATAACGTAATGGCGAGTAAGAAGGGGCCAATTAGAAGCACCTTGGAGAACATACTGCTCCTTTATCAAGAACACAAATTGAAGAGTGTTGCTTAACAATCAGATATAATTAATGATCACAGAAATGAGCTCTATAGAACTGATAGCGATTTTATAAAATATATGAACATGTACATATTTTTGTCTACAACTGGTTTATTATCGTTCTGTTAACATGATCTGGTAATTGATGCAAAAATAATGTGTGGGATATTAGACCACCCTTTAAAAGATCTATATAGCACAAGTTTTCTAATTGTTAGATCCAATAAAGCTTATCATCTGATCAACGATTTAACGCTTAGATTACAGTAAAGTCACGTAATAATTTAAAAGCATAATCTCTAATGATTGTAATAAGTCTATCAATCAAAACATACAATCGTACATGTAAATATACTCATACCTGTATGTCAGCGAGAGCAAATCGAATATCCTGCCTTGCAAGGAGGTGGGATGCATGAAGACTAAGCACACAGTCTGACCAACTCTTAACATCGAGACGATGGACAATGAACAGATTGTCTTCGATGGGTAACCGGTCAAGAATTCGGTATTAATTAGGCCAATTTGCGCACCCAATAGTCGTATCGAATGCATTTACACAACAGACCATTTCACAGGTGCATCCCACTTTCATGCATTCTTCTACTGCAAATGGTTACTAGTGAAAGTTTATATTGCATAGCAACAACTAATGAATGCAACCCTGCATTCTTACCGATCAAATATAACAATGCATTGAAGCAAGTGGATGCAGAGTTCGTGACGAAGCTTTAGGAGATGTTTAATGCCGTTTAATTACTTTTGATTCCAATTGAAAACTGGTCTATTATCCCATTTAAAACGTTTTTTGTAATCTTTGGGGTATACCTGGTAGTAAAATTATGTGAGATGTGATTGTTTAGAACGATGCAGTTTTGTTGTGGCCAAATACACAGTGGTTAATTGTTAAAAGTTCTTTCTAATTTCATTTTCAGTGTGACCGGTATTTTCTCCACCTGCTCCTCCCTCTATATACAAGTTTAATTTTGTGTTCTAATTCAGGAATACTTTCTTCTTCGAGCCCTGGTGTCTTCCCATTCATTTCGCATGTAATGTACAATAGAACCTTGGGGTGAAATCGCCTTTCATACATTATTTGTTCCTGTTTAGGGCATACTGGCAAGGGGATACGACTATCATCTTGTATCATCAACTTTTAATTTTCATGCTGAACTTACGGAATCCGACAATGGACTCGCCCGTTCGTTTCGAGTACGAATAGGGACTTTTAGATTTGCGTGGACTGAAACATGTGACGTCCATTCAAGGCAGTGCATTAAAAGGACGTCGATCGTAGCAATCCCCATTGTCTTCGTGCGAATCTAAAAGTCCCTAATGTCGGTGTGTTTGCAACCAATCTTCTCCACTAATTTTAAGTTTAAATCTTGAATGAATACAATAAATCTTGAATACAATGAATCTTGAATTATGAATCCATGATAGATTTGATTTTCTTTATTGGTATATAATGATCAACCAGCAGCACAAAGTTGAAAGGGTCAATTTACAAAAGTACAGTGATGTATATACATGTACAATAGTATTACAAAGCATAGTCAATAAATCGGTAACATAATAACAACACAATACTACAAGTAAATATAACAATAACTGAAATACAGGGAAAAGACATGCACCGTAGGATTAAGGCATGCAGGCTGAAACAGTGACACTATTTTATTGACTCAAAATTAAGATAAAAAATCTGCAAGAAAGTGTAGGGGGATGAGAGTTATTTAAAGATTCTTACAAGGTAACGGATGGTGGATTTACGATACCTTTCAGTAGTACATTTATTTGTCGGAAAAGCAGTCATGTTGCGCACCTGTCTCATGCTCGAGACGGACTTGGGAATGGGCAGAAGGTGTTTGTGGTGATCAGAGTTCCTGAACTTCTGTCCAAAACTTAACCAAAGTAAATCCCTTCTCGAAGATAATGGAAGTAAGGTTGGTTATGGCAAGGGTTTTCGTATAATCAACATTATATCCTGCAATTATTTTTAGTGCCCGTTTTTTAACCAATTCCAATTTATTAGTCTCATTGGTAGTAATAGAAGTGTCCATGCCAAACAGGGGAAGCATATTATAAAATGGGTCTTATATAGGTTGTGTAGACAGGCACCATATCAGCCAAACTTGCCTTTGATTTCCTTAGTATACAAAGCGTGTACAATCTACGCGATGCTTTAGCAACAATTTCTGCAATGTGTAGACTCCATTTCAGATCATTTTGAATTGTGACTCCAAGTAATTTGAGATTTTGGATACTATTGAGTCGGGTTGAATTTAGGTGGAAAACAGTATGGGGTGTAAAGTTCTTTAAAATGATATAGTCATGAGATTAAATTTGGATGGTTAAGAAGCACATCATATTGAAAGACGATCTAGTGAATATTGCAGTGTGGGATTAGCGTTACGTTTGACAATTTCTCCAATTGTCAACTCGTCAACGTACTTCCACCGCGCCTCCCAATCAACGACAGCTTCACTAACAAGAATCAGAAACAAAACCGGGCCCAACTTGGTACCCTACGGTACGCCACAGGATACCTCCAGTAGGGGAGAGTGACAATTATAGACCTCAGTGCACTTAATACCGGCAGTTAGGAAGCTGCACATGATTGGGGTGATCGATATACGAACACCCTATAGAATAAGCTTGTTGACTACAATCGAATGATTCACCCTATCAAAGGCCTTAGTGAAATCAATGGTAGCTAGATAGGCGTATTGGCCAGGATTATCAAGGCCTTCAAGAACAAATTTAAGCAAGTATAAAAAATAGTGTACAGTGGGACAACCCTTAACATTTCCAAACTGTTTCTTATCAACATAGATTGATATATCCTCCACTACCCACTTTGCGACAAATGATTCGAGTGTCCTAGAAAACAAAGGGGTAAGAGATATCGGTCTTAACTGGTCAAAAGAACCAATTTCTTTTTCATTCGGTACATGGGTGATGATGTTTTCCAGTCATTGGGAAAAAAGCCTTCCTGTAAACATTGATTGAATAGGTAGGTTAGAAGTTCTGCGAGTTTCCCAGCAAACTCCTTGAAAGTTGCAATGGATGTTAATAATGGATGTTAATAATACAATAGATGTTAAGTAGCATATTACAAACCTATGATTTCTCCTCACTTCTATTTATAACTGTTTGAATATAATATGTGCAATCCAATCAACGCATTATACCTCAAAGTATCAGCTTCTAATATTACTTCGACAAAGATTATGATACCTTATTATACAAAATAGACATGAACATTTTTTTTTCTTCTCCATCTATTATATCGAAATCAAACTTAAACAATTTTAAACGATGTTCTTTTAAAGCGCTGATAATCATCAATATTGTCCCGGAACTCTTTACTTAAAATAACATTTAACATTTAGACAATGTCGTAAAACATGAGTATTTTCAATTGATTTGCCCCGTACACATCTGGACGCTTGATGGAAAATTAACAACGTTTAGGGAAAACATTTAACATAAACAACACCACAACAGCGGCCACTGAAATAGGAGAAGACGATCGGCCTACCTTTTTGATACGTTTAGATTTGTAAATCTTATTTTTTTCTTGTTTATCTAATCCTCACAAACTCCTTATGAACAGAGGGATGTGAACTACGTTTTGAAACTCTATGCGTACATGATAACTTTATTAGTCTCTTCTGATCACGGGGCTTTTATCTCCATTGTCGAACCCCGCAAAGACCGTTGGTTCCAATTCATCCCTCTAAGGTCTGAATAGGACCAACCTCCGTTTAGGTTGGCCCAGTGACAGGCATTATACCACCATCCTCCTTTATAGAGAATGGCGCAGTTTTCATCTGCATTTCCATCGCGATCACGATCTAGAGTGGTGAATTGATGTCCGTTGTGAAAGATCATCGCATCACCTATGGAGAAAATAGTAATGATTATAATAATTATAGTTACCCAACGGGCGAAACCGCTAATTTGGAGGTTTGAGACGTACATAAGATGTTTTAAAAGGTGGACTACCTTGAAAATATGCTGCTGGTAGAAAAAAGGCAGCTATTTTCAAAATGGCTGTAATTGACTTTGAATGATTTTGAAGATTACTTTTTAACACAACTTCACTTTACAATATGTGAGTTAATTGTCGTATGGAAATTTGTCTTTCAAATGTCGTTGGCATTTAAACTTTTTATATTTTTTAAACCTGCAAATGGCACATAGTACCTTTAAATTGTATGCTCTTTCATATTTGACACTCAGTTTGTCATTATCTCACCCCAAAAAAAGATCTGTGTAGCGCCCTCTATTCCAAAACTCAAGTATCCCTTCAAATAAGAAAGATGACGTTTGTACAGATTTCCGTATCTAATATAAAATATAATTGCCATTTCTTCGAAAATAGGATCGGAGGAAGATCATTATAGAATGCGGTGGGCTTAAGAAGCACAATCGAACCTGCATTTGAAGAAGTTGCGTTGTACGTGAGATATTTTAGGCGATATCCTTCACTCTCATTAGCCACACGAAAGTTGTTATACAATGCCGTCAATGATTGCCCGTTTAGGTCCACCATGTATATACGGAGCGTATAATCTCCTTGGTATGTGATGCGATGAATGATATCATTACCAAGCCAAAACTCTGCCTCTAAATCACCGAAGCCATTCTTGTATGCAGCCCAGTTTTGATAAAAGTCTACAGTGCCGTCCTGGCGACGCTGAAAGACCTGCGAGAAAAAAAAATGATGTATTATAAATTGAAGTGTAAAATTAAGACGATGAAGTTATTTAAAGCCCTGTCAGTGTGTAGAGCTTACTTGTGGCTGATGTTTCTTGGAAATTTAGGTGTACGTTCGCGTTCGTGACATGCAAGTTTGACATAATGTTGTTTTCGTTAGCGGAGGTCGTTTTTATAATTTTGAAGATGTTCAAAATGTTGATCGTGTGACAACGTAATGAGCGATATGCTATGTATTTATGTTGAGCATTCACTGTTGGAACGTTTTGCACATTCGGTGTACGTTTGTTCGTTGTCCGCCCAAATACGTCCAACCCATCTGGAACTTTGCATAGCGAATGCACAACGTATACATAGCGTTTGTCTCACGAATGGCCGCGTTATTTAGGGAGGGACAACTCACTTCTTTAAGAAATGTTATTTTACACGGATCTACATTTTTCGTGCCACAAAAATCTTTATACTCTGTAACACATGACAAGCTAGGATATTTCATTAACTTAATCGAATATTTTATATTACAAATGAACATTAATTTTGAAGGAGTCAAGGCAATCTCATATAACACTTTAAGTGCAAGAAGTGGTTTATTGATAACTTTATACCATCATCCATTAAAAACATTTGATTTGATTCGATTTGAATTAATTTGACAGGGTTTATTCAAAATATAACACCCAATCCCCCTCCCCCCCCCCCCCTAAAAAAAGAAAAATCGTGGCAGCTAAAATCTTTATTGAAAGTCTATTACAATTGTAACACGATTCTAAAGATTCAGAAAAAAAGCTGTGTAATTAAGTCATTACCCTCGTAGACTTTCATGATTGTCCAAAATACATGTATAACACAAAATAATGTTTAGATATGAATTTGGGGGAGTAAACTTAGTGGTACATGTATAATATATTCGTCCTGTCCTGCGAACACAGGTGTTACTGAGCAGCAATTTATGAGTCCACATGGAACCCCAAGTGTTATGATTTATGCACGAATTAAACTCTATTTCAGACGTTGTGGAGGTCGTGTTTGTACATAGACCTTCACATATAATTTATTGGATTTAAAATTTCTTACAAGCCATCCACCAGCTTCATCAATGTTGCAATAGACGTCAATCGGTTCTTTATCCACCACGTTAGAGCCGGGGCAAATCGTGTAGACTCCACTTATCCTCTCACCTGTAGCGTATATCTCGGAACAGTCTTTCAATAACTTGTCTGAAAGATGAACAAAGTCATATATTGCCTAGATTATGTGGGGAAGATATATAACGCTTGTTTCGGCGACAATATTACTTCGCGGCCATTCTTAAAAAAGCGAATTCCTAATTTCAACCCTGGTAACATAATCCTAAACCAAACTACAACCCTATAACCGAATCCCAAACAATGTTAACCCTAACCAACGGTGTCGATTTGTATCTGTGGTTGGGGGATGAAAGGTGCCAAAATATTTTCGGCAATGGATCAAAGCAACCAATAGGTAGAAGCGTGTGGCAGGTTGCACCCCCTCCCTTACAAGTTATTAACTTTTTCAAATCACCCTCAATAAAGATAAAATTTCAGAGAATATGGGACCCATGTGGGTCCCACATGGGCTTGCAACTTGGGTTATTATCCTCTCAAGCGCGTAACAAGGATTTTAGTTTAGGGGGCGGTAGTGAGCTTTGATGTTTTATCAAATTATTAGAGAAAGAAGACGATTCGTTGTACCATTCTCGACTCTTAATCCTTGTCTGAATTCAGTTCCCCTTCCCTCCCGCGCGAAGCGCGGAAGCTTTGACGTTTCATTAAATTATTACGCAAAGGAGACCATTCATTGTACCGTTCTCGACTCTTAATCCTTGTCTGAATTCTGTTTCCCCCCCCCCCCCCCCTTCCCGCGCGAAGCGCGGAAGCTTTGACGTTTCATTACATTATTAGAGAAAGATGACGATTCGTTGTACCGTTCTCGCCTCTTAATCTTTTTTCTTCCTACGTCCTCTTTCTTTCTCCCTCTCTCTCTCGTTTATGGCCGGCGTTTGTTTGTTTGTTGTTTTTTTTTGGGGGGGGGGGGCGACCGCCCCCACCGCCCCCACCTGGCTACGCGCCTGTATCCTCTCTGTCTCTCATTATCTCTCTCTCCCACTCTCTACTTCTTTTTTGCCCTTTTGCGCTTCGCGCTTAACATTTACCTCGTTGCTTTTTAACGCTGCGGCTTTGCATTTGGCGCACTGCATTTCTATGATGATGTTGATTGAATAAATTGAATAAATTGATCAATTCCTGATGAAGCCATATGAGCGAGAATTCAATTTATTCTTGTCTCATATACGGTTGTCTCATTTACGAATGTATTATGAAAATGAGATAGCAAAATGTGTATATTGATGGTCATCTTGCGAGTAATAACCATTAACTACTCTCATCGGTCTCTCATCATTAATTTTTCTCTTCATTTTTTTTTTGATGGTGAATTATTGGGGGGGGGGGGGATGAATGTACAGGCCATCCCCCCACCTGAAATATTGGGGGGGGGATATATCCCCCCATCCCCCCGGGATCGACACCCATGACCCTAACCCTAACCTAAACCCAAGCCATTATCCTACTCCTTTGAAAAAGTAAAGCATTGAGCAAATGTTTTCAGATCAAATATAATTAGGATCAGCTCTCACAATCGTCGCTAACTAACATAGTAGTAACTAATCAAACCAATAAAAATATAATTATATGTCAAAAAACGAAATGTAATCTTAATTTATTAAATTCAAGGGCGTAACAAATCCTTCAATGATTTTCTCGAGAATCCGAATTAAAGTTCCATATTCCTTTCTCCCACAAATGTAAGTGAAGTGATAAATAATGTTAACATTTTACTCGTTAAAAATTGCGGGGTCTGACGCAAATCCCAAACTCCTTATTGAAGAAACTTAATAGCGTGATCATTGATCCCTTGGCACATATTTTTAATCTTTTTCTTAACGGATACCTGACAAAAAAATTATACAATCGCTAAAGTATTACCACTTTAAAACAAAAACAGATAACAAACATGTCAATAACTATTGTCCCATATCTTTTATTATACAAATTTCTTGAAAAAAAATTCTCCACGCAAGAACATCTGCTAGTGCTATCCTTTAAAAAAAAAACGATATTCGCGAGCAATTTTGTCCTTGTAATGTAATATTGTTACTTCCATCCAATGTTGCCATACTGTTGGCATGTTCCTGGCCTTTTCCACGGGCTTCGATACTAATAACCATGAAATACTTCTTCATAAACTACACTATTAGGCCCGAATTCACAAAGGAGGTTTAGATTTAACCCAAGGTTTAACGCGTCATAATACGTCATAACACCGAGCTTTAGACCATGGCTCATTATTTTGGTATTTACAAAGGAGGTTTAGATTTAACCCACAGTTTATTAAACCGTTGGTTAAATTTGAACCTCCTTTGTGAATTCGGGCCTTAGAGGGAAGGCGTGATAGTGTTTAAGAAATAAGTGAATGTATATGTATCTTGTACATGCTTATAATGAAACGAAAATAATTCAACACACACACACACAAAAATCGAATCTAACATTGGATATTTCTATATAGCGCTTATATCCATCATGCAAGGTACTCACGGCGCTCCAATAACTAATGATTCCGGTACACCCGTTTAGGATTCTTAAAGGCTTTTACATGAGTGATTGATATTTAGTTCTTACCTTGGCAATGGTTACCGGAGCTGCAGACTGAGCACAGGCACTCATACCCATCAAATGTTTCCTTACAGGTGCTTCCATGAAGACAAGGATTCAATAAACAGTCTAGGATAGAATGGCATGTCAAACGAACGTGTATAAATATTTGGCTTCTAAATTTCACGAGTCAGAAAGGAAAAAAAGAAATCAAGATTAAAAATCATGCCTTTTAGGGGTAGGTGAATTAAGGCCCGCCCAAACTTGTTGGAGCCTTTTTGTCTTCCTCGTGCCACAACTCCCCCCCCCCCCCCCCCCCCCCAAGAGAGAAAGCACTTTGGTGACGGTTTCTAGAAATCACGTTTTTTTAATTTATATGTATCTTGTACATGCCTATAATGAATCAAAGAAAAAAATCAAACATTCGATATTTATATAGCGCTTATATCCACCATGCAAGGTACTGTAACAAATCAGTGTTTTAGTATTGGACGAAGGTTAAGCATTTTCTGTTGTACGCGCATGCGCTATAGCAATATGGCGCATCGTTGATTTAGCAATTACCAAACTGAAGGAAAATGAGCATAAATTACATATAACAATCATGTTGGTGCAATTATCATGTTTCTTTTGGGGATATTATTTGTATAGTAGTTATCTAATCAGGAATAAGGGGTTATACTGAAGATTATATGTGAAGATTTTAATGGGATTAGCAGAAATGTTGGGTTGAAGTGTTGTTTTACTAACGAGGACATAATTGTTCTTTTATACGTTTATGTATAGGGAAATTTTTAGGATGGTGAGGATTGTGTAATTAGGACTTTCCACTGCACTGCTTCCGATACAGGCCAGCCTCACCGAGGCTGGCCTTATAGTTGGCGCTGGCCTTAGTCTTTAGTTGAGTCTCACACACATAGTTTGTACTGTACTTGTGCTGAGTTAACCCTGAATGTTGATTGGATCGCATTAAAGAATTTCGACATACAACTCATGATTGGTTTGATTGCTTGGAACAGTGAAACCGTAGTTAGACAAAGGGATGAGAATCAGTGACAGGTATTGACAAAGCATGATTGACTGCTCGAGGGATGTTCAATTGATTGATGATGTGCTCAAGACGTTTTTAGGTGACCGATTGCAGTCGATGGACGAATGATTGTTGAGATACACGTGTGAGCAGTAAATAACTCCAGCCATTAAGCTACGGGCATATATTTTGTCCAAACGGACGGAGAGCGCCTGGCCGACACGGGGCATCCTGACAAATATTCCGTGTCAAGCCAAGGTGGCGAATCGTGTCCGTTACAGTACTCACGGCGCTCCAATAACAAACGATTCCGGTAGACCCGTTTGGGATTCCTGAAAGCTTTTACATGAATGATTGATATTGAGTTCTTACCTTGGCATTGATTACCAGAACAGCAGGCCGAGCAGAGGCACATATACCCATCAAATGTTTCTTTACAGGTGCTTCCATGAAGACAAGGATTCGACAAACAGTCTGGGGTAAAATGGCATGTTAAACGAATGTGTATAAATATTTGGCTCTTAAACATCATGAGAGAGGACATAAAGAAACCAAGATTAAAAATCAAGCCTTTTAGGGGTAGGTAAATTAAGGCCCTTTCCCATTTTTTGCAGTCTTTTTCTTCCTCGTACCATCACCCCCACCCCCCCCCCCCAATCCCCGAGAGACAGAGAGAGAGAGAGAGAGCACATTGTTGGCGGTTTCTAGAAAATCACGTTCGTATGAAAAAAAGAAAACAAAATCACAGTGAAATGATTCTGTGTCATATGTGTATTCCTATCATATCCCAAACAGGTAACTTTTTAATTCAATTAGTTCAATGAGTTCGATTTCCCCAAATAAATCAAGAAAAATGCCTATAAGGACAGCATAAATATCCAAATCTGATTTATAAGAGAAAGAGTTGCCCTTTTGTCTTTTCTTTCACCCTATTGCGCATCATAAATTCCATCACTTCATTTTCGGTAGCAAAAACAGATTTTGCATCTTTCGTGAATAAGATATACATGGTATGTGGTGAGTTACCTGGTTTAGCGCATATCAAGTTCAGATCAATTCCCTTCATCTCAGTACGATCTGCCAATAGATGATCATGTGGTAGTCTTTTAGGCACCATTTGGATGACGTCATCAGAATCTAGCGATGGAATTGTGGGACAAGACACATCGGATATCATGGGACAGCTGACGTCACCATCCGCCAGTGCTGCATTGAATGTAATCCAATTTAAAATACAACATGCACAAGAAAAATTTCATAGGTTGTTCTTAAATGAAAATAATAACCATAAGCAGACTACAAGGGAAATACGGGTGTCATTATTTCCGTCTTGACATGTTACAATCAACTTATTTGAAGGTTTTGCACATCCTGATCACAAAAAAAATCAATCAAGTGAAACAAAAACACGTACAATAACCTATCTATCTATCTATCAGGCTATAGTTCATCCAGACCTTTGACAAAGCCGTCCTAATAACATTTCCATTCTCTTCTGTCTCTAGCTATCCTAGTCCAAGCGGCTGTTCCCATGTATGATGCTAGGTCATCTCTCCATCTTCTCTTCTGCCTTCCTCTTCTTCTCTTTCCCATCCTTGGTTGCCATTCTGTTAAACGATTTGTCCATCTATTGTCCTGAAGTCTTGCTACATGCCCAGCCCATCTCCACTTTGATTCTCTAACTTTCTCCATGATGTCTTTAACCTTTGTTTTCTGGCGTATGACTTTGTGATTGATTTTGTCTCGCAGAGCTAAATGCGACATCTTTCTCACCATAACTCGTTGAGTAGTCACAAGCTTCTGTTCTAGATCCTTTGTCAATGACCATGTTTCTGATCCATATGTCATAGTTGTTAGAATGCATTGGTTGAACATTCTTCTTCTTAGTGACATGGGTATGTTTTTATCGGTCAACATGTCTTTGTATCTTCCAAAGTTCATCCATCCTGCTTTTACTCTCATCATAACTTCTTCTTTTGTGGTGTCTTCCATTTTCAAAGTTTGTCCCAGATACTTGTAACTGCTCACTCTCTCTTACGTTCAACCTTCTATCTCGATGTTTTTTATCTGTGTCATAGTTAGTAATATATTTAGTTTTTTCTTTGTGCATAGTTAGGCCAATACGTTTGCTCTCTCTGTTTAGACCTGTCAGCTGGTCTTCCAAGTTTTTGGTTGACGTTGAGATCAAGGCCACATCATCAGCGAATCTGAGATCAAGAAGTGTTTCCCCATCAATGTTTACTCCTCAATTTAAATGCGACTTTTTAAATACTTCCTCTAAAGTGGCTGTGAACATCTTACGAGATAATGTGTCTCCCTGTCGGACTCCCCTCTGGATCTTGACCTCCCTTGATACATTATTATCAATGCGAATTCTGGCTACTGCGTTGGTGTAAATATCTTCCAGGATGCTCACATACCCTTCGTCAATGTTAATCTTTCGTAGGGCATCAGACATGTCTGTGTGTTCGATGGAATCAAACGCCTTCTGGTAGTCTACAAATCCAAAGCATAGTTGAAGTAAGTACTCATTTGCCTTCTCAATGAGTTGATTTATAGCTTGTAGGTCGTATGTTGTTGAGAAGCCAGCTCTAAACCCTGCTTGTTCTCTGGGTTGATTTGTGTCTAATATATCTTTGATTCTATTTTGGATTACTTTGGTGAAGATCTTGTACAGATGAGATAGAAGGCTGATTGGGCGATAGTTTTTTTTACATCAGCTTTGTCACCTTTCTTGTATAAAAGAATTGTTTTTGCCTCTTTTCAAGTGGTTGGAATCTGTTGCTTTTCCAATATCTGGTTGAATAGTTTCAGTAACTGTGTAATTGTCTCCTCCCCTCCTTGTTTGATAGTATCACTTGTTTTTTCGTTGAACCATAAAGTTCCTGGTAGAAATCAGCGCAACTTTCTAGTAGTTCCGATCTCTCAGAAGTTATATTTCCATCTTTTTGCTTCAATTTGCTCATTCTTGACTTTTTGTATTCTGTCTTTTGTAATGTTTTTGGTCCCCCTTCCGCTTTCTAGAGTTTCTAAAATGAGTTTAGAAGTTTTTCGTCTTTTCCTTTGGCGTCGTTTCTTTTTCACCAATTTTACTATTTCTGCATACTCCACTTTTTCTCTTGTTGTCTTGGATTCTTTCAATCGTATTTCCCTTCTTCTTTGATCTAGATCCTCTATTTCTTTGACCTCTTCCGATCTTACTATCTTTCTTTTCTCAGTTGGGGCTACATATTTGGCTTCTTCTAGCATTGCTGATGTCACCATATCGCATCGCTCATCAATGTCCATATCCTCCAACTCTAATCCATCAAAGCGGTTGTGAAGCTTTAGTTGGAATTCTTCTTTCTTTTTCCTTCAGCTTTATGATGTTAATCCCTGTCTTCTTTTTATTTTGAACGAATCTAAGCCTGGCTAGTTCCTTGTTGATGCTTATATTGACTCTGACCATTCTATGATCACTTACAATATCTACATTGGTGACGACTTCACAGTTCTTGACTATCCCTCGCTGGTTACTAAGTAAGAAATCTATCTGGTTTTTAGTAACTCCATTTGGACTCTCCCAGGTCCAGTAACGATTCTTGCGTTTCTTAAAGTATGTATTGGTCACTTTAAGTTTATTTTCCATTGCAAATTCTATCATCCTTTCACCTCTCCTGTTTTCTTTCTCCGTAGCTGAATGATCCCATGATATTTTCTTTCCCTTTTTCACGTTGTCCAATTTTCGCATTTTCTGATAAGACCTTGAAGGCCTTGGACGAGAGGGTAACTACTCCCAGTTCTGCTAATTGAATAATGGTGCCAGTGCTATGTCAATATTTTACTGAAAATAAAAATAGTTTCTACACTAATTGTTGGCTGGAAGAGAGGTGGTTTAAGTCATCCTATTTATAATAACATAATGATGAAATTTCCACAGAATTGTAAATAACATGCTATAAATCCACGTTTCATTAAGTAAATTGAGTTAAAAATCATGACAAGTTATTTTCATGGAAGCAAAAAATCTAATTTCTACACCTTCCAGACTAATCGAGACGGGCGGATAGACAGAGAGAGAGAAAGAAAGAGAGAGAGAAAGAGGGAGAGAGAGAAAGCGAGAGGGAGAGAGAGAGAGAGAGAGAGGGGGTAAGAGAAAGAGAGAGAGAGGGAGAGAGAGAAAAAGCAAGCAGGTGATTTGTTTGATGATTACAAAATAAATGGTGACATCTCCATGTCAATATATTTTACATCCTATAAGCCATATTCATGACAGTGATAATAAAAAAAACTATTACAAGTTATCTTCGCGAAAACAATCTATTTTTCAATAATTGACAATGATAAAATTGCTTATATGTATTATCCTTTTTTCATGGGAATTAGGACCGTGATGACAAGTCATTTTAAAAGAGGTAAAAACTGATATAGGCCGAGATGACTATCGCTTATCACTTGTAAATAATTAAACATGGTGGTGTTTCCATAGAACCATTACTATAAACAGATAAATTCATTAGATATGATGAATATAATGAATAATTGACAATGATAAAATTGCCTATATGTATTATCACTTTTCATGGAAATGGTTTCTTTTATCTTTTATCATATTTATACATAATCCTGTTGCACATGTTGCACATTCATGCTCTATCACTAAACATAGACGTATGAGCACAATAACTCGAGGGGGAATTCCAGGGGCGGATCCAGCCGGCGGCAAGAGGGGAGGGGGGGGGGGGGCCACTTCGTGAGAAAATATTTAGCAGCGAATCAGCCAGCGGGCGAATAAGCGGGGGGGGGGGGGGTGTAATAGACAAACCTTTTAATTTGATTTGTTTTTTGGTCAGTGGAGGGAGGGGGCGCTTCACTTTTTTTTAAAAAAAGATACAATTTACGTAACCATTTTAATTTTCCCTTTTTTTTTGCTAGGGGGGAGGCCGGGCCCGTTGGGCCCCCATTGTGGATCCGCGCCTGTCCTCAGTGACCAACAATTTATTGCTCAGTCTGAAGTAGGTTTGTAGCCGCTGTTTGCGGTGTGCCAGAATGGTGAATAAGCTAAAGGGAAGATGTACATGTCATACCTCCAGTTGAGATGTTCATCATGATAAGCAGAAGCAACAAGCCGTTGAAGGAAACCTGTAGAAAAAAAATCCTGAATTTAGACACAGCAGGAGTGGGAGGGGGGGGGGGGGCTCGATATTTGTTCTTCTTTATTTTATGAATAGTAAGCTTTCCATTCTAAAACAGTTTAAAGCATAAACCACGTTTGGTAGCTATTACACGTTATATGTCAATTTTTCTTTTCGAGGGGGGGGGGGGGGGAGGGTGCATTTTTTTTAATGGACGTCCCCCAGATAAATTTCGCGGAAAGGGTTCTCCGTTCTCCGGGACTTACAGGGTAATTTAACAAAATGTTGCTTATACGGAGAGGGGTGGGGATGATTGCACCCTTCCCGTGAATAGCC